GGGGCGTGCACTGGTCTGTAGTCAATGATGGTGTGTTCTCATGACCATCAGAGTGAGGGTAGAGTTGAGACTTTCCAAACCGTCCATAGTGCTTTCTGTCATGTGATCGGACTAGGGGTTGAATCTATCCCAAAGTTAATGATAGGGTTCATCCGGGAGCATCCTATGGCCAACCTCATGGTAAGCTTGATTGATGATCAAATTGGCTGAAAGACGGCTCTCATAGATATGATGAAAGAACAAGGTTGGATTAAGCTAGGTGCTCAGGGTAGAAGACAATACACAGAGTAAAACTTGAACAATATTCCAAAAAGACTTTGCTTCCAGGAAGAGCATGCTGGCCTAGTGACAGAGCCCCGAGTAGCATGTCCCCATTAGGGATTCCTGAGCAGGCTTTGGTGAGTTTAGTAACCTCTTTGGATCTCGGTGTCTTGGTGGTGATAAACAAGGCAATTTCAAAGCTCAACTCCTCTCAGCCATTCTAGAATTCTGCAGTGAACATCCAGAACCCAACTTGGCCACTTGCAGAAGGTTCTGTTACTCGGTGTCGCTTTCCCCTGACTGTGGCAAGCATCACATGGACAGGGGTCTCTGTACTGACATCCCGTGTCCTTTGTGCTGTTGGAGCTCTGGGGTGGGAGCACCAGCTGGGCACAATTCCTGGGTTCCTGACTCAGATCCTGCAGCTCTGTCACAGGCAGGTGCATGGCAGCCTTTGCAACGCCTTGAGTGTAAGCAACACTTTTCTGCTATATGGGAGGACGACTGATGGTCACCTACAGAAGCTGCTCACAGACCCAAACAATGGGCAACCCTGGCTGCCCTCAGCCCCTGCTCAATCCCAGCATTTAACCTACAACACACTGTTAAATGGATGGTGATGCTGACGCTGGCTCTGCTCTTCCCTGACTGGTGTGGTCTGCAGAAGCTTATTGCTTCTCCAAGCCTGTAAAAATGCTGGCAGTCATAAACCCTGCCTCTTGGGTTCCTGTGAGGACAGAGCTGTTCAAAGGGCCTCGGAGGTATGACCTCAGTCTCATATGTGCATTGCCCTTGACAACCCCATGGAAGCACCCTCCTCTCCCCTAGGAGCCCAGGTGCCTGTTGGGTACATAGCCCTTGCCTCCTGATGCAGCACTTTCCTGTGTTTTGATCCACATGACAACCCCAAGAGGAAGGAGGTGGAGCGAGTTCCATTTTATGGATGAGCAAATCAAGGCTCAGACGGATGAAATGCTTGACAAAGGTCATCGAGTGCTTGATTTTCCCTCGAGGAAGGGACAAGGACAGGGTGGAGATCGTGCCTGTGCACAAACATCATGGAACCCTGTAAATTAACAGAGCACACTGCTTCAACTGCCTTAGGGATCGCTCTGCCTGCCTCGAGCTAGCTGGGGGCCTGACACTCCTGGACTCTCCTTGCAGAGTTGGCCTCTCAGCCTGGGAGGACGGAAGCATCAGCTAGGGGGTTTCTAGAAATCGATAGTGCCCAGTGTCTCTTAGCCTCACCCAGACAGGTCCAATCTGAGACCATATGTGGCGCAGAGCATGGGTTGAGGTGCTCCCAGAAGGCAGGAGCCTGAACTTGAACCCAACTAAAGCTGGTGGCCTTTTGTTACTCTAGAGCCTGGGGGCCATGACTGTCCAGCTTGGCTGACTAGTTTCTCTGAGCATGTGCAGTTGTGTTTCTCTTTCATTCTCATCAAGGTGGAAAAATACATCTTTTTCTTTTTCCCAACTGCTTCCTGACCTTGCTGAAGTGGAGCTCAAAGCCCTTCAGAAATCTAGGAGCTTGGTGTTGTCTAGACAACAGGGGTTCGGGAATGCCACACAGGGTTGGGCCATTTCTTCCATTACCTTGGGGAGAAACCAGGCCAGGGATTTTCTTTTCTGAATCTGGTAGAAAGCAGAGATGGGTAGAAGGGCCCACATCCCTCCAAGGAGTCAGTGGAGACAGAATGGCAGGGTCTTAATGTTCATCTGCATCTTCAGGTGTGAGCATCTAATATTTAGATTGCAGACAGCCCTCAGTGTGACACTTAACTCATATTAAATCAAAAACATGAACCCTAGAGCATTTAGTGAGATGTGCAAATCCCAGAATATTGAGATGGGAAGCATCTGAATGTCTGTCTGTGACAGCTACTGTTCTGGCACTGAACTTAGTCATTGCAACCAATGGTCCCTTCACTTGTACCATACATCAGACACCGTGCTGCATGTTTGCTGTTTGTTATTTATAAAGATTGACTGGAAAGGCAGAGTGAGAAGAGAAAAAGAGACTTTCCACTTGGTAGTTTGGTCAGGTGCTGGACCAGGCTGAAACCAAGAGCCAGGAATTCCATCCATCCAGGTCTCCCACTTGGGTGCCAAGGGTCCAAGTCCTTGGGCTGTATCTGCTGCTTTCCCAGGTGCATTAGTGTAGGGCTAAGTCAGCAGAAGAGCAGTCAGGACTCTAACCAATGTTCCAATATCAGATGCCAGTGTCCCAGGTGGCAGCTTAACTCACTGTGCCTTTGATTTAACCCTTATGGTAACTACATGAGGCAGGTGTCACCCTCCTCCCCTTGTAAGGGAGGACAGTGAGGCTTGGAGAACTTGGCCAGACCAAGGGATCCAGCTCTTCACCCCTGCATGTGTGCCATGAGGTCACCTTGATCCCCAGCCTCTGCTTGGACCAATGCTATGGGAAGCCAATTATTGCTTCGGCAGTGCTGGATATTCTTGCAAGGGCCACCGATTTGCCCCTGTTCTAGTCCTGGCTCACAGGTCACTTGGAACAAAGCCAGCACCCTTGGACTCCATCCCTTCTGATATAGAAGGAAGTCCTCATAAACCCTCCTGGACTTCTCTTTCCTGATTTTCCCAGCTGTGCTTAAATAGGACAGCTGACTGTTCCACGACTCTCAAGCTGGGTCTACAGCCTGGGTGGCAGCGAACCAAATACTGCTGGCTCCTACAGTGCTCATTAGCAGGAAGGTGGAACTGAGAGAAGAGCTGAAACTTGCACCCAGGCATGCGGATATGGGATGCAGGTGTCTCAGGTGGCATTTCTGCCACTAGATCAAACATCCATGCATGTTGCCTGCATTTGCTTCTTTGTCAAAGATCAGCTTGGGGCTGGCCATGACGTAGTAGGCTAAGCCTCTGTTATGGTGCTGGCATCTCATGTAGGTGACAGTTTGTGTCCCGGCTGTTCTTCCCATCCAGCTCCCTGCTTGTGGCCTGGGAAAGCAGCAGAGGATAGCTCAAATCCTTGAGTCTTTGCACCCACATGGGAGAACCAGAAAAAGCTCCTGGCTTTAGATCGGCTCAGCTCCAGCCACTGTGGCCGTTTGGTTGGTTGGCTCTGCTAGGCTTTCCTATCTGTAAAGTGGGATTGGTGCGAATTGTGTCAAGAATTGTGAGGATGAAATGAATAATTTGATATATGTGCTGAGAGTGCTGACTTGCCTTTTCAAGTTAATCCAGGCTTAGAAGGAATGCTGCTAAGATAATCTTAAATCATCACCCTGCTCATTATCCAGCCCATTTCTCCTGGGGATAAGCATTTGAAATCATACCTTTAGAATCGCCTTTTCACTAGCCTGGCACATGAGACTGCCACAACCCAGCTGCTGTCTGTTGGTGAGGCCTCTTGCAGCCTACCCACACCTCTCCTGCCCTTGGCTTGCAAACCTTGGGTCCCAGGCTTTGCCAGCGCTCTGTGCTTATCCCCACCTCTTCGCCTTCCCGTCTTATGGCTCTTTCTGCCCAGAAAGCTGCTTTCTGAGAACTCTTACAGGTCTACATTGCCGGCAGCTGGTTCCAGCCACTATCCCTTATGCAAACTTCGTCATTGGAATTCAGGGTGCGATCTCACAGTGGGCAGGAAATTGAGAGATACAGTGGCTCCTGCTGAATCTTTTCAGGGTCAGAAAGGAAAGCTGCAGCAGAAGGTTTGGGCTGGTGAAGAAATCAAGCATCCTCCCACAAGTCAGGCTTCACCACTGGCTTCGTGGTGTCCAGGGGTTCTCGCATTCTCCATTCTTAGCAGGAGTGTGCACCCCGGACAGAAAACCGGGAGCGGGGATAAGTCAGACAGCCAGGGCTGTACAGCTCTGATTGAATACCACTGTCATAAATCAGAGGTTTTGTTAAAATTAACTACTAGGAAAAAAAGACAAGGCATGAATCAAAAATTTGTACCCTAAAATAAATGCCATTTTAGGTGTTTGTTTTCCCTGTTTTCCATGAATGCTATTGAAAAAAGTATCCAGATTGTAGAACGCTCGAGGAATGCTCGTGGCGAGACGTGCGAAGATACACAGCTACATGCGTGTGGATTACATGTCTGACTCTGAGCACCAGGGTGTGAACGGACAAAATGACAGTCTTGGGAGTGACTGCCTCCTTTGTTTAGAATGCTATTGATATTGCTAGCTTTAAAAAAACTAATGCTTTATGGGAATACTTTTTCAAAAAACGAAAAAAAGTTGAAGGGGGGAAGTAGATGTTGTAGAAGGAGGGCTCAAGGTAGACTAGAACGAGGGGAGCATCTTACACTTCTCTGCCTTCCTCTCATGTTGTCTCACAATCAGCAAGACCTGCTGGGACACAGTCCTTCTCCATGTGCTTGGGACCATGATGGCTGCTGGCAGTCCCGTGACCAACTCTAAGGTCACACACGCTTCGCACTATTCTAGACTGTCCTTTGCCTTCTTCCGTGCTTACTCATGGATGCCCAAACAACAGCTGCCAATCCTCCCTTCTTGGAGGATTCTGCCCAATGCTAAGGAACCCATAAAGTGACCCAGACTCGAGCATGGCATGGAGTTGTAGCTGATGTTTCCACTTTTTAGCCTGAGGATTCTGCCCTGGCAGGCTGCATTTGTGGCAGCCAGTGTCCTGAGTAGTGGAGGTGATGGTTGGGGGAGTGGAATGTGGGCTTTCCTAACAGAAGGCACATGTGTGTGACTGAGCTGGGCATGGAGGCTGAGCATGTTTGGGGGCGAGGGGAGTTGGTTCCAGGGAAATAACCAGAATTATTATGATTATTTTTTTAGGGGCAGATCAGATCCAAGCCTCTTCTGGAAGGAATACATTGGAAGGACAGCTATGGCCAGAGGTGAGAGCTTTGCCCAAGTGGCTCTGTGTGTGTGTGTGTGTGTGTGTGTGTGTGTGTGTGTGTGTGTGTGTGTGTGTGTGTGTTGGGGATGGGGAATCTCTTCTAATGGATAAATCCAAGTTTTGATTCAGTTTGGTATGCTTCACACACTCCGCCCGATTTCCTGAGTCCTGGAGAGAATAGACTTGCAGGGCATAATGGTAACTTCTGGGATTTGGGGCTCCTGGTTCTGCAGACTGAGGCGTTTCCAGAAGCATTCAGAGGGTTACAAATGGACTCCTTATCTCTGACCCTTGAAGCAGCATTTCTGATTTATCTGAAGCATCTGGGTGAAGTCTTCCCAGAACACACAGGAGATAAGAGCAGAGAGTAAACACAGATCCCTTCCCATCACTGGACCCTGGAGAGAAGTGCACCTGCCACGCGCCTCACGCACGCAGATGTAGCCGAATGCGCGACAGATGGCACATGATCCCCTCTTGGGGGTTTTCCCTTCCACCCTGCATTTTGGAGAGAAGATACAGGACCTCCCTTCCCCAAGTCTTCCACGTTGTCTCCAGAGAAAGATGCTCTGAGAGGCCCTGAGTGGACTTGAGGGGCCGAGCAGGGGTCACTGCATCCCTCCTCTGCCCTCAGCTTGTCTGCCTGGGGACCTGAGTCTCCTGGCTTTAAGTTTAGCTGGTTTTCAGCCTCATGCATGTGTTCTAAAAAGGGGATGTAGCTTCTGCAAATAAAAATAGGATGGAATTAAATTTTTTAAGGCTAGACCTCTTCTTGACGATTTCTTTGTTTTGGTGGTAAGAGGTACAGAATGTAAGAGTTATCATTTTAACTTTGTGAGCGTATGTTTGGTGGCCTGAATGACATTCTCATTGTGTAACCATCACTTCTGGTCTTCTTCAGGACTCTCTCATCACTCAGATAACTGTTCATCTCCTTCCTCACCTGCCTGTCCTCTCACCCCACTGTTCTGAGACTTCTTGCGATGCCGCAGAGGTGCTGAGCTGGCAGTATTTGACTCTGGATAGTCGCTGCTCTCAGGGGTCGAGCCCAGACAGACGACAGAGCCTGGCCACATATTTTTGAGGCATGCAATGCTCCCTTCTGAAGAATTGATGTTTTTCCACGTTTGTTTTCAATTACAGAGCCTGGGGAATTTTCCATTCCCATGCAACCCCATGAAGTCAGCAGTGAGTGTGCCTTCTGAGTCAGGTATGTGTTTCAAGGTCATGAACAGGAATGACCCAAGCCCTCCCTGTGGAGCAGAGGCCTCAGCCTTGCTCCTTTGGGTCATTCAGGTCTTCCTATTCCTCATCCTTTGTCCACCACACCTCCTTTGTTTCCCTCAGTCGTTCCTATGGAGGGACGTAGTCTGACACCACTCAGTGATAAAGCTCACTTGGCCCTGGATGGCTGGCTGGGCAAGGGTGACCTCCAGCATCTCATCTCCATGTGGGTGGACGGTGTTGGGAGGGTGTTGACTGGGATCTGGGCACTCTTCCTGGAAAGCAGCCACAGTGGTCACTCAAGCCCATTTCTCCTGTGATGGATGAACTGGGTTTGTCTAATGTGATGAATGCTGCTCTTGGACTGGTTGTCTTCCCTGGCTTTCTCTTACCAAGTGGCTGCTTTATGAGCTGCATTTAACTATTTCTTGTTGGTGTTGTCCTGACTTGATCAGGGCTTCCAGGTCAGCATGTTGTTCTAATTCTGTTAGATAAGTTCTTCCATTTCATTTTTCATCGAAAATCCTTCTTAGGAAATGGCCTCTTTGCAGTTAAAATGATCCTTTACTGAGACTGGGAAGCATGGCCAGTGGTTTCTAGGGAGATTTGCTTGTATATCATTTGCATGTAATTTGCATCTGATGTCTATGTTCCTTTACAGACTTCACTGTTCTATGGTCATTTTCAAACTAATGGTATCCTTTGGGTACCCAAGTGATTTGACTTAATTTGTGTTTCCTTACTTTCTAATGGTGGGCCAGTAATTCAAAGCCATGGGACAGGAGGAGGTGAGGTGTAGAAAGCAAGCCAGGTGTGATGGGAACACATGGGTTGTGAGAACCCCTCTATGGGATACGTGTTTGGAACCCCAACTCTAACTATCAACGTGGCTTCCTGAAGAAGTGGGCCCCTGTTGAGCAGGATTCCTGGCTTCCCAGGGTGCATGGCTTTGAGCTTGCTGCACCTTTTGCAAACAGACTGGACCTCAGCAGCTGCTCAAGGCCTGGGTACATGGGTCTGTGTCCCGTGTGGCATCCTTGGCTTGCATTGAGGGCATGTAGCTCTGACCTCACCCCAGGATCCTGTCTTCACAGTTCACACTCTGAGGCCTTCGGACATTAAGTTTGTGGCAGCTATTGGCAATCTGGAAATTGTGAGTATGTGAGGTGGCTTGGGGTAAGAACCAGGGTTTGGGAATGGTAAGCTCCTGTGTGAGCCCCAGGAAACTATGCTGTTGTCTCATTTTAAGAAAGAATATTTCAGGAGTTGAAGGAATTCTAAAACTCACAAGGGCCCCTGACCGCCCCCACTCACTTTCTTTTTTTATCCCCCAATCAAATGAGTGCATAACTTGACCTCAGGGTGAGAAAACTTCTCTGATTTCTCATTGATAAATTAAATCCTTTGACAATAACATTTTTGAAGTACTCGCTCCAACTTTTTGCATATGAGATAAAGAAAAATGTCTCTTCTTTACAAATAAAAAATTACTTTTTAATTGTGAATAGATATGGCATGCATGTATCACCTTAAACATTTTTTGAAAGGTATTTATTTTATCTGCAAGGCAGCGAGAGAGAGAGATAAAGACAAGCAAATCTCTCCCATCCGTTGTTTCATTCCCTAAATGCCTGCAAGCAGCCAAGGCTATGCCAGACCAGAGCCAGGGCCTCCCGTGTGAGTACAAGGGCCCAGCTCCCTGTGCTGTCACCCTCTCCCTAGGGTGCTCATGCACAGAGGTGGAGTGGAAGCAGCGCCTGGGATTTCCAGTGTGGGACCTGGTCCTCCCAAACAACATGCTCACCGCTACACCCAATACCTGTTGCTCAGTGATCAGGATTGAGAAAGCCAGAAAAGAAGGCAATAAAAATATGAAAATCCAGAGAAGAAAGGAGAGGATGGATAAAGAAAGAGGAAGCCTGCAAGCAGAGGTGGAGAGCGGCAGGCTTCAGCTGTCCTCCTTCCCCTTGGTCTCCAGGCAGTGGTTGGCCCGCCCATCTCAACCGAAAGGAGCACTTCCTCTTAGGTTTCTTCCATGCTCAGAGCCCTACTGTGCCTCTCTGACAGAGATGTAGCATCAGGAAACCAATCAGGGCCCATGGAATCTGGCAGACCAGGTTTCCACTGCTGGTCCACTTGTGGCTCTATCTGTGTGACTGTGCAAGTATTGATGGAGTGAGGGAGCAGTTGGCCCCTGGGGAGAGGCAAGCAAATGAGAGAAGAGGCAGTATTTGAGTCCCTGCCACCCCTGTGGGAGGACTGGACTGAGTTCCTGGCTCCTGACTTCAGCCTGCCCCAGCTCCAGCTGTTGCAGGTATTTGGGGAGTGAACCATTGGATGAAATATGTCTGTCTCTTTACCTTTCAAATCATCATCATCATCATCAGTCTTGGATATATCCCCTCTTAGAAAAAGTAAGTGAAGTAGAACCACAGTTTGGTTCTACCTCTGGGGTGCTGGGACTGGACAGCTTCCCCAGCCTGCAGCTGACCACTCCTTGGGTATACCTGAGGTGGGCAACTGCTCAGTCCATGCTGGTCTGTAGCCCTGGATTATTACCACTCCCCTTCTGGGTGCTTTGGCCTTCATGATAGGTAACTGAAGCCAGCCTGAGCTTAGGGAACTTCTGTAACAGAAAGCACCTGGGTCACCTAGCATCATTCCAAGGGGAAAATCCACTTATTTTCTTCCTTGAAGATAAATAACAGATAAAAATTAAATTGTGACTGCCAGCCCTGTGCATGGGTCAGTTCTGCATCTGTGGAGTTAATGAACTGTAGGTTGAAACTGTCTGCCAAAAACCTGACATCTGTACCAAACACAGGCAAGTCCTTTTCTCCTTATTCTCTAAACGAATATATGATGAATATGATTTACAACACATTTACATTGTGTTGGGCATTATACGCTTCTTGAAATATAGGAGAGGGTGTGGCGGGCTTTATATAAATACTATGTGAAGGCCCTGGGACCACTTGCCCGTGCATACCAAGGGATGACATTTACATGTCAGGTGTTGCTCTAAGCCCAAGCAATACAACTAAGTGCAAAATAGGCACCCTGTCCTCATGGCACCTGCACAGTGGCCAGGGCGGCCACAAGGAAAGCATGTTCCAGCTGATGGAAGGCCACACTCAGCTTGTTTCTGTGCAGAAGATGCCCCAAGCAGAGCACTCACACACTTTTCCTCCCCGCCTGGGGAAACTGGCACTCTTCCCTCCCGGTAAAGCATGTGTGGGTAGGTTTGACCCAAAGATGCCCTCCTGCTGGTGGGAGGGGCTTCCTGGAAAGGCTGTGCTGATTCTCTGGGATTGGTGCTAATTCCTGTGTCTTTTCCAGGCTCTGGACTCCAGGGTAGAAGACCTGGGCGAGCAGCTTGGGTAATTGTGCTGGGGATGGGGGGCGGGCGGGGAGGTTACATGGCAGAAAGGCACCTTGTGTCAAACTTAGCACTGGAGGGAAGAGGAGCTGGCTCAAGGCAAATCTGCAGTTGCAGCCAGAGTGGGGCCTGGCACCCCATCTCCTGCCACCCAGTGCCATGTTCCCAGGGCCTCCAAGTCCTTAGTGACTTACCAGCATGAGAGGAGAGGGCAGGCAGGAAGAGTTGGGGGCTGGTGATCTCCTGCCGGCCACGGTGCCTCCTGTTGCTGCTCTCGGGGGATCCTGCAGGGTTGGTGTTGGGAGCGCTCTGCATTAGGCTTGGTGGCCCTTTCTAGCTTTGGCCCTGATGCTGGAGATTTGGGAGGGAAGGGAAGAGGCCCTGTTTCGGCCACTCTGGTGCTGCCTAGAGGATGCTTCTCATTCTGGGAGAAATCATTATAGAACTGGAGCAAGGCTGGGTCGAGGACTGCCAGGAAATGGACTATAGCAGCCAAGGGCAAGGTGGTCTGACCCTCACGTGTTTGCTGCTTACAGGGCTGAGAAGGTGGTGCAGCCGGCATGTGTGGGCGTGATGACAGGTAAGCTGGGGGATTCAGGTTCCCAAAGCCCCCTATGCTAATTGTTCCCACTGCTTCCTGCACAGCGGCAGCTTTGCTAATCAAGAGAAGGCATTCTATCCACTACTTTGTCATTAGTGCCTGGGGAAAGGGGAAGGCATTTGGGGAGCAGAGAGGAGGAAACTGGGGTATGGAAAAGTGCCTTGCTGAATGGAGGGTATGAGCAAGGCCTCCTAGCAGCTCTGAGTGGAGAGGAGCTAAGAGGCCCTGAATAAAGATGAGGGGGATGCAGGAGAGGGGCCAAGAGCCAGCTGGGTCCCTGGGATCCCAGGGCTAGACTAGCTTGTTTCATTTTGCTAACTCTCTTGCTTGTCCAAGAAATCTGCCACTCGGGTTTGGGAAAAATGGAATGAAAACAATGAAAGTCAAGTACAGTCCCACTGTGATGCTGAGGCTCTGGTTGATGCACAAAGGTGTCTGTGAACCTGTGCCCCGAGCAGCTGGCTGAAGTGCTCACTTGTTACAGGGGCTTTGTGCCTCCATTCAGTGGTCCTGGAGCCCCTGGCTGGTGAGTCAGACGTTGGGGAGTTAGTCCCTTCTGCTTGGTGCTTATGAATCAAGGTCAGACAGAGCAGATCTAGACTGCAAGGTAGACACCCACACTGCCAGCCAGGGAGGCAGCTGGGGCCCTGGCCATCCTGTCCATCCCGCTGATATGTTGGCATGATGAGCCAGCCAGCATTGGGCTCTCAGCAAGCATGGGAAGCCAGCACAAGCTTCAGAACTCATGATCCAATCAGTTGGTGGTATCCACCCTCCAGGATCTGATTGATAGGTGAGGGGATATGGGCCACCAAAGCAGTTAGAGGAAAAAGTTAAGAAGTTGCCAAGAGGAGGCCCACCACTGCCCTGGGTAGCTGTGCCTGGGCCTAATGACTCTAAGGGGCAGGGACAGAGGAAATGAAGTGAGAGACTTGAGCTATCAGGGGAGAGCTGTATAGTACACGCCTAAAGCCGCCATTACCTGGCCCCTTTGCCTGATTTCTCAGCGCATCTCGTTTCTTCCCTCACCCACCCTGTAACTAGTCAGACCAGCCAAGCACAAGCACGGAGTGACAGGGAGTCCCATCGCATCGAGGAGGGTGGATCTTGCATCTGAAACTGTCAGAGGCAGGATTTCACTGCAGAGGCAAGCAGCTTCAGGATGCTGCGGGGGTGCACCACACCTGGTGCCCAGCTAGATGCCTGAGAAAGTGCCAGGCCCTCCTGTGCTTGGTAGGATTTTAGGTGGCCCTAGCCCCACAGCCTGCTGCCAGCAGGGAGCCCAGAAAACCAGGGTGGGGCCAGAGACAAGGAACATAGCATGGCTCAAGATACTTGATCCGGGAGCTTGTGTGAAAAGGTCTAAGCTCTTGTTTGATCATAATGAAGCGTTAGAACAAGGATGCCTTTGATTTGGACAGTAATGATCTCCCTGCTACCTATTGCGGGATAGCTGTGCTTTGCCTCCTCGTGTGACAGAGGGCAACTGGCCTGTCTCTTTCCTGCCATGCATATGCACATGCCATTCCTATCACCTTGAACTTGGCTCAGAGCTTTCTGTTTGCTCATCACATATGGGAGATAGGCTCTTCCTGCAGGCTGGCCAGGAGTGAGAAAAGGAAGCTCACGCTTTTAGATGGGGAAAACCAAATCTCAGGCATGTCGGGTGGCTGTTCAAAACCTCCAAGCCAGGTAACGAGCTCCTGGCTTCCAGCCTAACTCTGCTGCCTGGCACCTCTGCACGGTGTCAGCCGCCCTGACGGGGAGTCCCTGTGAAGACATCCTCTGGCTCCTGCTCCCAGGGGAGCCCTGAGGCCCTTCTGGGTGGGGGCCAAGAGCAGGAGGCACTGGGGAGAGGGTGGCTGCGTCTCCCTCCTGTGACACTCTCCTCGCTCTGCCCTCTCCTCTCTCGGGAACAAGACACCACCACTTAACTGTGCCTGACAGTGCTATTTTTAGCAGTCCCCTGGCTGTCAGTTCTGGGACATGTTCTCTGCATGTTCCCCGGAGCTGTCCCGCCCTGCTGTCACTCTCTGAGGAGGGAGGATGGCTGGAAGACATCCCAGATAGTAAAAATCCTTCAATGTCCCAGTGACGGGGGCAGCCTGCCCAAGATGTCTCAGCCTCAGTTTCCCCTAATGTTACTAGAAGGAATCCTGCTATGGGAGGAAGTGGGGTTGGGGAGGGAGTATTTGTTCCAGAGAGTGGAATGAGCAAACGCATGGAAAATGCTTAGCACCATCCACGCACCTGCTGGATGTCCACTTCCAGCTTTGTCCACTCCTTCTGCCCTGCTGTGGGATTAGCTGCCAAGGGCAGGGCATTGGGGGGCCTGCCTTGGCCCAGAGCATCTCCCCGCCTGAGAGGGCTCTTCAGTGGGGAATCAGGTGTGTCGAGGCCAGAGCCTGAAACCAGCCGTCTCTTTAGTCCTCTCAGACATCGTCAGCCATTTCAATCCTGCTGCTCTGACCCCACGGTGTCCCGCTGAGACGAGCGTGGTGCTGCATCATGGTGGTGCAGAGTAAGTGTCTCTTCTGTCTCTCTCTGGGAGGAGGGTGGTGCTATCCTGCTGGTCTGGAACATGCCTGGGGGGCGGGGATCTGGAGGGCTGGCAAAGCCAAAGAGGCTTAAAAATTAGGTCTGCCTTAGAAGGCCTCTTCCATGCTGGTCTCAGTTGGCGTAGTCTTTCAGTGTAGCCTCAGACTCTGAGCCAGGCACCCAGCCCTCAACATGAGAATTCTGAACTGGTTTTTTTTTTTCTCTTTGCACAGGGATTTGTGGGCTCAAGCTCAAGAGCTGGTGAGAAGCATGAAAGAGAATCAGGTAAGTGTGCATCAACCTCTGGAGTGATTGGGATGCTAGTTTTAGCTCTGAGGCTGTCAGATGGCCTGGTATCCTGTGTGGTCCTACCGAAGGTCAGCAGAGGCATTAAGTGGCATGTCACGTGGACAGGTGTTTGAGAGTTTGGGCTCCTGAGAACAGTTTGAGATCTCAGTTTGTTTAGCTGGATGATGCTGGGTTAGGTACTGCACCTGCCTAAGCCTCCGTGTATGAACCAAGGAAGACACAAAGGCCTGAGATGTAGAGTTTAGGGAGAGTTCGAGAAGGTGTTAGATATGCCTGGTGGAGTCAGTGCTTAACCAGTCTGAAGCTGGCACTGTCACTGGAGGAGTGATGACAGGGATTAGGAATTACCACGCTCAGTTTAGTTCTTAGGCTGGGCCCTGTAACACACGTGTGAGTGCCTCATTTTCCACTCTCTCGGTGCTGCAGGTGCTCTGTGTTCAGTGAGGCATGTAGGCATCCTCCCATCTCTTGGTGCTGGCCTTCCGGGAAAGCATTATGCTAGGGCAAGCTCGCTGGCACACTGCCTCTAACCCAGTGTCTAGCCGTGGCTGTGGGGCACACAGGGAGGCTGATGTCAGAACCAGGCTTGCAGGCATTAATGGGCTCAGTGAAGCAGTTGGCAGTGGCCCCCAGTCACCCAGAGTGTGGGAGCTGCTCCCCAAGAGAGAGAGTTTCTGAAAGCGTGATAATCATGAGATGCTTCTGCAAATAGTCAGGGTCCTGACCCGTCCCAGTAGTTTTCAGAGTGGAGGACAGTGAAGTTTTAGAAGGCCAGATGCCCTGTCCAAGGTGACATACTGGTTATAGCTAAATGCTACGATGCCCCGTTAGCAATCCCAGGTTCTCAACCACAGCAGGCTGCTTCTCAAAATGTTGCCTTCCTGTTACCCAGGGAACACTTTTTTTATACAAACATAGCGGATCACAGATACACAAATATTAAAACATCCTTAACTCTAACATGCAAAGATTATTTCTATTAATAATTTGGTGCTTCTCATGTTTTCTCTAAGCACATATATCTGTATATTCTATAAAACGGGGATGTTCCTGAATATAAATACTTTTAGAACCTACTTTTTAGGATACATTACTTCCTGTGACAATTTAATAACTTCCAACATCATCTTAATAACTACATGGTAGCTCGTCTGATGAGTGTTCCTCAGTTTGCACATTAAATCCCCGTTTCCAACATTTATGTTTGCAGTTTTTCATCCTTATGAATAAGACTTCATCATTTGTAGCTAAATCTTTCATGTATCCTGATTTCCCTGAAAAATATGTTTGGGCAATAGAATTATTGGCTTAAAAATATGCCCTTTTCTAAAAAACATATTTTTTAGATAGTTTGGCTAATTGCCTTCTAGAGCAGTTACACTACTTTAGACTCCCACTGCTTCTTTTGTCAAAAAAAAAAAACCAATTAATACATGTGATTTCAAGGAGATGAGTGTAAAAGATTAAGAGACACAAGAGAGATGTTCTTCTGTGTAAGATCTGACCACTGTCTCATTCATGCTGTTGTCCTTTCCTTCAGGAACTTGATTTTCAACGTGACTGGAAGCTCATCAATGTGTTCTTCAGTAACACAAGCCAGTGTTTCCCATGTCCCTCTGCTCAACAGGTAAACTGAGGCTGGGACACACCTGAGGAGGAGAGTGGAAGTTAAACTTACCTGCCATGAATGAATGGATGGTGGGCAGAGAGATGGATAGATGAATGGGTGGATGAATGAGTAGATGGACAGATGAGCGAAGGGACGGGTAGTAGGGTGGTCACATAGGTGAACGCGTAGGTGGGTGGGTAGATGGGTGAATGGTTTGGTGGGTAGATGGATACTCAAGGAAACAGGCTACTTCAAAAAAACTTCATGGAAAATAGAAGTAAAACATAGGTTTATTTTGGTATAAACAGCTTGACATTCAGTCAGAGGAGGTGTTAAAAAATGTCATGGAAATGCATATTTTTAAAAGCCATGCATGAATTTTAATTTTAAATATTAATTGCATTTTTCCATGAGCTTTTTACTATTATTATAAAATACACATGGGACAAGGCTGATAATCTTAGCATCCTAAGTGTAAGCCAGGTGGTGGTAGCCAAGCTCACGATGATGTGTGCAAAGCTGTAAAATGCAGGCCACACAGGCAGCAGGTGCATATTACTGAATCATCCCTCACTTCTGAGAAGAGGAAATGGAGGTATAGACAAGCTGAGTCCAATGGCTGTTAGTCAACTGAGGGAGACCAGCGTCCCAATTCGTTAAACATGATTTGGTCTCTTCTACTTTCAGTCCCACTGAGTATATAGTTGAGGAAATAAGTAAGCCTTGTGGTCACGTCTCTGTCCTTGTCTGTGATGGTGGAAGGGCTGGTAGTGCACATCCCCCAGGCTCCCTGGCTTTCCTGGAAATGGCACATGAAACCTGTAGCTCCCTCTGTTATTCAGGCTGGTAGGTGACTCTAGGTGGTGTGAGGCTTGACTGAAGATCGACCACGTTATTGAAAATATAAGGAATGGCTGAGAAACCAAAACCGTGGTGATGGACATGCACTTGGGCTCTTTTTTAGGAGCAGGAAGCTTCTGGTTACCAGGCTGGCCTGTGTGCTTTGGGCAGCCCCTTGCTTCTCTCACTAGGTCTCCCGAGGCCATGGCACAAGCCTGGCTGCAGTTTCTTCAGACTCTGTCCTCTTGTTTTCTGCATCACTCTGCAACAGCCTAGTTCAAACCTTCTCTCAGGCTCTGCGTTCCCTTGGTCCTCCACCCAAACTCCCCTTCCCGTAGCGATGCTGGGTCCTGGGAGAAATCCTCCTGGTGGAAAATCCTCCTGTGAGCCCATGCTCCTGAAGTTCTCCTAGGTGGTTACATTTACACAATGACTATTTACTATCCCAGTTTACTCTGTTTTCTTCAGCACCACGTGAAACTGACATGCCCTGTTTACTCTTGGTTACACATTATACAAATGCACATTCATTCAGGAATGTTTGCATGCATGCGTTGAAGTGTCCAAGCAAGCATTTCAGCACCGTTGCTTTCCTGTAGATAGCCACTCGACCAGTCATCACCAATTGTATAAATTTACTCTCTGCTTATCTACAGAGACAAGCTGTGTATTTGTGATGAACTTGCTAGTGTTAGCATTTGGTTGATATGTTTTCATAAGGACTGATTTATTTGAAAGTCTGAATTAGAGAGGGGGAGACAGGAAGAGGGAGAGAGCGCATGCTTTCGTCAGCTGGCTCACTCCCTAGATGGCCTCAATCGTGAGGACTGGAGCTAAGAGTTTCATCCAGGTTACCCATGAATGGCATGGAAGCTGGATCAGAAGAGGGGCAGCCAAGGGACAACCAGCCCCCACACGGGCTGCCAGCACTGCAGGTGGTAGCTTTACCTGCTACACCATAGTGCTGGTTCCATGACTTAAAAAAAAAAGTTTATGTATTCGTAGATCTTTGCACTCATTCATGCTTTCTTTCATGTATCTTCTACGCAAGAATTCCCATGTGAATTGTTACATTTCCTGCATTCATTTTTTTTTGAATATTTTTATTTGTTAACTTTTTATCTATTTAAAAGGAGAAGGACTGAGACAAAGAGAGGTCCTCCATCTGCTGATTCATTCTGCAAAGGATTACAACCTAGGCCAGGTTAACATAGAAGCTGGAAACTCTGTCTCAATCTCCCACATGGGTGGCAAGGATCCAAGCACGGGAGCCGTCACCTGCTGCCTCCTGGGGCGTGCGTGAGCAGGAACCTGGAATAGAAAGCAGAGCTAGGGTTGGCCTCTAATGTGGAATACAGGCGTCCCAAGCAATAGCCAAAACCTCAGTGGCAAATACTTAGCCCAAGAACTTTTAAGTGTGTGATACATTCCTGCACACATGAGTTCATTGTATATTACCCATTTTATTAAACTTTATTTATGTAGATAACAAAAAATCATCATCACAGTTAGAGCTAAAATACATTTTGGTAATCATCTAAATCCTCTCCCTTTTTTTTCTTTCCAAGCTACTTGTGTATCTGTCAATCCTAGGGTTATTTTGCAAGTGTATATGAGAAGTTTTACATAACCTTAAGGAATTTCTCCCAATAACAGTGTTTTTTGTGATCTAGACATATTGATATTTATATACTGAGTTTCCTGAGTTTATTCTTGTTACTGGAAAATTCCATTGTGTAATTTTGCTACATTTATCTCGCTATTTCCTTATTGATGGGCATTTATGCATTTCTGGGTTTTTACTATTATGTACAACCCTGCAGTACCCAATCTTGCTAGTTTATATGAACATGTGTGCTTCTTTAGACATGATGATTTCCCAATTGTGGCTTTAAATATGTTAGTTAAAAAAAGCACTATAACCAAAATTTAACAAATAAAAACGTAAGAATACCAAGTATTTGATTTTACTGTATATAGTAAAGTAAATGTGGTTCATGGAAGAAAAATTGGTTTAGGGAATAACTTATTTATATGAAAAGCAGAAGGATGAAAGGGAAGAGAGAGGGAGGGAGGCAGCGAGCACACACGAGTGAGCGTCTGTGGCTGGCTTACTCCCAGGTGGCTGCAATGCCAGGGCTGGGCCAGACCAAAGCCAGGAGCCAGGAACCCCATTCGGTCTCCCCTGTGGGCGACAGGGGCCCAAGCACTCTGAGCCATCATCACTGCCTTCCTGGTGCATTAGGCAGGAGCTGAATCTGATGTTGAGCAGCCAGAACTTGAAACAGCACTCTGATATAAGATGCCAGCATCTCAGGCTGCAGCCTAACTTACTGCACTCCAGCTCTGGCTCTGTTGAAAATGTTTTTTCTTGTTCTGTGGGCAGTGTGAAGAAAAATGCATAGGGAAGATTCTGGAACCTAGACCTGCTGGCATTGAGGTGTGTGTGTGTTAGTTTTCAATGAGGTTTGCCTAATCGCCCTCCATGTAGTGTCTGAGAGTACCTGGCCCTACAGTACTCACAATGTCAGTTGTCATCAGGCTTCATGAATTTGGTTGCAAATGTCCCAAGTTGTGCCCCGCATTTTAGTTCATTGTTAACAGTGCTTGCTAGAATCTACTCAGATTTCCTCTGTATTACATTTTCTTCCAGTTTGATTTTCCTTGTAAACTTTTTTTCTGTTTCTTTGTTTTTATTTCAGAAAAGGAGACAGGAGAGAGGGAGGGATGGAAGGAGGGAGGGAGGGAGAGAGAGAAAGAACAAACTCCCATCCTCTGGTTAACTCCCCAAATGCCCGCAGTGGCTGGGACTGGTCTGGCCAATGCCAAGCTCCAGGAACTCGATCCAGGGCTCCCATGTGGGTGACAAGGACTCTAGTACTTGAGTGAGCCATCCCCTGCTGCCTCATGGGGCATACATTAGCAGGATGCTACAACTGGGAATTGGAGTAGAGATTCAGACTTGGGCACATCAATGTAGGGTGTGGATGTCTTAACTCATGTGTTAACCACTAAGCTAAGCACCCATTCCTTGATTTTCCTTTTGTGCAAAGACACCAGGCTTTTGATCCTAGAAGAAATCCTACTACTGCATTTCATTTCCCCCAAAGGACCTGTTGGCTCCTGTTTCTGTCCATCTTGTTGGATCTTCCCTTGACACTTCTGTAGCAAGGTCTCCCTTGACCAACCCCACCCCAGGCTCCAGTTTCCTGGTAGTGCCTCTGGCCATGTCTCCATCTTCAAACTACACCTGCACTGAGAAACTTCTGTGCATTCATTCATTGCTCAAAGCCTCCCCTCAGTGGTTGTCACCATGTGCTCTGTGGAGTTCTGGGGGTACTGGGGTGCCGTTGAGGGCAGAGTCTGGGAAGGTGGCCTCAGACCCCTACCCAGATTCAAAGAGAAGCTCCTCTTTGTCTGTGTCACATGGTGCGGCAGGGGAGGGTTGGGGGCGAGTGGGGAAGGGATTGATTCCTGGAAATGTTAAATTACTGTGCAGCCCCAGGACCCAGACTCTGACAAGTTAACAAGGGTATGTGTCCACATTTATTCTGTATGGGTTTCTTACAACCAAAGCCTTAAGTGTGAAATCATAAACTATCCATTAGGCAGGGACGCGGCCTCCTCTTAGCTATTCTGAGACAGGTGTTCTAGAGATAAATGGCTTTTCCAGGGACACAAAGCCTTTAGCAGCCACATGCTGTTCACTGCTCCTTTGTAAAAGCCTAGCTTTATTAACTAGTAAGATTTCAAAAATAACACAAAAGGAGGGAAAAAATGAAGGAAGAAAAAGTCGATGACATAGCAAGGAAATATCCAAGGGATCTTAAAGTTTGTTAAAAGAAAACTTAGTTTGTTTTTAAAAATACATAATGAAGATATGCATGGATTTCAAAACTTATGTACCAAAATTTATCTTTGAGTTCTATTGTCTCCCCATCCACCTTTATTCATGGCTGATGCAGTTAGAAACATGTGCCAGCATTTTGGAGGGATGCTGGCAGTGAGAGTGTGGTTTGGGAAACCCAAAATTGTCCTTGTCACTTGATTAATTCTAGCCCCAAGACAATAAATTAGAACAAAAAGTGAAGTTCGATGTTAGGCACGTGTTTGGCCAGACATTCTTCTCAGTCTTGGGGCAAGACACAAATGGGAATGCACCTGCTCCTTTGGACAAGCAAAGGGCTCTGGGAGCCTTGTGTGATCATGTGAAAGTGAAACATGTCATCAGAGCATCGTGACATCCACTCAGAAGCAAAGCCAGTTGGTGGCCCAAGTGGTAACTGTTCAGTGCCTTGAATGATGAGGGGGCTGTCTCCTTGATTCAAGTTTTTAAAGCAGGGTTTGTTCTCCAGGAAAAACCCAGCAAATTTCCTGTGGGAAGTTGACCAAGCTAAGTGTAACACGGCAGCAGCCGTGGTATTTGCAAAGAACTCCCAGGGTCCTTAGGTGGGAGGGTATGGCACTGAGAGTCCACTTCAAGGAGGCACAGAACAAACTGGACAAGAACCCTTGTGACTGCCTTTACCACAGCCAGGGCTTACTTGGTTTCCCCAGGACCAGTTGGGTCAGAGCATAGACAAGTACTGGAGAACCAAGGTGGGGCCATGACACTTCTTCCTGCAGCAGGCATGTGTGATTGGCAGCTGTCACCAGAGTCCTGTCTTGTCCTCCTGTCTGAGCCAAGTCCCCTTGGGGAACATCCAGTTGCAGGCAGCTTAAGGGCTTGTCTTGTTGTACGTCTTATTTATTTCCTCTCTGGGAAAGACGGACCAGGATTGATTTTTGATTTGGTTTCACTCCCTACAGGAACGGGAGGGGTGTGTGCTGGGTGGAAGACAAGGGCGGACGCTTGGGGGACAAGGGAACTCTCTGACTTCCCCTGAGAGTGCTGCCCTTCTGGGGCAAATGTAGCTTGGAGGAGGCTGATAAAGTAGCTGTATGTGGAGGTCCCTAGGCCATCTGGGGCCTTAAGCCCAGGGTCAGTTACGTTGCCTGCTCACCTGTGTGGAGGGAGCAGCCAGTCCTTCTGTGTGAGCCTCAGCACTGCTCTGGGGGCTTTCTTATCTTGCTGTAGCTTTGAGTATCACCCCTTACCCTCTAGAACAGAGAGCTCCTAGTGTTGGAGGGATGCAAGGGCCATAGAATGAGCTGAAAAAACTAGAACTCTTGGGAATTTGCATTTGCTTGTGTGATGGTGTCTGGATTGGGCCGTTGTCTGTGACCTTGTGGGTTAGGGAAGGGATGAGGGGCAGGGCAAATTTGCCCCATGGCCTGCCCCTGCCACCCTCACTCAGCACAGCTCTTGTCTCACAGATGAAGCTGGCACCACAGGGCATGGATAAGCTGATGGCAACGCTGGACTACCTGCAGCAGGAGGTGAGGTGGGCTCCATGGCCTGGGGACTCTGGCCTGGACCTTCCTTACAGGTGTCTCCCACTGGGAAGCTGCCTGCTGAGGGCCTATGGGATGGGTGCCAGGGTGGGGGTATGGCCTGCTACAAAGAGGAGGAGAAGTGAAACCCTTGGAAAGAGAAGTTGAACTTCTTGGCTACAAGCCAGCAGTACAGGGCGCCACAGAGCATCTTCCTCTTACAGGTGATGTTTCTGAGGGCTGACTGTCACTGGATACTTGGCAACCCTGCTCTTTCCTAAGGCCACTGTGTGAGCCTGAGCAAAGAGGGGCCGGAGGGATGGGGTTGCTTTGTGGTCTTTCTGCCAAGAGTGACCATGATGACCATCCCCCACGCTATGACTGTTTCCCTGCTGGCACTGTGGGGACAGGTGCTCTGCCCAACACAAGGGAGCTCAGAGGGAGCACTTCTCCGATTAAGCATCTCTGAGGAGCTTGCCTACATTGGCCAAGCCCATCATGTACCACCATGGGCCCAAAATTGAGTTCCTCAGCAGCCGGGGCAACTTGGCCAACACTCACCTTCTTCCCCTGTGTGTCCCACCCCAGGTCCCCAGAGCCTATGTCAACCTCGTAGACCTCTCAGAGTTGGCAGCATTCTCTCGCTGGCGTCAGGCATCACAGCTAAGGTAAAGAGAGAAGTGGGATGAGAGCCACACCTGCTGGGTGGGAAACGTCCTATGCATTCACTCCATGAGGGAGCCCATGTGCTGCAAGTGGCACAAATGAGAGAGTATCCTCACCCAGGTGCTGTTCTGGGGTCAAACTTGGAGGGGGCAGCTTGTGCCATGCCAGAGTAATGTGTTACAGGAAAGACTTGGCGAAGCACCCCTGAGCCAAGAAGGGGCAGAAGAGGATAGAGCCAAAACGTGTTCAACTCCACAGAACGTGGTCCCTGAGTGTTTCTGAAAATGATCAGAGGATGTAAACTTGGAGGGCACGGTCAAGTCCTAAGACTTCTGACCTTGAACCTAGGAAGCAGTTCAGGTGGAAAAGTGTGTGAGAGCAGCTGATGAGAGTCCGACAAAGGAGATGGGGCAAGGGAGTGTGGGGTCAGCGAGGGGGAGGAATGGTATGTGGGTTTCTGCTGTAAGGACCCAAAGAGGGGAGGAGGTGCCCAGGAGATGGAGGAGAAGGAAGAATGTCCCCATGTCATCTCGCTGCTCCCCAGAAGGGACAGATGGAGACTGGGGGTGCCACAGGGCACCCTGCCCTTTGTTCCCTCTAACCTCTACTTCCCTCTCCTCTAAGCCTCCAACTTTTCCTTCCTTACTCTTGCTGTGACTCCCATACTGCTTCCCCCTCAGGTTAGCTGAGATGCTGCCCCCTCCCCACTTCACTGCCTTATCTCTCATTTCCTGTTTGTTACCTGCAGCCCAGCGACCAAGTCCTGTAGTTGCTTGGAGGAGACCTCACAGCTGGCCAAGGTTCTGACGCAGTGGTCCTACCTGGTGAGTCCACTCGGAAGCCCTGGCTTTCAGGGGTGGGTGTCTCAAGGGCACAGAGATGGGAAGAACAAGTCATGCGTGCCTGCGTAGACCTCTCTAGCTAGCTCAGGCCTGCCAGGGCCAAAGATGGCATCTTGGACTTCTTCCGTCTCCGTGGGTGTGAGCCGAGGACTGCAAAGCAACAGGGTGGCAGCAGTGACAGCCGGAATGCCCGTCAGTCAACAGCTCAAAGCACAATCATGTGAACATCGGAATCTGTGTTTAAGGAGAAAATTGTGTTTGAACTTGTAGGGCATATTTCTCACTTCACAAATGACAGCACATAAGAAAAACAGCAGAGATCCTGAAATGCAGAGAGCTCCCCTCTACTGGGTCCCTGTATGGACAGGGCTTGACCAGCTCTTCCACATGAATGGTTGCAGCCCAGTCGCTGGGGCCGTCATTGCTGCCCCCCACCAGGGGCTGCAGTAGCAGGGAGCTTGGGGCTGGAGCCAGAGCTGGAAAGCAACCTGGGCATCCCACAGCAGGACTCAAGCATCCTGGCCCTGGGAGGGAACCTGGGGCCAGTGGTGTGCCAGTCTGGCTGGCACCTCCTTGGCTTCTAGAGAATCAGCTTGAAGTTTTCCCTGGTACTGGGACCTCAGAAGTGAATGTGTATGAACTTAGCTTGATTCATCAGAGAGGCCTACAGTGTGGGACAGAGGAGCATGTGGCCAGGGCATGCAGAGTGTGATAGGTGACAGCGGCTTTGGGAATTCCCTGGTGAGGGCTGCCACATGGACATGCACCCCTCTGTGCCCTCCTGCAGGAAGCCTGGGACAGCCTTCTGGCCACCAGCAAGTACAACAAGCAGGAGTCCTTCGCAGTGGTGTTCCAGCCCTTCTTCTATGAGACCTCCCCGTCATTGCTTTCAGTGAGTGTGGGCTGGGAAAGGGGCCTGGGCCACACAAGCTTCTCCCACCCTCCACTCCCCACAGAAGAAGCTCCAGCCCCATATAGTTGTGCTGAGCCCAGCATACCTCCCAGCTCTGGGTAGCATGGCCTCCCAGTCCTGGTCATTCCCTAGATCCAGATGCTGCTTGGCAAGCATGCATGGTCTCCCAGCAACTGTGATGAGCCAGGAGAGAACGATTGGGGGTCCCCAACGTTGCTCCCTGGAGTGAGGGACCATCAAGATGGACAGTAGTGTGTGTGATGGAGGAGGGTGTTGGGGTAGGGATAGACCATGTACTGACCAAGGTCTCAGCGGCCACTGAGGCTTCAGGGCCAGGCTTGGCCACAGTTCTTCCCTTGAGACCCCAACTCTTTCCTGTGGGTGTCCCCAGAACCCATGCCATGTCCAAAGCAATGGTTTAGGTAGGAGGAACAGAAACGTAAGTTCTGCCTTTTCAAACCTGCCCCCAAATGGCTGCCCTGCCACAGCTGCTCAGTTCAGTTGTAGGGAGCCCTGACCGCCTGCAGGACCACATGGTTGCTCTGAGGTCCCAGGCCTAGACTTGCAAATGCCACCGTTGCTGAAGAGAGGGGCTGGGCCCAGGGAAAGAACCCAGATGGATCAGAGCCACTGTCTCCATGGCAATAAAGATGGTTGTGGTGGTGATGTGGGGGTCATCACATCCTTGCGGGGCTCTATCCGGGGAGCTCCCATCTTACTGGACTCTCTTGTAGGCGGAGCCCCCACTCCAAGACCCCAGCACACTGGCCTTGAGTCTCTGGAACAAAATGGTGAGTGGCAGACTGGAATCTGGACCCATCTAAAGTGTGGCCCATGGAGCAGGGGTGTGGCCTGTGCAAAAGGAGCTCCAGAGTGACAGCTGTGGGGCACAGCCACATCTCATCCCTGCCCCAGCCCGGAGCTCCCCAATTTGGTCCCATCACTGTCTCTGCTCAGCCTCCTCTCCCATTTAGGTTACGTTGCAGATTTGAAGGGTGATGAAGCCTGGGGTGGAGACCTCACCCTGATTCTCAAAGCTCTGTGGCTTCAGAGTCTCAATTCCCTTTCTGCTAACCCCGATCGTAACTGCTGACCCCCACACTGGGGTGGGGCTCACTTCCAGAGCCTGGACCTGTGACAATGACTGCAGGGGAACCTATCATGAAAACCCTCCTTCTATCTCCTTGGTGAGGTGCTGAGTGCCCCAGTTGCTGCACGTTGGCACATGCTAATTCACCCATGTAAGACAGAGTGAGGCAGGGCAGGAGGGTCCCCCAGTGGTAGAGGCTCACTGTAACTTTGGAGAAGTCTGACTTCTTCATGGGGCTGCCATGATTCTTGTAGGGAGGTAGGGATTCTGTCCCCCCTCACCTCACTCTCAGCAAACCACGTTGCTGTTGATCTTCTATGCTGAATAAAGGACAGAACCCCAACCCCTACTGCCACCCTCTCTCGGGGGCAGGGGCTGGTTGATCCAGCTCCGTCAAACCTCAAGCCTCCTTGTTCCCATGTCACTTTTCTCCAAGCTGGCAAGAGGGCCCTTGGATGACATACCCTGTCCTACGCCAAGCAGGATACAAGAGACCCACCAATCGTGGTCTCTGGGTATGGAGCTTAAAGTGCAGCTGGGAAGGGTCAGGTAAGTGGAGGAATGAGAGAAAACGGGCCCAGCAGGGGGTGTGCCAGGCTGTGTGTGCAGACAGTATGGATGCCAAGATCAGGCCATGTGTGCCTGGGGTGCCCTTCCCGGCCTCCTCCAACAGCTTTTTCCAAGCCACCATCTCAACAACCTTCCCTGGACCACCACGTACTATCCCCATACATGTAAGCAGGCCACGTGCTGGGTTGTTCCCATAGACCAGCTTAATTCTCAAGAAATTAGTATCACAGCAGGGCAGGACAAAGGACACTGGACCAGGAGTTAGCACACCCAGGTCCTGGTTCCAGTTTTGTTTTTAGTAGTTTCTTCAGGCAGGTACCATGGTCTCCCCACCTGCAAGAAGAAAATTATGACCCTAGCCAGGTCAGAGGGCTCGCAAATGAGTGGGTGTCTTCAAACCCTTGTGTCTACTAGTTGAGTCTCCCACCAGCATCCACAGAGTTTTAACTGCCTCCAGCCCACTGGTTCTCAGCTGCATTGGGCTTCACCAGGAAGGGAGCCAACTGTGCCTCCCCTATACCCGTGTTCATAGTCATACACAACCCCAGTGAGGGCTGCCTTCCCATGGCATTGGGGAGGCCAAGAAGGGCTGGTGGAGTCCCTGTGATCACAAGCATGTCCTGGTCAACACAAGGCCCGGCCAAGGGCATGGGGATCTGCTAGGCAGCCCTCAGAACCATATGTGCTGCACCGCCACCCCAGGGCCATGTCCAGCCCTGCTCTTGCAGGGTGCCGACTTGTAGAGGCAGTAAAGGGAAAGCTACACCTGCCAGCACACAGTGGTCATGACCGCCCTTTTGGCAAGGTGCTAGGGATTGTCCCAGCTCTTTGCAGGCTCTCCCGAGGGCTGCTGGCTCTTGAGTGTGTGGCTGAGCAGGCTTTGGCTTGCGGATGTGACTCCTTCTCCAGGCTCTGTCTGCTGCTGGGATTCCGGCACAATGGTGGTGTCTACAGGACTGGCTCTAGAACATGAGTCCCATACCCCCCCTTTTTCCATCACCCCCTACCCCCAGCCCTTCCTTGTGCCAAGCCCTGTGAGCAACCAGGGACCTACTCCCCTGGGCTTTTGAGGTTATGGCCTTGATCCAGTTAACTTCCTGGTGATGTCAGGGAAACAATACAGGGCACCTGCACACCCTGAAAGGCCCAGGGAGTGGAGGAAGCACGCAGCCCAGCCCAGCTCACTGCAGGCAACAGGGTCTGTGCCTGTCACTGGGACGGGGGAGAAACAGGGCTGTGGGCACTGTGGTTGAAAGTAGCTATATTGTTCTCCAGCCCAAGAACAGAGGGTAGAACAGCTATGTAGAGGGGAGGCAAGAAAGAAACAGGTAGTGACCAGGGGCAGGCAACAGTTCTTTTTCAAAATAAAAAAAAAAAAAATCATTTAAAGAGCGAGATCTGGTGTTCACTACCCAAGTCCCTGGTGGGGCCAGATTGAAAGCAAAAGCCAGAAACTCTATCTGGGTCTCCAACATGGGTGGCAGGCACCCAGGCAGTTGAGCCATCATCCACTGCCTCCCAGGGATGCGCATAAGCAGGAAACAGGAGCTAGGAGTAGGGTCAGGACTTGAGCTCAAGCAGCCACCTCCAGGACAAAGCTCATACCACATTGGGGTTACTGAAAAGATCTGTGAATTTCCACTCTCCCAAATCCTTAAAATAGACCCCGCCACTCTTACTTCCAAAACTCTGGAGCTCCCTCAAGCTTTCTTTCTTGATGTTATAGAGAGAGCTAAGTGTACTCCCACCAGGCCTTCAACCCCGGCCCACTGTGAGCATTGTCTGCGAGAGCAGCCTTAGATGGCCCAGGTGGGGCTCCACTTGCTCTGCCCTGTTTCGGGGAGCAGTCCCCATGAGAATAAAACTGAAAGCAGTTTGAGGGCCTGCTCCTCCAGCCTTTATGCCAATATCTCAACATTCCTTGGCCACATGCTGATTGCACCTCTTTATCAGGTTCTCTTGCCATCTGGTGAGAAGTTGCTTGAAAAGGGTAAAGTTCTCTCCTGACTGCTTGGGGTGCAAAGACTGGGATAAGATAGCACCGAGAACCCTGGACACATGTCCTGGGACTGAGCCAGGCATGTGTTCCTTAGGTAGTCTTGTGCATTCCTCTGTCAGAATCCATGGACGCAGAGGTGAGGGACAAAGGTGTCTCTGGAGCCTGCAGTGCCTGGCACCTGCTGGAGTCCCAGGCTGACCTCCACACCAAACCGGAGTATGCATCATTGCCCTGGAGGATTGCTAACACACTGAAGGGGGCGCTGCATCTCAACCCAGAGTGTCCAAAGACCCGGCCCGTCTTGGGAGCGTATGAGGGGACTATAAGGTGTTCCCAGCAGTCCCAGCGTGGCTGGCCCAGGGCATCAGCTGTTGAGACATGGGTCTGCTTATGACTTTCTCAGAGAAGCTTCTGGAGGCTGCTCCGCAGGCAAGACTTTTTCATTCTAAAGCTCTCCTCTCCCTCCAGATGGAGCCTGTAGGAAGGAAGGAAGAGCCATTCAGTGAGAGAGAGAGGAGGCCACTGAAGTGTCCCTCGCAGGTAGGTGGCTCGGGACGGGATGGGGCACCTGCTGAATTGCAGGGGCTGGCGGGGGCAGCCAATGGACACTGCTGTGTGTTGGGGTTTTGCCACCCCTCCCCCCTACCCCCTACAGAGGCGGGGCTCTGCCCATCTGGGCCTGAGCAGTGCTTCCTGTAGGAGGCCGCCTTGAGGCTGACGCTGATGCCTGTGGGGCATAGAGAGCAGTTTCTGGAGAAGCAAGACCACTCCACAACTGTGGAAAGATGGGTACAAGGCCGCTGACCCCAACTGCTACCCGTACCTCCTCCTAGGGCCTTGTTCTACCATGGCCGGGGGAGGAGGAGGAGCTGATGAGCACTTGAACTTGGGCCACTGGGGGTGTGTCTTGCACCTTTGCCTAATGGATAGTAGGCACATCATTACTGCATACCTGGATGAGAAAATAAACAGACATTGATGAGTGAGAGCCTCTAGCATAATACCAGTTAACAATTTGTTTTTAATTTTTTCACTTTTTAAAAAATGTTGGGTTAATGTATGACACTGGCTCATTTTTACAGTATATGGTACAATGTTTCCATTCCATGGATCGGATACTTGGATCATATCAGACAGTTGGCACTTCCACCTGGTTGTCCTGTGTTTGCATTTGAAGCTGCTGGCACCTCTCTTCCTGCTTCTTAGGCAGTTTGGAGTACCTTGTCATGAACCACGTTGGACCCCTCAGCTGTGGAAATGTTTAGCTTTCTTAGTGAATCGGTTTTTGTTAGTAGGCAATAAGAAGAATGCCGTTTGCCCCATTTCCCTCTTTGCCTTGGCTGCCAGGAAGCTTAAGTTCTCTCTCCCTTGAGATGTCTGTGCCATAAGCTTCTGGGACAGAGTGGGAGATTTCAGAGCATGGAGTGGGCTCCCTTAGGGAGCTGACAGCAGTCCAACAGACATTGTGGCCATTTCCAGAAAGTGACAGTCCCGCTCCCAACTGGCCCACATGCATCTCTAGGTGACGAGCTGTGGTAGTTAAGGAACACTGATTTCTGGGTCCCAGTCACAGCGCCCTTTCTCTGCAGGAGAACCCCTACCTGTTCACCTACGGGAACAGCAAGCAGCTGTCCAGATCATCACAACCCAAGGGGAAGCTTGAGGTAAGAAGAGGTTTTCTGAGACCAAGAAGCATGCAGATAAATCAGGAACCACCCCCCCTTGCTGAGCCTTTGGAATTATCCAGAGTTCTTTAAGTCCTGGGACTCCAGCTGCCTCTGGGCACACAGGGGCCTGCCAAGTGCCAGAGGTTGCCACGTGCAACTGAGAGATAGCTGACACGGGCAGGAGAGGTGGGAGGTTAGGTATGCAGCTGCTCCTTTGGTGCCTAGAAGCAGAGGTCCCCAGCCTCTCCCAGGGGTGTTGATGTTCTTAGCCATGGCTGTTCATCTTCTAGGGTTTTCTGAGTTTCTGGCAAGTTCCCCTGAGCTTGGACCCTGAATCTGAAAAGAGAATTAGGCAAGGCAGGCTACATAGACAAAAACCCCACCCTCCCTAACAACTGGGTCTGGGGAGTGACAGTCTTGGGTCATGTACAGGAAAGAGCGTGCTGGGCAGATTTGGGCTGGGGAAGAAGCCTGAGGCCTCAAGGCAGCAAGGCCAGTGAAGGCTGAGAAAGAGAGACCCCAGGATTGGGGCTGAGCGAGGGACCCTGGAGAGGAGGGGACTGAGGTGGGAGCATTAGGCAAAGGTATGTTATAGGAGCTGAGCGTGATGGCCAGGGAAGACAGAAATCTCAGAAGGGTTTGTTTTGCCTCAAGAGAAATTTCCCAAAAGAGAAGCCTGACTCCCCAGGGTGGTGCTACACCTCTCTTCTCATTCTGTGTGTCTCCTTCCAGGTGAGAGAGGGGACAGAACTCAGATGTCCGGACAAGGACCCCTCGAATGAGATTCCCACCTCAGGTATGCTCACACACTGAAGACCCCAAGCAGGCAGGGGCTGTCCTTGTGGTCAGAGGCTTCCGGAGGGGACTCAAGGGTGTGTGTGTGTGTGTGTGTGTGTGTGTGTGCGCGCGCGCGCTCATTCATTCATGCCAGTGGCAAACAATTCCTGAGCTGCAACTGGAAACAGTGCAGTATCAGGAGATACTTCCTGTAGGCCAGGCCATGTCCTGCAAAACAGCCCAATGTGAGCTGGGCGAGTGTGGATCGTTCCTTTTCCCCTGCCTTGCTGGGTGAATTTGTTCTCCAAAATAAGCAAACCTACCTGCAGTCAGAAGGTGGAAATGGCTGGCTAAGTTACCTGTGGAACACGATTGAGCACCGTCCCCCAGGAGCTGGCATCCCCACCCGTGGCCCTGGAGAGTGCCTGGATGTATTTGCATATGGGCTCACTTTATCCATTTACTGGAAAAAGTTTGAGGCCTCTCAGGTACCTTCCAGAAGTTTCCATTCTAATGGATCTGCTCATGGCTTCAAGATGATTATAAAAGATACAAAATGGGGTTTGAAAATGCCATAGTATTTTTGAAGAAAACTTGCTGAAATCTGCATCTTTGTATCAGATTTTCTCCTTGTTCTGTTAGTTGAGCAAATCAATGCTGTGATGAGCTTTTACACATCTCCAGGCTTTACACACTCAAACAAAGCCGATATAAATGTGAACATTGTCTCACCAAGACCTTGCAATGAAGTTGTAGAACAATGGGAACAGGTGCCTGTATCAGCCCTTCTCCTGTTGCTGCCACGAAGCACCTGCTCAAACAGGCAGAAGGCTGATGGGGTGCTCAGTTCCTATCCAGTTGCTGGGGAGGCCCAAGGACCTCCTTCGCTGGGACAAGCAAGCCAGGAACTGGCTGTGTGTAGATAGGGGAGGGTGTGCGAGGTGACCTTGCTTTCTACCAGCCCACTCTGGAGAGAACTCGCTCATTCCCAGAGACCAGCTTCAGTGCCTTCCAGGGCAGTACCCCAGGGACTTCAGCCTCCCCCTCCTAAAGTGTCCATCACCTGGACACAACCATGCTGAGGAACAAGCCTGCAGCACTGGGGTGTTTGCAGGATGTTCTGCATCAAACCAGAGCAGCGATGTCGGTCTGACACACATGTGCAATTGATGCTAGCTCGTTCTGATGGGTTGCTTTGCTAATGGATGAAATAAAGCATCAGCTTCATGGATAGGCCCTTCAGTAGTGAAAGACTTACTCAAATATACAAATAGACATGTAGGTACATCTAGATATGGAAAGACTATCAATCAAAATATCCTAATAGCCATACACTTGACAGAGAAAGCAGATATCCACCACCACCCCCCCCTTTTTTTTTTATCTTGTTGCTTGGGAAAAAAATGACCTAGAAGGCATTTTGTAATCTGTCTAGATTACATTTCTATCATCCATTAGAACATATCTCAACATCTAACAGGCAGATAAAATGTGAATCTCCGATTACTCACCCGACCCTGAAGATGACTGTGTTTATCAGTGCTGGAAGATGTAAGAGCAAGAATCTTAAGACCTTAAGACCTCAGATAGCTTGGTGATAGGAGTTGTTTGAATCAACAGATAGATAAACATCATCCAAACACCACTCTCTCTGCCTAGGGGACTGCTGTCACAGCACAGTGTGGGCCTGCACTCCTCAGTCCTGCTTGGAGCATGGCTTCTAGAAAAAATGGCCACAGCCTCAGCGCAGTGAGAGATGCATCTGGTATGGTGCTGTGGAACAGTGATTGCACCTGCCAGCTCCACTTGCGATCTGTGGAACAGGCCAAGTGATAGCATAGAGCCACGTCATGACTTTCCTTTGATCATCATGTATTTTAGGTGGAGCTTAGTCACACTGGAGATGATGTTTCGCAATTTCTAATCGATCAAAGCCTTCTTGATATTTTATTTTGAAAGGCAAAGTGAGAGGAAAGGAGATGTGTTGCTTCACTTGTCACATGTCTTCAACAGCCAGGGCTAGGCCAGGGTGAAACCAGGAGCTTAGAATTTCACTGGAGTCTTGCACATGGATGGCAGTGGTCCAAACATGTGAATCCCCATCCACTTACCCCTCAAGATGCATTAGCAGGGAATTGAGTGAGAAGCATAGTAACAGACCCTTGAACAGGTATCCCGATATGGGATGCAGGCATTCCAAATGTTGCTTAACTCACTGTGTCCCATCTCCCTAATACAATTTTTTTCTTTTTTTAAAGATCTATTTATTTTTATTGAAAAGGTAGATTTACAGAGTCAAGAATCCTCTATCTGCTGGTTTACTCCTCAGATGGCCACAATGGTCAGAAGTGAGCTAATCCAAAGCCAGGAGCCAGGAACTTATTCTGGTCTCCCACATGGGTGCAGGGTCCCAAGGCTTTGGGTCATTTTCCTCTGCTTTCCCAGGCCATAAGCAGGGAACTGGGTGGGAAGTGGAGCATCTGGGACATGAACTGGTGCCTATATGGGACCCTGGCACTTGCAAGGTGAGGATTAAGCCATTGAGCCATACACCAGGCCTGATTCTGATAAAATTTTGTAAGAATGTATCCTCTTTCCTATGTAACTCAGCAAATGGTCAGAGTCTAGAAAATGCAGAGCTGATCTGAATTGCTGAGTATTTCCAACTCAGAAAATCATTGTGGATTTCAGGATTGAAAGATTTTTTTTTTCCCAATGAACTAGATCCATGTCTTCTACTAAAATCAATTTTTACTAAAAACATATTGTAGGTTAACTATTCATTTTGAAAGTCATTTCCAAAACTCTTTGATGTGGTAGCCTTTTCCAGTGTTTTTCTTGGTCCCCACAGCTGCATGGATCTGAAGATCACCAACAATGACGTTTCAAAATAGAAAGCTGAACAGGCCATGGTGTTGTCAGCTGACACATTTCTCTTTTCATTACATTCAGGGACATCCATTGACATAGGGGACTTTGGGATGAGATTTAAGAAGCTGGCATTGCAGCACAGTGGATTAAGCCATGACTTGCAACACCAGCATCCTGTGTAAATATTGGTTCTAGTCTTGGTTTCTCCACTTCTGATCCAGCTCCCTGTGAATGCTCCTGGGAAAGCAGTGCAAGATAACTCAAGTGCTTGGGCTTTTATCTTCCACATGAGAGAGCTAGCTAGAGAACCTGATCCATTTGGGGAGTGAACCAATGGATGGAATAACCTCTCTCTCTGTGTCTTTGAAATAAATCTTTTAACAAAATGAAGGTGAGGAACTAACATTGTTTGTACATAGTTGCCATTTGATAGTCAACATTAAAAGCTTGCAGTCTTCCCATCCCAGTCAGTGCACATGGGCAGACTGTTGAGCGCTTTCCTCTGGACTTGACACCTTGCATCACTGTGTATTACTTGATGGCTTGCTCCATAACACAGCTGAGATAGCCAAGAAAAACATATTGGGTCTCAGGGATAACTTTCGGTTTTCCTAACCAGACATTGAAGGTGAATGAAGTGAAAATGAAGTGCCAATAAAGGTCTAGAGGGCATGATGTTAACTGTTGAAGTTGGCTATCTTGAAGTCAAGCTTGTAATTCTATGCACAGATTCAGGAAGTAGGGATCCACAAAGCTAATTATATGCTGGCAAATGTTCCCACTGGAATACGCCATAATGGTTCATTCATTGAGTCTGAGCCATTGATTCTTTTCTAAGCCTCTGATGCCATTTATTTGGCTCATTTAGCAGTTGTTCAAAGGCTAATATTTAAATCTCCCCAGGTTATAACTCTAGATTCTGTACTCCTGAGAGATTAGAAGCCAATGTGTATTGTAAGTCCTAAAGCTATTTCTATGATTACCACCTGCTCATGAGGTATGTGACTTGACAGAACCTGGAACCAGGAAGGAATGAGGTCCCAAAGGGACTGCTGCTCAGCCCCAGATGTGACCAGGATACTACACACATTCAAATTCACGTATGAGACATGGAGATAAATGTTTCCCGGATGCAGGATTTCTACCTTTTAAAGCTTTAAGAGCTGCAAAATCTGTCCTGGAGCCACTTAGCTTTCATTCAAGCTCACATATTTCTTGATCTGCTGTGCATAAGGTGCACATATAAACTCACGCCTGAGACTCCCATGACAGAAGCAAGCTTCCAATCCTGTGCTGGCAGTTTGCCACCATTGTGGATGTATCTTCATCAGTCCCTAGCATCAGAGAGCAGATGGGCAGGGAATCCTAGCTGACTATTGAAATTCACTGTTTCAGATTTGGGTCCCAGGGGTTTAGCTTTTTAGTTTACATAAGACTAAGTCTCAGTGTGCTTAGCCTTTCTCCTGAGTGAAACTTTCTGGGACTAGTGGAAAGTTCCCTTGCTATTCGTGATTCCTAATCGGAGCTTGGCTGGCCTTGGATAAGAGGCTCCTCTGTAGAAATCTTGATGAGTTAATGATGTGTTTATCAACTTCGCTCAAGGTGGTGAACAGTCTGTACCAGATAATGGTTAGCCAATTGGCCCATACAAATTTAATCTTATCTCTAAATAGTTCTTTTGCCAAGGAGAACCATTGCTCAAGTGCTTTGCCGTATCTCCAGTCTGGGCTGTGTTTTTGTTGCAGAAAATGACATGAGCAAATCTCAAATCAAGGTCTGAGGAATATTAAACCAGTGGAATGTGTTGAACCCTGTCTTAACAAAAAAATAGGTCAAGTCCTCATTCTAAGGCTTGCTTCATTCATTGGGTTTATTATCTCTTGCTAAGAATCCTTAAAAGTGATCAGTTGGAAGAATCCCTCCTCCACAAGTCGATCACTCCACCCACCCACCCACCCTGTCCCGCACACCCACCTTGCGCCAAACACGTAGATAGATAGGTATGCATGTGTTCTCTGCCTACAACAAGTTTCAGAGATGGTCAATTTCATCTGTCTCTTTAGCAGTCTACAGTAATACTACTTTTGAAGCAAATTTGTCCATCTTACATTTTACCAGCCTCAAAGATTACCCCTAACCTTTGTACAGCAGCTAGTGTTCATAGAATTCAACTCAATTATGCATTATGGCAGCAAGAATGTGGTGATTGATGATCATCAGCAAGAGCTAAAATAAGCCACTCAAGAGTGGGGGTGGGGGCAGAGTTTTATTTTCTGTTCTGTAGCCTTTTTTACCCATAGCCTGATTTCTTTCAGAAGAGGTCCTTTTCAAGTTCTTATGCTCAACCCTGTGGGCCGGCGCTAATGTGTGCAGCTGGCTTTGTGATTTGATATTGTTCTCATAACTGCATAGTGTGGCTGTGGATGGATGCGGAGGGCCAGACAAACTACAGTCATGTGGAAGGGGAGACTCGAGGCATGGTGAGCGAGGAGGGAGGACTCTGAAGAAAGACATACAGCGGGCCTTGAGTCTAAGAGGCAGAGTCACAGACCTGCCTTCCGGCTTTGCAATGGCAGCCACAACCACAGCCACAAGCACGTCTACGTGTACACGCAGGAAATGTGACTCTGCCCTTTTAGCCACAGGAACAAAAACAGACCGCAGTCAACAGCTTAAAAAAGGAAAGTGTATTAGTGGTTTTCAGAAGGCAGTACCCCAACCCAGTGATAGTATTGGTATTACCTGGAAGTGTGTTGGAAATGGCAATCCTTGAGCTCATCCCAGGTCTGTGGAATCAGAGACTGAGGGTGGTGCCCAGGTACCTGTGTGTTGACAAGCTCTCCAGGTCAACTCCCTGAGGTCAGTCCAAGTTGGAGGAGCACTTGCTTCTACAATGTACACACATATATATTCACAGCGCCGTGTGCACTAGTGTGTGGCATCAACTGGGAAGGCGTGGACACATTTGTGTTGGGAGTGTGTGCTCAGTGCAAGGGGCAGTTCTCCACTGTGACCACTGGGAGAAGTAGAGAAGTTGACTGCGTGGAGGGGAGAGCCTGACGATGCCTTTAAACCTCAACCTTTGAGTGCTGATGCAGCTTCGGACATGGGCATGGTTTTACGTGTGTGATTTGAGTGTTGAGGGAGCTGTAGATTTGTAGTCCAGTTGGGTGGAAGGCGTCTCCTCCTCTGTTCCACTGCAGGTTTGCTAAGCTGTTGAGAAAGCTTCCTGAAGAAGCTAGGCTGCTCTGTGGTCCATGAAAGCTGTCTGAATGACACAGGGCAACAGCAGCATTGCACCACCAGTGGCAACAGCGGGTACCTGAGAGCAGACTTGGAGCTGTGGCCAAGTTCGGGTGCCTGGGCGGGAAGGTCCTTAGGGGATAAGGGGGAGCTTGTGACCTGAAAGGCTGAGCTATCCAGAAGGGTACTTCAAAAAGATGGTGGCAAATGGCATTAAAATAGAAAATCTATTTTGGTACCAAAAAATTGGTGTTGTGAATATGACAGATCTTCCAACAGTTCAAGGGGAATGTATAATATGGAAAATTATCCATGGAGTTGGACATTTATGTGCCAGCATGTATCTCTTCATTTTATTTTTGTACAAATTTTCCTTTTTTTGTACTGAGTTCTGGCATATGGCTTAAGGAGTTCTAGGTGTGGTCCCCTAAATGTACTTAAAGTTGTATTTCTGTGTATAGAAAGTAATGGGTTAGATACAGCACTAGGGAATGGGTGCAGGGAACTTCATATACTAAATGTCTGCTAAGTAGCTAGCACACATGAAAGGGCTATACCTTAACCTCTATCTCTCTCTCTCTTACATATATATTTTTTGCTGGAAACTCAGAGTTACAGAAATAGACATAGGGAGTGAGGGAGGGAAGGCGAGAGTGAGAGAGTGAGAGCACTTCCGTTCGCTGATTCACTCTCTAAGTAGCCTCAACAACCAGAAGTGAGCTGATATGAAGCTGAAATCCAGGAACTTCTGCAGCATCTCCCACATTGGCACAGGCCTTTAGCAGGAAGCTTGATTGGAAGTGGAGCATTTGGGACTAGAACTGGAAGTCATGTGGGATGCTGGCACTGCAGGGATAGATTAGCCTATTATGCCACTGCACTGGCCCCACCTGACCTTCATAATCTCCTTCATAAACCCTTGACTTGAGCCAAAACATGAGGCGAGTTCTGTTGGACAGACCTCAGCGCTTCTCCACTCCATGTTCTTCCTTTGTTTTTGTCTCCACCAGGTCCTCTCCCTCTGCCTCTCTCTCATCTTTCCTCCTGCTTTCCCCCTCTTCCATGAAGTCTGCTCTCATCCTTGCCCTGCCCAGGGCATCCTGCAGCCAGCTGTGGGGCTCTGTGGTACTTGATGCTTCCCACCATGTCCCTCTCTTTGTAAGTGATCCTCCTTGGGATGCATCTCCTCTTCTCCCTGGTGCTATGGCTTCGGGAAGGCATCTCGATGTCTGATGGCTGCGAGCCCCCTGTCACCCAGCTGCTGCCTTGGGCACACTGTGTGTGTCATAAGAGCTCACAGCTCTTTCAGCACTCCACAGCATGCAGCTGTACTCCAGAGATGAAGAAAGCACAGAGTTGGTATTTGCAAAATGGTTTGATGGTAACTCAGAGTTAAACGTGGGATTGTCATTCCCAGTTCCATTCCTAGGCATATACCCCAAGTAATAGCTAGTCTTCAGTCAAATACTTCTATACAAATATTCATGACTGCAGTATTCACAGGCTGGAAAAACTCAAGGTTGAAAAAAACCCCAAAAGTCCATCAACAGATGGATGGGCAAACTATGGTACTTCCACATGGTAGATTATTATTCAATCAGAAAAAGGGAGTAAAGTATGCATGCTGCAATATCAGTGAACCTTGGTGGCATGAAGCAAAGGAGAAAAAGCAGACACATGTGATCGCATATTGTACGATCCAGAATAAATAAATCCACTGAGGCAGAAAATCAATCTCTGGTTACTAGGGACCTGGAGGACAGAAGGATGGGAACATTTATAATGGGGACAAAATCTCCCTTTAAGGAAGTGAAAATCTTTTTGGAACCAGATGGAGATGATGGTGGCAGGACATTGCAAATGCACTGAATTCTACTCAAGTGTCCACTTCCGGGCAGCTAATTTTATGTTACATGAATTTCATCTCCATTTTAAAAGTAGAGTCAGTGGTATGAAAGTATTTTTTGAATCCCAAATATCACGAGCTCCTTGAATAGACTCTGGGCTACAGCTCCACCACCATCATTCCCTCCCTCCCAGCAGCCTGCCAAGGGCTTGCATGCCCCTCCCCACCTTGTAGCATCAGCCTCTCTCCAAATGCTAGCAGACACTGCCCCTGTTAGAGCTGGATCCCCCTTCCTGCTCCTGACCCCCTGGTGCCAGTGCCCCCCAGCTGGCACCATGGCTGCATTTGCTGACAAGGATGACTGATTGGATGTCCGGTCCAAGGCCTATGGCTTCCTCCCTGGTTGCCCGGAAGATGCTCTTTGTCTTCAGAGAGGAGGTGTCCCATGCTTTCTGGGAACCTCACCTTTCGTTCACTCCTGCTTGTCTGCTTAGTTCACAGGCTGAAGCCGGCTGACATCAAGGTCATAGGCGCCATGGGCGATTCCCTCACAGTGAGTTACCTACGTGGTGGGAGGAAGGGGTGGGAGACAAGATGGAGATGAATAGGAGAGCTTGGAGGGGGGAAGTTGAGGCAAACAGACTCCCAATGCTGGTCCTGCATGCCAGTGCCTCCCCATCTCCCTGCCCATCTGGGGCTTCTGGCATTCTTCCCCCACTTCCATGTTACTCCCAGTGTTCTGTCTCAATGCTGGGATGAAGGAGATGGCAGGGAGTGGAGAGGCCCCAGGGAATAGAAGTGACCCATCCTAAGTCACACAGCCCATCAATGGTTGGCAGAGTTGGACAGGGTCTCCAGGGAAGATCAAAGGTCCTGGGCTTGTTTTATCCATGGAGGAAATGCAAGGGCAAGTAGCCAGGGAGGTGACAAGACAGCAACAGGTGCTATGTGGAGAAGGCAAAAGGACCCAAGGTGATTCAAGGCCACCTCTATACCTGTCTTATGGTGAAGCCCCTGACCCCACACTTCTATCCATGAAAAAAAGAACCAGGCCCTCAGAGAGCCTGGGGAGGGAAGCCTAGATGGAGTTCAGCTGCTGGACCTGAGTCTCCAGCTGAATCCATCACCCCACCTGACCCTGAGGACCAGCTGGCATGTGACTGTGGCCTGTGCACGATGTATTTTGTTCACTAGCCCTGTGATGATATCCTGCAACTGTGACTTCCCTTAAACACAAGCAAGGTGAGGTTGGGCAAGGCGAAGGTGGTGCCCAGGCCCCCTAAGCTGCGAGTGCCGGGACCAGGGCCACCACTCAGGGCTCCTGGCCCCTGCTGGCCTCCCCCATGAGGCACAACCGGAAGTCAGCCTTCATCCTGGCTGCCCAGGGGGGCGCTGGTCAGACCTTGGCACGTGTGTAGCTGTGCTCAGAGAAGATGTGCTTCAGGCAGGGGACAAGCACCTGCAGAAAGTGTCTACACTGTGGCTTCAAAATCCATGCTATTTCCTCAGCTGGATGCAAATACGTGGGATTCCATTTGTGGTTTTGCCTTTTGTTTTTGATGGACACATGGTATTTGTACATATTAGGGGTATATATGCCCACACACATATATTGGGCCTAGTGAGCGATGATTGGCTCAAGATATCAGCGAGTTTAAGATCTGCTGTTTCTCTGGGTTGGAAGCATTCAGCAGGCCTCTCTGCTAGCTCACGTGAGATGTTCCAATTCACTGTTACTGACTGTAGCCACCTGACTGTGTTACAGGATGGAAGCAACATGTCCGCCCAACTGCAGCCCTGGCCCGTGGGATTGGGTCTCATTATTTGTTCTTAAGTTGCATGTTTGGGAGATATGTTGATACAAGAGGAGGAGGAAGTTTTCTCTTATGCATTTCACAATTAAAAGAAAGAATGAACTACAGGAGCCTGACACGCGTCCTTTCCTAGCCCTGCTGCTAGCTTCGCTGGAACCTGGGCAGGGCAGAGCTCTCCAAGAGAGGCAGATCTGTGGGAGCTCTCCCTACAGGTGCTAAGGAGGACGCGCCTCAGGCTCGCACACAGGTGGTCCTGGCTAGGACAAGCACACAGACCCTCCTGCAGTGGGCAGATGGGACAGCAGGAAGCCTCACCCTTCTTGTTCCCTTGCAGGCAGGCAACGGGGCCGGGTCCCTGCCCGGGAACGTCCTGGATGTCATAACTCAGTACCGAGGCCTGTCCTGGAGGTGAGTGGGGCGTGACCAGGCAAGGGATGGGCCGTCTGGCTCTTTCCCATCAATAACTTCTGGGTTCAGTTGAAGAGAAGAATTTGTCAGTTTCCTGAAAAGGAGCTGAGATTCGAGCCAAGCAGGGTTCTGGGGGAAAGACTCACATCACGGTTTGGGCTAGGACTGTGTCTCCATTTTCCATGTGTCCCTTCTGGGATCATCTGAGAAGGACCTGTAGCCAGCTCCCAGCTCTGTGTGTCCTGGGACAAGAAACTTTTCCAGGTGCTTCTGCCCTCCGAGGCAGAGACAAGCTATCCCCTGAACAGTGCCTAAAGACGAGAGAGACAGTTGGGGCCCAGCACAGGGTCTGACCCAACAGAGGCAGTGAGAGCAGCTGGCCTCATGGCACAAGGATCTTCATCTCACAGTGGGGAAAGCAGGGCCCAGAGTGGGCACCATCTTGAACCAGGAGGGCAGGGAACAGGAGTCGGAGCTTGCCGAGTCCTAAGCCTGGCATGGGCGTGTTCTGCTCTGCCTGGATCTGGCTGCCTTGAGCAGTGCCTGGTCTTCACTTCCGTGCCTAGCCAGGCTGGGCCAGGTGGTCTGCGGTTTTTGCAGTCTGGTCCCAGCCTCTGCGTCTGACACTAGCTTTATCCCTGGCACCCAGCCTGGTGGTGCTGTTGTACCATTAGCCCACAAGTCTCCCCGGGCCTTGCAGATATTCCCAGGCACGCCTGCTTGCAGGGAGGGGGCTGGGAAGCCAGGGCATCCAATCAGCTCTGGAATGCTGAGTATTTTCGTGCCTGGAAACCCACCTAGCTTTGATCTGAGAATTGGCTTACCCTCCCAAAGACATCCTTTAAAAAAGAAAAAAACAGGAAAGGAAAGATCAAGGCAGGCTTTTTTCTTTTTTTTCCTGTGTTTTTAGTGATAAAATTAAATGTACAGCTGCAGGGGTAGCCAGCACAGCACGGAGCTGGCCAGTGCAGGGTCGTTTCAGGGTGCAAAGGGTCCAGTTGAAGTTCCCTGCTCTCATGTGGGGGCTCCACATTTAATTCCAACGTTAACAAAATCAGCCTCAAGTGTGGGCTTCATTGGAGGGGAGAGGGCTGTGGTCTGGGTTTGCTTTCGGCAGTGAGGAGGAGACAGGGGAGGTCTTGTTCCAGGTCTTGGGGTGGAGTGGTAGAGGTGGGGGCGGGGGCAAGGGGCCGTTCTCCTTAGAAGCAGGTGCAGGGGGATTCTTCCACAAAGCTTCTGCAGCACTTCACAGTTGCCACCCTCTGAACCCCTGTCTGTCTATTCCTTCCATGCAGTGTCGGCGGTGATCAGAACATCAGCACCGTCACCACGCTGGCCAGTAAGTACGGCCAGGGCTGTAGCGTTACCCCGCGGGAGGGCTGCTCGGGCAGAGGCAGAGTCCAGCCGTGGGCAGCAGGGGGCGCTGCTTCCCCGAGGCTGTCACTCGGGCTGCTGGGCGAGGGGGTGTGGTCAAGAAAAGACGCTGCCTTTATCTGAGGAGGGAAGAAAGTTCAGCTCCCATCTTCGTGAGGGTCATTAAAAGTAATTCAAAGAAAGAGAATAGAAGAAGCTCCCATCTGCGAAACCTGGTCTTGACCTGGGCACCTGCGGAATGGGGTGGGAGTTCCAGTCCCTAGGGAGTCGCTGGAGCAGGTGCTGGCAGTGCAAATGTGGCAGTGTGTGTTCTTAAAGCCAGGCTGCATCCTCCGGAGGGCCAGGTCTTTCTATCCCGGAGCAGGTTGCTGAGCTTGTTGTTGAAATGTACCTGCCACAAAGGTTCAGAGTAAATTCTTTGCCCTGAATCCTGCTCGACTGGCGATTTTGCCTGCAAGCTATGAGATGAGTCCTATTCCCGTTTTTCTGGCGTCTGTTCCTTTGCGGATGAGTCCTGAGAGGCTAAGAAATTCTTTAAGCCTCAAGTCTCCAGGACTCTGATGGCCGGGGTGTCTCCTCTCTACCTGGATCCTGCTAGATGGGTGACGCGTCAAATGCCATGGAATCTGAGCTTTTTGCCACCAGTATGCCCGGTGGCCTCAATTTGTGAATCTTTACACAAGGTTCACAAGCTCCCCCACTGCTGGGAGGTGCCTTGGGGTGCTTCTGAGAATGTGGTTGATTCTGCTACCGGAGGACTGGCAGGACAGGCCACTTGCCAGGGCTCTGGTCCTGCTGCTGACACCCAGGGCAACAAGACCAGGAATTGTCTGTCTCAAAATCTTTTTACCCCAATGATTGGCAAAGGCCACTCCAATAAACTTAGCCCAGGAATGGGATGCTGGTTGATGATATTTTTTCCTAGCAGGTTATACAACCAGTCTGAATATAGGGGTTGGATAATCCAGAGGGGACAAGCACATGGAAATGTATTAGAAAAATTATAATATGGAAGGTTGGAGAAGAACCTCTGTTCAGCCCTCTTGTTGCTATTCGCTTTAGTCCACCAGGCTAGACTCCAGTGCTAGGTGCTTGGGAAGTCGATGAGGCACTGATGATGCCACCAAGGTCTGTCCTTAAAGACGGGCAAGTGAACCAACAGTTACCACCATTTGCAAAGTTTAGAGGAAAACAAGGAGGCTGCTGAACTCTGTCTTCTGAGAAACAGCTTTAGGATCTAGATTCCATCAGACAGAGATAACTGTGTGTAAGTTCATGGCCTAGCTGGCAGACGCTGGATTCCCCTAGGAATGGGTACCCACCACCTCCCAGGACTAACCGCTGCATGTGCACACAGCTCAGGTGACTTCAAAGACCTTCCTTCTACTCGTCACAAGTCAGAGTGGTTTCAGTCCCTTAGTGGAATCGCCCCAGCACCACAAGGCAGGGGTCCAGTCCAGCTGTGTTCAGTAGACCTTCAGCCAGGGTTCTGTATCACATGGAGATACATACATACACACACATCCCTGGGAATGGTTTTCCTCACTTGTCTGAACTTTATTTAGTCAATTTATTGAGCATTTAGGAGGCCCTGAAGCCTACACAGACTTCACTCTCTGGAGTTTGTAGTCAAGTTGGTCCCAATCCTAGCAGTTAGGCAAGCAAATGAAAGAAAAAAAAAACATCAAGATTAGAAATTAACTGTTATTTGAAGGTGACATGATCTTACATATAGAAAACCTTAAGGGAGCCAGTGTCACAGTGGGTAAAGCCCCTACTGATGGTGGCAGCAGCTCCCCTGTCAAAGTGCTCATTTGAGTCTTGGCTATTCTGATGTAGCTCCCTGCTAATTTATCTGCTAAGGAAACAAATGATGCACAGAGTACCTGGGGTCTTGTCGCTCACGTGGGAGGCCAGCATGCTCCAGAAATGTCCTGCATTTGTCTTTGACTGTTGAGGCCTTTTGGGGAGTGAACCAGTAGATATAAAATCTTTCTCCCTCTTCTCCTTCCGCCCATCACCTTGCCTCTCAAATAAATACTGTAAAGATGAATGTCTAAGGAATCCATTAAAAATTGTTGGGACTAACTAGAGGATGCAGTGCAGTTGCAGGACACAAAGTCAATATGCAGAAAGCAGTTGTATTTCTGTTCACTATCCAAGAAACTGAAAATGAAATTAAGATAGTTGCATTTATAGCAGAACCAAAAGGCATAAAATATTTAGTAATAAATTCAACAAAAGGAGCATGTCTCTTAGATTTTCAAAATGACAAATCATTGCTGTAAAAAAAAATCCTAAATGAGTGAAAAGCTATCCTGTGTTGGTGGATCAGGCTGACTTGCTAAGGTAGCAATACTTCTAAGATAAACCTAAAGATTTGGTGTAATCCTGTCACAGTTCCAGCTGGCTTCTTTGTGGAAGTTGGCAGGCTAGATCCTAAACTTTGTGTGGAAAGCCCAACAGCCCCAAATAGCCAAAACAGTCTTGACAAGGATGAACTAATTTAGAGAATTCTGACTTCTCCATTTCAAAACTTCCCAGAAAGTTACAGTAATCAAGACTATGTGGTTCTGCCATAAGGATAGACACAGACAACATTAGCATTGAGAGAAAAAAAAAGTCTTAGAATTTATGGCAAACTCATTTTCAACAAAGGTTCCAAAACCATGCAACAGGGAAAGAAGAGAGAGTGTGACAAATGGTGGCGGGGTAGACGCCTAGTCCCACGCAGAGACTGGGGTCCCTCTCACACCACTACAAAGATACACTCCACTTTGATCATAGAGCCAGACATAAGAGCTACGCCTAATGCTTAGGAGAAAATGTAGGAACAAATCTCCATGAGCCTGGGTGCAGGCATGTCATCTTGGATTGGCTACTGAAACTGCAAGTGGTGGAAGAAAAGCATTCGGGTCCAAAGAATACCTTCAAGAACATGAAGACAGTGCACAGAGCAGGAGAAAATGTTTCGCAGTCATATATGGGATGAAAAACGTGAGTCTAGAAATTATAAAAAAAAAAAACCTGTTAAAGCTAGATAAAAAAAAATGGATAGCCATTTCTCCAAAGAAAATATACAAATGGCCCATAAGAAAAAATGCTCCCCTCAGTGCAAACCCAAACCATAATGTGACACACATAATGTGATGCATGACAGTAAGAACCCGATCAGTGTGGGTGTGGCGAAGCTGCAGCCCTTCTCCAACTCTGCTGTTAGTGGGAGTGTAAAGTGGAACAGCTCCTCCGAGAACAAGGCCTGGCACGTCCTCAGCAAGTTGATCAGAGTTACCCTAAGGTATAGATATAGAAATCTATGCTAGAGAAATCCACATAAACATGCATACACAAGTGTTTGCCGCTGCACTATTTATGATGGACACAAAGTGGAAAGAACCCAGTGTGACAGCTGGAGAATGGATAAGTGAGGCAAAGTCGTATGATGGAATACTACTTGGCAGTCAAAAGAGTGAAGTCCTAATGTCTTTTATAACATAGGTGAAGGTTATGGACATTGTGCTAAATGGAAGAGCCATGAATGTATTGTACAATTTCGTTCATGTGAGATGTCTGGGATAAGCAAATCCAGAGAAACAGAAATTAGATGAGCAGTTGCCATGAACAGGGATGGGAAATGATTGCTGGGGGACACCGGGATTATCTTTGGGGCAATGAACTTGTTTTGAAGTTGATTATGGCCATGGTTGCATAACTTGATAAATACACTGAAAGATTTTAATGGTATACTTTTAACTTGAGGGCTTTCACAGTAGGTGACATATATATTGATGAAGAGGCATTAAGTACAAAGGTACTTTTAAAAAGTTCATGGAAAGCAGAATTAAAAAATAATGTTGATGCAAAAACATTCTGGGATCTGTTATATGTTTTCACATTGCGCATGTTCCATGGATGGTTTGAAGAACCCCTGTGTGTTTGGAGAAAAAGATGTGTGAGAAAACACTTAACTTGCAAAGCACCTAGTGTGTGCTACTCCTGTGGTTAAGCATCAGCCAGCTCCAGCTCCTACTTCTGTGCCAACTGAGGGGTGAGGGGTGGGAGCGGGCAGGTGGCCAGGGAGCACTTTGAAGGAAGCCGGAGCTCCCTCTGGGGTGGTTGCAAAGTGTGTCTCTCCTTTGTGTTCCTAGATATCCTCCGGGAATTCAACCCCTCCCTGCAGGGCTTCTCTGTTGGCACTGGGAGAGAGACCACTTCCGGAGCCTTCTTCAACCAGGCAGTGGCTGGCGCCCGAGCTGAGTGAGTGGGAGGGTTTGGCCTGACCTGGGGTCCCTTACAGGTGTCCCTCACTGGCTTGTTCCCATTTCTTCAGTATAGACGCTAGCCATGATGCTGATGCCAGACAGGTGCTGTGAGCAGGTGCTTCGACATCCTGTGTGTCCACATGAGACAGGCAGTACTAGGGCTCCCTGGGTACCGGCACTGTCATGGATGTGAAAGCCAGTGTCAGGGTTAGGGTTAGGGTCAGGATGAGGGGTCCTATGACATGCAGGGCCCTCCCTCCCAGGAAGCTTGGTGAGCACAGCCGCCACCATGTCATTGTCCACAGGCCCTGACCAGCTGGTCCTGGGGAGTGGGTCAGCCACCTTCCCCGGATCCCATGGCTCCGTTACATGCCAGGATTCCAGAACTTGGAGTGATTCTTGGGGTTTGCTGCCTGCTCAGAGGACAAATGAATGCCACATCAGTTTGGGAAAAAGAAACGGAGACCTTTTCTGTTTAAGTCCCGTTTTCCTCCTAGAATAATCACAAGCCATACTTTGCCCCTGGTTCCTGGGCTTCCTGCTCTGTGGTCCCTGGGTTCCATGCCCTACACTCCATCCTGACCTCGTCCCTGCCAGGACAAGTGACCCTGCATCCAAAGCAGCAGGTTGCACAGCCTGATGGATTTTTTTAAAAAATGAATGCAGGGGGATCTTTTTTAAAAATTATTACTCTGGGCAAGGGTAAGAATGAAAGGTTGCTGTGTACCTGACTGAAATTTGGGGCTTGATCCACTATGACCGAGGCATGAGTTGATGGACCATGTAAGAGGAGAGGCAGTTCTAAGCACGACTGAGACAGGGGACACCAAGAGTGCCAGCACAGAGTCAAACACATGAATGCAACCCAATTCTGCCTTTGTTTGGGGCTGTGTCACATGAGGGGCCCAAGCACGAACCAGCTGGTAGAGAGTGCTGGGATGAGAATTCCTACACGACAGGTGCAGGCCCCCGAGTGTGGAGGAGCTAAGGGGCCTGAACAGTGCAGGGCCCTGCCCATGTGTTCATCTCCCTGTGCCCAGCAGGCTTTCTCACACACTCCTCTCACACCTGCAGCCAGATGTGTGTGTGCATCAGCACTTGCATTGTGTAAGATAACCCAGTGAGATGGTCCCATGGCATGTCTACAGAGGAAAACACTAGGGCTCAAAGCATTTGAGAGGCTTAACCCATGTGTGCAGCCAGGGGAGCAAGGGCCTGATCAGGTCTGGTGGGGGGGAGGGCGATGCTTAAGGAAACAGGGACGGCAGTTATTTCCTGCTAGGCATGGGACCAGGGAGCTTACTGATGATGGTGGCAGAAAGAAGTCGTGACTGTGCTTGCCACCTGCCAAGCATTGTTAGTTACTTATTCATTTTTCTAAAGATGTATTTATTTATATTGGAAAGGCAGATTTACAGAGGGAAGGAGAGACAGAGAAAGATCTTTCATCTGCTGATTCACTCCCCAGATAGCTGCAATGGCCAAAGCTGAGCCAATCCAAAGCCAGAAGCCAGGAGCCTCTTCCAGGTCTCCATGTGGGTGCAGGGTTCTAAGGCTTTGGACCATCCTCTACTGCTCTCCCAGGCCACAGGCAGGGAGTTGGATGGGAAGGGGAGCATCCGGGACGCGAACCAGCACCCATATGGGATCCTGGTGCTTGAAGGTAGAAGGTTAAGGAATTGAATCATCCTGCCAGCCCCCATGGGTACTGTTCTAAGTTCTCAGTGCAGCACCTCGGTGAAGTCTCCAGTAGGTTCATGGAGAAGGTTTCTGTTTACCATCCTCACAGTGCAGAGCAGAAGGCAAGGTGTGCATGGTGAAGTGTCCCGGAGCTAACCCGGGGGAATCAGGCTGCTGCCCAGAATGTATGGCCCCAGCAGGTGCTTCTGCTCTGCTTTGCCCACTTGCCTGGCTGCTCGCAGTGGCCCTCTGAGATAAGATGGTATATTTCTCTGTTCCAGGTTTAAGCTGAGGATTTACATCCTGTTCCCACAATTGGGTAGAGACTATTTAGTGTCAGGCCCCAGTGTCTCTGGCTCAATCAGGTCACCTTGAACGTCAGGGGGCCAAGGTCATGGCACCTGCTCAAGCAGGCATGTGCTGAGCTGTACGTGCTGGGTGGTACTCACAGCTAGCCTTTCTGTTTGTGCTGCACAACCTGCCCTGGCAGAGAAAGTAGAAAATGAAACATGCCCCTCAGAGAGCAGTGGCTTTGAGGTCACCCCTTCATGTGGGCAGGCTCTGCCCGTCCCCAGCTCCATCAGTGCCCCCAGTGGCACTGCATGGGAAAGGGGGCTGTGTCAGGGGCATCAGTCCCAGTTTCCAGCAGGAGACCCACCCAACCTGGGCCTTCCTTTGTTACAGTTCTGACTTCTCCAAATTCTCTCCCTTCCCCCACCACCCCAAAACCCTTTGCTGGTTCCTTACACCTCCCTTCTCTTGTGTGTGCCTGCAGTGGGTTAGTCGCCCAAGCCCAGAGGCTGGTGACCCTGATGAAGAATGACACGGTGAGTGTGGGGGCATGGAGTTGGGGCTCCTGGAACAGTGAGTGGATGCAGGAGATCCAGGGAGATGGAGAAGAGGGGGAGGGGGCGTTGATGAGCGATTTTTTTCCCCATAGCCAGAGGATCAGCTTCCCCATGCCTCAACCACTCCCTGGGAGTGCTGGAGGCTGGTGTAGGACCAAAGCTTAGGGCACTCCAAATCTGCTCCCCCAGGATGCTTGGAAAGTGTGACTTGTGGGTAACTGTGTGTGGACAGGGCTGTGTGGATACTCATCATGACCCCACCCCAAATAAGTGCACCCATGACTCAGGACCCCCAAACCAGAGGACAGAAAACACAAATCCCCACTATGTGCTTAATGGAGTCAACTGTATGTTCCTTAACCTGCCTCTCAGACAAGCTCTTACTTGTTGGTTTTCTGTTCATTTCAGAGGATAAATTTCCAGGAGGACTGGAAGGTTATAACGGTGTTTATTGGAGGCAATGACCTCTGCGATTCCTGCAATGACCCGGTACGTCCCCCAGCCCCTGCAGACCCTCCCCCAAGGAAGGATTCCCATGCCCCTGCCCACTACCCTCCAGCACCACCCCTTTTCTGGCCGCTGGAGCAGTGGTATGGCAGGATTGAGACCCAGCCTGGGCTTAACCCTGAGACCAAGAGGGCATTCACTGCCTGGGAGAGATGCACTGGAGGAGCAGGTGCCTCCCAAGTTCCCTGTGAAGGGAGCCTGATGGTTCTGGAAGATAGGAGGGCATCCCGGTCATCTGTAAGAGTCTTGCCCCGCTTTGTGAATGACCACAATCCTCTCCTGTGTTCCCAGGCTGTGGCTGGTCCTCCTTTGTGGGGTGACAAATCAGGGGAGGTGGACTTCTGGTAGAGGCAGCTAACTCAGGCACAGAGCTGCCCAGTGAACCGCCCCTCCTTGGGATATGCTCCTTGGGAGCCCCAGGTCTCTGCGCTGAAAGAGGGAGCCCCTCCCCCCGGGGGGGGGCAATCCTGATCTGTTTGCCACCCAGACTCCATGTGGGCTGTTTCCTCAAGAAACTGACTCCCACCCACCAAAACCTAGAACCTCTGCCCTATGACACAGACACCACCATGTGGTTCTGGTGCCGTGCATGGAACACAGCTTCAAGCTGGAGTCAGTGTGCAGTGGGCGTGGGGAACAGCAGGCTTCAGAGAGGTTGAAACAGGGCAGAAGCCTTCCAGTGTGGGGTGTGTGTGTGTGTGTGTAGCAAGGGGCGGGAAGCAGAAACCTTTTGGAGCCTGTGAGCACCTGCTCAGAAGAAGGTGTGGCCTGTCCCCCAGACCCCGAATGGCCCATGAAGGGTCAGGGATTCTCAGTCCGTGAAGGACGCATGGGGGTCTGGAGGCTGCCAGGAGTGAGGAACTGGGGCCATGGGCCTTTGTCCTGCTCCCCAAGTGACACCACCCTGTTCTCTTTCACAGTAGGGATCTTGGTTCAGTTTTAATCTGAGAGTTTGCTGGCTTTACAAAGTTTAAAAACCAACTATGTTATGATCTGGAGGAATAATGGTGAAGATGTATTACGCCTGGGATGTGGTTTGGTTTCACAGTACTCTCCACAGGACTGGAGATGGTTACGTCCCAGAGGTCTTAGAGGCGTCTGCTCCAGCCCTGGACAGCAGAAGGCCCAGTGATGGGATGCATGCTCCAAGTGACCTATTCCCAGGCAGACCTGGGGTTTTTCCTGGCTCCAGGCAGGAGAAGGACACTTCCCTGAGAATGACAGCTGCAACATGCCCGGGGGGGGGGGGCATGGTGCACCTGAAGCCCCCAGCACTAACCTATTTCCACATCACCGACTCTGACTTCAAGGAGGAGAAGACCAGAGAGGAGGGAGCCGGGTTTGCAGAGTGGGTGGCGGGCGGTGCTCAGGGAAGGCTCTTCTCCCTGCAGGCACGCTATTCTCCTCAGAACTTCACAGACAACATCGCCATGGCGCTGGACATCCTCCATGCTGAGGTATGGTGGATGCAGCCTCAGAGAGGCTGTGCCAGCGCAACTCCATGCAGCGTCACCTGTACCTGACTGCACAGGTGTGGGTAGGGGTGGAGGGATGAAGAGAAGAGAGCAGTGCAGGAAGTGTGCGGGGCCAGCAGGGGGCTCCGGCCCCAGCCTCACCCTGCAGGCCACTGACTTCACCTCCATGCAGGTCCCCCGGGCCTTTGTGAACCTGGTGGAGGCGCTCGAGATCTCCAAGCTGCGGGAGCTCTACCAAGAGAGTAGAGTCAGCTGCCCCAGGCTGATCCTCAGGTGAGCCGGAAACCTTTCGCCTGTTCCTGAAAGGGGTGCCTAGCCCACAGCAAGCCAAGCCAGAGCAGAAGGCTGAGGAGTCCCCGGAAAGCCTCGTTTTCTCACCTGAGAAGATGGAGCTAGGGACAGCCCGCGGTATCCACCCTGGGGTGGCGCTCTGTTGCCTCCTCAAGGTGCATTCTTGTTGCCATGGCAATCACAGGGTACCTCCAGTCCTCTAGGAGTGGGGGAAGAGGATGGCTCACTCTGTCAGGATAGCTGGGCCTCTGGGGTACACCAGTGTTCTGGGCTGTGCACTCACAGATCTGGGGTCACTGTTGCTTGCTAGAAGATGCCAGGAGGATCAGCAGGGAGGTAGGTGCCCGACCTACAGGGAGCCTGCTGTGCCAGGTGGCAGTGGCTGCATGGCGCCGCCCCAGACTGAGGCTTTGTACAGGCCCCCTCCTTAGCCCTGGGCACATCACAGAGTCATGACTCAGATACCACAACCTCCTCTCCTGCTGCCTGCCCATGAACTCTGAGTCATGGCTAGCACAGCTCAGGGTTCGGCAGCTGTCTACTGAGTGGGTGAGTAATCCACAGAAGCCAGACTAGCTCTTAGAAACTATGGGTACACTGGCTGCCCCCCTGAGGATCCATGCCAGGGATGGGGTCCAGGGATGGTCCAGGGATGGGGTCCAGATTGCCCAGAACCCCTGAAGGAGGTCTGAGGGAACCGTGAGCAGGTGTACCCCCTGGTCCCCACTCTCTCCAGGCCCTGGGCATACATATGGCTTCAGCCGTGTTCACTCCAGCTCGGAGCCCCAGCATTTGGCATAGTTCACATTCAACGCGCATGCGCGGTGTGCCCATTGCGGCACACCTGGGCGGGGGGAAACATGCCACATTTGCATCGTGCTGCGCTCCACCTGCCGTAGGTGATGCTGCTCCGTAAGCCACTCTGCAGATGGCAGAGAAATGTCCACTTCATCCCCAAGTGCAAATCCAGGCCCGAGACATGGTCTGTTTTACCTTGTACAGTCAAAGCTTATCTGGCTAGCCCTTGTTGATACAAATTCCTTCTCCCTCCCTCGTTCATTCCTTCCTTCCCCCCTTCCTTCTTTTCAACCCTCCTCCTCTCCCTCCCTCCCTCCCCCCAGCTGGTGTTGCAGGTGGCAGCTTAACATGCTGAACCACAACACAGGTCCTGGCACAGATTTGGGAGCTTTCTGAGTTAGATCCTGAGTCTCAGGGTCATACCCCTGTCTGGCTTACCTGTGGGCATCTCTTGGGTGTCGCCTGCAGGTCTCTCTGTCCCTGTGTCCTGAGGTTTGATGACAACTCCACAGAGCTCGCCACCCTCATTGACATAATCAAGGCGTACCAGGTAAGTGGGCAGGTGGGGTTGGGGGCTCACTGCCCTGTTTGGGGACCAAGGTAATTTTAACCCCAACTGGGCAGGCAAACACTGCTGACTAGTTTGCCAATTAAAAAAAAAATGGTTTCAATTTATTTAAAAATCAGAGACAGAGAGAGAGCTTCCATCGCTGGTTCACATCCCAGGTCAGGACCAGGCTGAAGTCAGGGACCTTGAACTCAGTGCAGCTCTCCCACAGAAGATCGAGCACTTGAGCCATTACCTACACTGCGACCAAGACTGATCTGAGAGATCCCAGTGGGCACCGGGCTGGCTGAGGTGTCCCTGAGCCCACTGGGCAGGCAGATTCCGTGTGCCCGTGTGTCCGAGCACCAGGTGGAGCAAGGACCGACCACCTGATGCTGGAAGCCTTATCCTTGTAGAATAACACGCAGCACCTGATTGACAGCGGGCGCTATGACTCGAAAGACGACTTCACAGTGGTCCTGCAGCCATTCTTCGAGAACGTGAACATGCCGAAGACCGCGGTAGGGAGCACGGGCAGTGGGCCAGGAGAGTTGGTACGTCCCTGAGGTTGCTGCGAGCTCCAGTCTCATGGCGCGTCTCTGTCTGCTCAGGAGGGGCTGCCAGACAGCTCTTACTTCGCCCCCGACTGCTTCCACTTCAGCAGCAAGGCGCATGCGCATGCAGCCAGCGCTCTTTGGAACAACATGGTAAGATGGAGGGCTGCGAAAGGAGGCTGTGCCCCTCCTCATGGTGGAGGGCATCCCTCAGGCTGTGTTGCCCCCATTTCCACGGTCCCTCCCTTCCCACCACCCGATCTTTCCTGCCTGCTGGCTGCACGGCCTCACTCCCTGTTCTCGCCTTTGCTCCTCGCTTTAGCTGGAACCTGTTGGGCAGAAGACAAGGGAGAATAATTTTGAAGGCGGAGTCCATCTCTCATGTCCAAACCAGGTAGAGCAAAACTGTCCAGGTTCTGCCCCTCCTCGTTAGGCCTCTGGATTCATTTCACCCAAGATCTGCTCATCTGCTCACTCCATTCCATGCTCCAGGCTAACAATCTAGAAACCCCATCTGGTTGGACTGACGGGCGATGACCCCCCCCAGCCCCCATGACCCAAGGCCTGTTGCCCACCTGCGTGGCAGGGAGGGGACTCTGGCACCCTGCACAAGACAAGATGGGGCTTGCATCCAGCTCTCAGTCTAAAGGCTGGGGTGGGAGACCCCAGGGCAGATGGGACAGAAGGAGCCCCTGTGTTCACACAGTTATAAGTGAGGGACAGAGACCTAGAGTGGTACCAGCTTGGGTGGTAGTTGTGGCAGTGAACTGCAAGCTGGAGCATGGGAAGCAGGTGTTTGGAAAGGAAGAACTGAGTAAGATCCTGTGTTTACTCACACGTGACACTGCAGCTGCTGCCTTCACTCGAAGGGTCCTAGGCTTGACCCCGGAACCCCTGTGCAAGCCTGCAAGGGGCAGTACTCAAGCCATCTGATGTTTGTCCTTGTCTGGATAGAGAAGGAGCTTGGACCACTGCAGGGGAGTGGGCATGGGGTGGCAAAGGAGCCTAGGGTGTGGAACACGGACAGTTCCTAGCAAGAAGTGCCCAGTTGGAGGGGTGGAGGGGGTAGAGTGAAGAAAGGCCACATAGACTTCACCAGCCAGAAGAATGAGAGGTGGAGAGAGCCCCACACGTCCCTGGGAGCATAGTGCCTGGTTAGGGTTGCAGCCAAGGCCCTGGTACATCCTTGGAGGGAGAGGCTGGGCTTGCAATGGAGGAGTCAAAGCAGCCAGAGATGCAGGTGCCCAGGTGAGTGCCTCGTGGGGTTGGCTGGCTGAGAAGGCTGCCTCCCTGCCATTGTTCATGCGCTCTTCTTGCAGGTCTGGCCATTCCTGAGCACCTACAAGAACAGCGAGCAGGTACCCGCATGTTGCTTTCCCTTGCCTCACCAGGCAGTGTGCTGGGTGACTTCTGGGCTAGGACTGGTCCAGCAGAGTCCTGTGGGCAAATGTCCCAAATAGAAAGCTTGGGTGGATGGGGGAAGTCACACTCTTAGAAGGCTCACCTCCCTGCCCACCGCTTCAGACAAGAAAACCACAGTGCTCACAGCTGGGCACACATCTGGTTATCCCAGGGTATCACACAGCCACGTTAAGATCTAATATTCTCATGAAGCTGGAACAGAAGTGGCGATGGGGTGCAATTATTTTGTGGAGTTTTTGGTCCTTGTAAGGGAGGAAGGAAGAAGGTCTCACAGCCCCCAGCTATTGCCCAGAACCACCCAGGAAGCTGCCTTCAAATGCCCTCTGGGAACTCTGCCCCAGGGAAGGCCTAGGAATCTGTATTTCCCCCCAGCTCTCTGGCTGACTCTGGAGCCCCCAGCCTGGTTTTTGGGGTTCTGTTTAACCCTGGGATGCTGGGATTCATTTTGTGTCCTCAGGCTCATGGGACCTGGCTGCCGTGCACAGAAAGATCCTCTTCTGGCTCCCGTCCCACCTCAGGTGAGTCCCAACCCGGGATCCTACAAACGAGTGCTTAGAGGGCAGGGAGCACCCTGCCAGCCCCGTGATGCTGCTCTCACCCTTCTCTCGTCTGGGATGAGTCGTGTGCCCTGGCCTATAGTGACGTCACACCCAGCAGGCCCCAAGGAGCTTAGAGGGAGCCCCAGTGGAGGAGGCTGGGTGTGCCCTCGTTGGGGGCCTGGAAGTCTCTGGAGGAAGCTATCACCAGGAGCTAGGAGGATGGGAAGGGAGCATCCTTGCAACCCCTGGCTCTGCAATCTCTGCAGAAGGTCCTGGAAGGTACCCTGGGATCTGGAGGTAAGACCTGGGGGCAGGGAAAGTCCCAAGATGATTATTCCTTAGACTCGGAGGAGAAACCCATACCCTAGCTCTCAGCAGGCTGAAGCCCCACAGCTCATCCCAGTTAGCTCCAACCAAGGTGTCATGGTGACCACCATGCTGGACTAATGGGATCCCCCTACCCTCTCTCTTGCAACTTGTCCTCCTCTCCCTGCAAGTCCAGGATGGTTATCTGTGATGGGGAAAGTATCTTCATGCAAGGAATCCTCACCGAGTTCCTGGAAGATGCAACAACTAGAATGGATTTCAAAATTTATTTCCATTAAAAAAAAAGTTGCTTCAATTTGTCCAGGAAGTTATTGAAGTCCCTTCTGTGACCTCTTTTCTCTGTGGTGCTGGAGACACCCCTTCCTGCATGACCCAAGCATGCTGTGGCTGGCCTTCCTGAAGCAAGAAGCACTGTTCTCTGTCCACTGTTCCCCTGCCCAGCTCACCCGTGTACTCTGCTCGCCTTTACAGTGCATGCCCTGAGACCCGCGGACATCCAGGTTGTGGCTGCTCTGGGAGATTCTCTAACTGTAAGAACCCACGGGCCCCAGGGGAAGGCGCAGTTGGGCTGGTTCTAGATCCCCGTGCTGACTCCAGCACGCTGCTCCTCGCTGTGTTCTGTTGTGTTCTTGCTCCCTCCATCTTGGCTCCTGAATCTGAGAAGAAGGAGGCATAAGAGCCCTTTTCAAGCAGGTGTGCCAAAAAAACCCCAAAACAAAACAAAGAAACACAACCTTTTCAAAAGCAAGTTATACTCTCAGTGGAGATTATGAAAACCCAGCATCGCTTATTGAATGAGTGCAAAGCTATGTCCCACAACTGAAAAGCCGTCGAGGCCTGCCAGTGTGGGTGTTGGTCTCCTTTCAGATAATGCCTTAGGGTCAAATCAGAGCCGCCCACCTGCAGTATGCGCTCCTAAGCTGCTCCTGGCTTCTGAGAAGTGGGGCTCTTTGGCAGCTACACGTGTGAGCCCTTCAGGATGCTCTTGGGAGGGGAACGGGAAAGCATGGACTCTGTCCACCACCCTCACTCAGACCTAGGAGCTCCTGCTTATGCACATAAGGAATGTAGGGCATGATAGTGGTTATGATAGTACCAGTAGACTGAAACTTGTAAGTACCTGATTTTTTAAAGCTTCATAGAATTTCTTTTTTAAAAAAGATCTATTTATTTGTTTATTTATTTATTTGAAAGGCAGAGTTACAGAGAGAAAGAAACCAAGAGAGAGATCTTTCATCGACTGATTTACCCTCTAAAGGGTTGCACTGGTCAGAACTGGACCAGATTGAAGCCAGTAGCTAGGAGCTTAGTATGGGTCTCACAAGGATGGCTCAAATGCTTGGACTGTCTTCATCTGCTTTCCCAGGCCATTAGCAGGGACTCAAACCGGTACCCATGAGAGATTCCATCATTACAGGGGATAGCTTAACCCTCTGTGCCACTATGCCATCCCCTGAAGGTTTTTTTTTTTTTAATTATTTATTTTTATTGGAAAGGCAGATTTACAGAGAGGAGAGACAGAAAAATCTTCCATCTGCTGGTTCACTCCCCAAGTGCCACAATGGCCAGAACTGAGCCAATCCGAAGCCAGGAGCCAGGAGCTTCTTCTGGATCTCCCACATGGGTGCAGGGACCCAGGGCTTTGGGCCTTCCTCTGTTTTTTTTTTCCCAGGCCACAGCAGATAGCTGGATGGGATGTGGAGCAGCTAGGACACGAACCTGCACCCATATGGGATCCTGGTACATGAAAGGCAAAGATTTACCACTGAGCCATCATGCTGGGCCTAAGATTTTTCAAAATAGGTTTTGCAACTATGATTCAAGTTGGCCACCCAGAATCCCCTAGGAGAAGAGCAGGGCTTGTGCTGGTTCAATGAGGAGAGTATAGTCAAGCCAGAGAAAACACAGTTGGCTGAGAAGGCTCTGGGCTCCTGGTCCCTTGCTCTTCCCTCTACACTCTTCCTTCTGCCTGCATACATCAGAGCACTGGGAAACCCCTGTACATCCACAGCCTCCTTTTCCTTCCACATGGTGGTTATCGTGTGGATTCTGATGTCTTCACAGGCTGGCAATGGAATTGCTTCCAAACCAGATGACCTCGCTGATGTTGTCACTCAGTATCGGGGACTGTCATTCAGGTAACGTTAACCTGGGGGCTCACCTCCAGAGACAGGCAGGGGGTTTGTCCCCTGCAAATCTCAGAGAGCAAGGACGACATAGAGAAGGCACAGAAGGAAACCCTGTTTGTTGGTGCTGTGTGTGACCCCTTGATGGGTAGAGAGGAGATCTTACTTTTGACCATCTTTTCTTTTTTTCTTTCCAATTGTACAGAGCAGGTAAACCAAGGTTCTCATCAGGCTCCCAAGGCAGCAAATGCAACATGAAATGCTCTCGAAAAGCCCCCAGTCCCTGAGTCTTCACCTGCTGCTTGTGTGGACGGGGACCCCTGTTGGCGCGCCTGTGTCTGTTTACCGTCTGTATCTGTGTATTTACTCGTGTTGCTCTGTAATCACGCCTCTACCTTTCCATGTGCATTCAACACGTACTTTGGGAGGAGATAGGCTTCAGGCATCCCTGAGCCCTTCGGGGCTGTGATGAGATGAGGGAGGCAGAGGAAAAGCCTGGACTCAGTTGGCAGGTGTTGTTTAAGAAGACACCTGAATGCTATAGGGGCCAAGAACAGGGTGCAGCAAACCTTGCCAGCAGGGGTGGGAGGGCTTCCCAGAGGAGGGCGTGTCCAGCTAAGCCTTAAAAGGTGAGCAGGGAGTCCTGTTGGGGACCTGATGGGTTGGGGGGCTTTCCAGACACAGGGATAGAAAAGCACTGGATGTCAGTGAGCAGCTGGGCAGGGGAGTTCTTAAGTTTCTTTGCTAATAAAGTTGTTGTTTGACTTCGCTTCCGATTGTCAGGGAGCTGGGAGCCTGTTACCTGGGAAAGCAACCAGAAAGTAAGCAGCCACAAGAGGGCAGTGTGCCGATGAGCAACACAGGGCCACCTGCCATGGGACATCTCTTCCCCAGAAACAGGCACAGAGGACTGGATGTGGTGATCAGGACTGTGGCCAGCCTCTGGCCAGCCCTAGGAGGGTTCTGCAGACAAAGGTGCAAGACAGGATACAGCCCCTCCCTGGTCCCTAAGTTCCTTTGTGTCCTCAGCTAGGCGGTCTCTAACAAGATGCCGTGGGACAAGGCAGGGCCTCACCTCTCTGTCTCAAGTACTCCTGAGGCTGCAGGAAAATCCCAAGCAAGAAAATGGAAATGGAGTTTGTTCTAAACAGGGAGGAAGAAGCCAGGGTGGGAGACAGCTCCTCCCTGTGAGTGACCATGGCAGTGACCATGAAAGAGGAAGTGAGGGAGACAGCCAACCCTGGGGACACTGCCTGGGGACATGAGATGCCCTGTACCACTTTGCAAATGCTAGCCAAGCTCCGGCTTCTGGGACTGAGAGGCGGGCTGTTTTCTGCTTGCAGCGGCTCTTCTGCAGGTACAGAGACCTAGCTGTTCTCTGCATCTTGCTGCCAGAAATGCCCACTAGAGCCTGATGTCTGATTCCTCTAGTTTGACCTCCCAGGTTTCATGTTCAGCTGCATCTGTACCTGCCCCCTGAATGCACAGGTGTGCCAGATGGCAGCTCCAGGAGGTGACAGGGATGCCACTGTCTTTCTGGGAGATTCTCAGGTGTGTGAGCGCATTAAGGGCTCATACCAAGAAACCCTGTGATATAGACATCTTTAAACTCTGCATCATCCAGCTGCACGTTCTTCTGCTGCTCTTTCTGACACCCTTTGTCATCCCCTGCAAGATGTCCGTGCAGTAGAGCACTCTGAGAAAAATGATTTTTTTTCCGAAGCCCTCAGGTTGAAAATGCCAGATCATTAGTGCATCTGGGCCAATTAAGAATGCAGCTTGAACCTCTTCCCCCCATCCTCTCCCCTAGGGGACCAGCTGCAAAGGCGGCCCTCATAAAGCTAGGGGAGTAGCCTGTTTCCTGGGGGAGTGGGTGTTGCTTTGGCTGTGACCACTGTGGGGGCCTTGGTGATGAGGCCACATGTGGGACATGGGTTCCCATGTGGGCAGCTCAGCCATGCAGTGAGGCCAGAACTCACAAGAGCACTGTGTCTTCTTCCACTGAGATCAGTTTGCTTGTTTGGGGTCACTCAAGAGATCAGAGTTAAACTGACTTAGCAAGAAATGCGTTTGTTTAATTAGTCAGGAGGAATTTGATCTCTTACTATAGAAGCTCTTGTTCAACAAAGGTCATTGTGCCTCATTTTCTCTTCTTTACGCTCTTGATAATAAGTGATAAAGCCCAGTCACAGAGCTCACAATGTAATGTATACCATGTTCATTGAGGGGGACTAAGGTAGACCAGATGTCCTTTATGCCTCATATTGATCTGAACAAAGCAAGGGTTTATATAATTTGGCTCCCCATTTGTATCTGTATAGTCGTTTTTCTTCTTAGGAATTTGTACTCTAACAGGTCAGAAATTTCTGTAGGTTGTTGGTTTTCGCCAGCCACCACACTTGTTATAGAACAAAGACACATTTAAGTGAGAAATTACTATGCAATATGTATACATGTTTATGTGCATTTTCCATGTTTTGTTGAAGGAAGAAGGGAGGCAGAATTAAAACATGGAGGTGTGGGGAAGGTACATGCACTTATCCTTTGCTTTCCACTCAATTGTACATGTTCTGCTTTGGTGTCTTTTGTCCAGAGAAAGAAGGATCATGAACAACTGAAGTAGCTTCGTGCAGAGTTGGAAATGAATCAGGCCTCCACCAAATGCCCAACCACTGGCCAAATTAGCAGGGAGAGAGCTGAGGGGGCAGGGAGGAGAGCAGGACTGCCCCAGCACTGCTTACTAAGCCTTGACTTACGGCCTCCACCAGCCTGGCATACGTGTTTGTTGAGAGAAGAGCAGCTAAGGGTGACTCCAGACAGTCCTCTGGGGCGTCTGCTGGTGGGCTGGATGCTAAGCCTATTGAATCTGTTGTGACATTTGAGAGGCAGAGAGGGAACGCTCTCATCTGCTGAGTTGTTCCCCACATACTCACCACAGGCCCAAGCTGTGCCAAAGCCAAGTGCTCGGTCCCCATCTGCCATGTAGTAAGTGTCAGGAATCCAATCACTTGAGCCACCCCAATGCCTCCCAGGCCCTGCCTTAGCAGGAAGCAGTAGGCGGAAGTTGGAGCCCATGGTGTACTCTGGTGTAGAACCATGGCCATGTTAGCTAGCATCTTACCCCCTAAGGCTGTGTTCCTAAAAACCCATCAGCCTGGACTAATGCACTGGGCTTGAGAGAAGAGGTAGAGGCAAAGTAAGGGTCAGTGCTGTATACTGCACAACAGACCTGTTAAGGCAGAAATGCTTCCCTTCTTACCTCATGTATGTCAGACTCCGTTTCAGTGCATGAGATTTTGCGTGCGTCTTGAGCTTGGGATTCAATAGAATGTTGGAAGGCAGTGCCCCCAGATCTGCCAGTGCAACTAACCTACCTGCTGGGCAGAGGCAAGCGCCTTTGTTTTCTGAAGCCTTCCAGCTTGGGCTAGGATGTAGCTCACTTCTGCAAGTGAGTTCACCTCTATGCTCCTCTGTCCTGCTCTGTAACATGGGACTCGTCATGATGACCTCCTGAGTGTGGTGGGAAATCCTAGATGACTGATCTGGGCTGTGGCTGGGCACAGTGTGCGCTCAGTCCAACACCCAGCCTTCTGACCTTGTCACAAGAAGAATCGCACAGTCCTGTCTTCGAATCCTGGATTTGCGGGGAGCAGATCCACTAAGGAAGTGAAAATGCCTCGGGATTCCTCATAGAGACATGGGTCTGATGCATCTTGCAGTGTTGGCGTGCGTGAAGAAGGGTGGGGGCCTTACAGTGAGCATATATACTGATGTGTGCATACTTTCTCTCTCTCTCTCCCTCTTTCCCTCTCTTCCTCCAAATCTCCCCTGACCCCTCTCTATACAGTTCAGGAGGGGACGACTCCCTGGAGAACGTGACCACCTTACCTAGTAAGTAGCCCCCAGGGGCTTAGGGGTGTTCCTCTTTCTTTCAGCCTGCGATTCTCTGAGAGCACCTCCAAGGTAGCAAAGGAATCTTCCCAACCACCTGCAGGCTAGAACCAGAGGCCATGCACAGGCAGCCTAAGATGATACTCCAAATGCTGGATTTGAAACCTGCAGACCCAAGCTGAAGCCCTGCCTTACCTCCTGTTTGTGGGGTAACATAGGGCTGGTAACCAAATAGCCTGAACCTTGGGTGTTTCCAACTAGCCTGGAAGGGTGCAGAGATAAATTGGATGGTGACCCTTCAATGAGAATTATATATGTTGTTTATACATTGATTTGAAAGGTAGAGTGATGAGCAGGCCAGGGGAGCTGAGAGAGCGGGCTTCTATCTGTGGATTCACTCCTGAAATGGACATAAGAGCCAGACCTCAGCTAAGACAGAAGCCAGGAGCCTGGAACTCTGGGACTCCCATGTGGGTGGCAGGGTCCCAAGTAGCTGGACCATTTTCTTACGGTCCAGGCTCACAGCAGACAGCTGGATGGGTAGTAGAGCAACAGGGGCTCAAACCTGTACTCTGATGTGGGATGCAGGTATTGTGGGCAGCAACTTAGCACTTTGTGCCACAGCACCAGCCTCAGGAAAAGATTTGAGTGAGAGGCTCCTGACACTCTGGCCTACATTGTCCTCAGAACACTGAAGTCAGCAATTCGAGCACACACCCGCTTCTCCCCAGGCTGTATGGGCACCCAGGCCCCGTGGCGCTGGAGATGTCCTACCTGACCTCGGCCTGATCTCTCTGTGTTCCCTTCCTCCTCTTCTTCCAGACATTCTCCGACAGTTCAACAGTGGTCTCGTCGGCTACGCTGTGGGCACTGGTGATGCCAGTACTACCAATGCTTTCCTCAACCAGGCTGTCCCTGGAGCCAAGGCAGGGTACGACACTGGGGGATGGGCCTGTGGGGTAGAGGGAAGGGGGTATGAAGTCCTCATGGATCTCACAGTGCTGAACTGTGTGTGTGCATGTGTGCACATGCAGCACGGACCATTCCCTTGCTGCATCAGGAACCTGAGAGGCTCCCGCCGCCCTCTCCCTCCCCCTGCTGTCCCTCCCCATGCCTGAGGCTGTAACAGGAGTGAGAAGGACAGGCCCTCACAGTGAGTGCCTCACTCTGAACCTGGCTCTCCTAGGCAACCTAGTCTCATAACTGCACCAGCTGGCCACCTTCATCCAACCCTTTTTTCTTTTTCAAGATTTGTTTATTTCTCATTGGAAAGGCAGATTTACAGAGAGGAATGAAAGAAAGATCTTCCATCTTATGGTTCACTCCCCAAGTAGCTGCAATGGCCAGAGCTGAGCTTATCCAATGCTAGAAGCCAGGAGCTTCTTCTGGATCTCCCACATGGGTGCAGGGTTCCAAGGTTTTGGGCTGTGCACTTCTGCTTTCCCAGGCCACAGCAGGTAGCTGGAAGGGAAGTAGAGTAGCCAGGACACAAACTTGTGCCCATATGGGATCCTGGTGCATGCAAGGCAAGGGTTTAGCCGCTGAGCTATTGTTCCAGGCCCTCATCCTACTCTAAAAACTGACTATAAAGGTGCTAGAGGGATCTGGTTCCTAGAGCCCCACATGTAGCAATGCCCCGGAAGATCGGTGGGTGCCAGGTGAGTGGGTAGACAAGACAGGATGTCAAGTCTTAGATGTCTCTGGGGAAACCTGCTCTGCTCCTACCTAGCTCCATGGGGGAGCTGGCAAGAAATGAGCCGGAACTATGTGGTTTCCCCAGGTGGCTTCCCAGTGGAATGTGCACCTGTTCCATGCAGCTCCTGGTCCCACTACCTGAGCCTCTGCCTCCCCCATCACACCCATCCTTTCTGGGCATGATCTCCTGCCCAGCCCAGCCCCTGAGATAACACATTTCCTGGCAGCAGACACAGCTTGGAACAACTGACCCCACCTCCTATCTGGGTATGGGGGGGGGGGTCACCATACTGTGGCCCTATCTCACCCAGGGCCGTTGCAAGGCCCTGAATAAGCAGAGAGCTTGGGTGCTGGCACTAGGCTTTCCATGAATTATCCCAAGCATGCAGAGAAGGCCGGCTATTCCCCAGCCTTTCCTCTTTCTGAAGGAAGTATGCAAACAAGCTTACAAAAAATAGCATCTAGGTAAGGGAGAAAAAGCACAACCATGGAGGACCGCCAAGGAGGAAATGGCTGTGTCCATGTGAGTGACTTCAGGGCAAGTGTGTTTGAGCATCAAACTTTGAGCTTCCCGACAGCTGGGGTGAAAAGAGAAAGCAGGCTAAAACTTGCACAGATTTCAGGCTCTCTACTCGTCTTTGAAAAGAAGCGAGTGGTTCCTTCACTTGGAATCCTGAAAGGCATCTTACTTGTGGAGTCCTAGAGAAGAGACTGTGGACAGCAGGGCCTGGGACTGTGGCTGGGGAACAGTAGAGGCGCCACTTTGGCTTTTCAATCAGCTGTTCATTAACTTCAGGTGGGGCAAGTGGCTCCTTGGCTGCAGGCCTCCAGGTCTCTGCCAGCTCATGCAGTAGGGGTGAGGCTGCAGAAGCTGCTAGTCCAGGCCCTGGAGGAGGAAGACTATGGGCATTCTCGCTCACCCAGGCTGATTTTTTTCTCTCTTTCTTAGGGATCTGGTGAGCCAAGTGCAGGCTCTCATTCAGAGGATGAAAACCGACCATGTGAGTCAGGCGGATGGTTTTATAAATGTGGGTTGTCTAAGCCAGTATGACCATCTCTACATGGAGTGGCCATCATGACCAGCAATGAGAGCCCCGTCAGTACAGGCACCCCTGCAGTGCTGGGACAGCCCCTTTCCAAGGGCCAGTGGAGAAGATGATGGGAGTAGGGAGAAATGGGCTGCTGGTTTCCATGACCTTGAAAGTCCCTCCCAGCGCGGAGAGTCTGTGGTCTATAAATAAACCTTTAACATTCCTTCCAATTCTGTTCTCTCGATGGGCTGGGAGGCCATGGAGGGTTGAGTGGATTTGCATGGCAGTGGCATTTCTGTTTCTTGGAAATCCTCAAGCGTGTCTCTCCCTCCACATAGAGAATAAACTTCCAAGAAGACTGGAAGGTCATCACGGTGCAGATCGGAGGCAGCGACTTGTGTGACTACTGCACAGATTCGGTAAGGGGCCTGCTCGATGCTCCTGACTTTGATCAGTGGGCCTTTCAGAGCCTTCCTGCGAGCAGGGCTGAGAGCCAGCGCTGGTTATCCGACTTCACCAACTATGTCTGCACACAGACACGTACCCCACTATCACCCACTTGCTTTCACATTGCTTACTCCTTACCCATCAGGTTCCCGGTACCATCTTCACATCCGAGATGGCGAGATAGCAGGTAGCAGAACACGGTGATTCTAGTCCTGTCTCACATAACCCCTAAGAATTCAGAAACAAAACCTGTAGATTCCAAGCAGTCAGAAGCAGCCTTCTCTCTCTCCTTTTGACCTGCTCTGTCTGAAGGTCCCGGGTTTAGCCAGTGGTTGACTGTTCATCTCAGACTGTGCCTCCAGGAATTGTCACCACTGGAGGCCAGAGGGAGGATGAGTCCTCAGGGCTGCAGCTGGTAGGAAAGCTGTCCCCACTGCCTGCTCTCCTCACCCAGCTCCTCTTTTCCATTCTTGCAGAACTTGTATTCTGCAACCAACTTTATTGAACACTTGCGTGATGCCTTGGATGTCCTCCACAGTGAGGTAGGTGGGTCTGATGGGCAATGGAGGTGGATTGTGGGGAAGAGTGATGGATACCCCCACCCCTCAAGGGAAAGGCCAAGGGCATGGTCTCCTTCCCTCTGCAGAGACTGGGGCTCATCCCCAAAGAAGCATCTTTCCATTTGGAATCAGCCCTAGAGGATGTCTATTCATCCTCTTGGTGGCAGCTGCCAGGGAGCTCCCAGACTGGGGACTCTGTACTGAACCACAGGGTGCACCTACAATAAATCTGGTGCAAGGACAGGTGACCCAGAAGAGTGTCCTGACCCTCATATGCCCTACTGGACAGATGTGTGCCCTTGCCTACCCATCCAGCAGGGTTGGGTGAATGAGGCTGGAGGGAACTGGATGGAGCTCACCACAGGTGAGGCCGATGAGCTGGGATCCTGACATGACCCAGAGCTGACCTAGCATTTATCGTCTGCCTCCAGAAAGTGCCACTTACCCTGTAGCCCGTGTCGGTGGCATCCCCCTTCACCCTGGAGTTGTGAGCCTCATGGCCTCTGAGCTCTTCTGCATCATCCTGTAAGAGGCTTCCCGAAATGCCACTTGTGGGGCCACCCAGGCAGGAGTTCTGAAGGACCCTCTGACCCATTCCCAGTTTTTCAGGAGCCCCCGGAGCCTCCTTCATCTCTAGCTTTGCCCTTAGGTGCCCAGGGCCTTTGTCAACCTTGTGGACTTCATGAGCCCAAGTGTCATCCGACAAGTGTTCCTGGGGAATCTTGACACGTGCCCAGTGAAGCTTGCCAGGTAAATTGGAGACAGCATTGCAGCAGGCTGGTCTGTGTGTGTGTCCAACTTTATAAAGAGGAGACTGTGTCATGACCATTCTCTTCTGGGGAGTCAGGGCCTTGCTCCCGTCACCCTCCTCCCACCCCAAGTCTTCCCCACCTTCAAGGTACCAGCTGGGTCAGGTGTTTGGCACAGCAATTTAAAGTACAACTTGAGACATTCACGCCCCACATTGGAGTGCTTGGGTTGAGTTTGACTCAACTTCCTGATCCAGCTGCTTGCTAATGAACACTGTGGAAGAGAACAGATATTGGTTCAACTACTTGGGGTCCCTGTCAATCCACGTGGGAAACCTGGGTTGTATCTCAGGCTCCTGGTTTTGACCTGGCCCAGCTCCAAATGACCAGGTCATCTGGAGAGTGGCCTAAGATCTTGTATCTCTCTGACTCTTTCAAATCGATGAAAGCAAATTTCCTTTGAAAAAGAAAGCAAACAAGCTCCTCTAGGCTCCTGAGAAAATACAGGGGCTAGAGTCCTAAAGACGGTGTTGTCTTGGCCATTTAAAGCAGCAGCACGCAGGGATGAATGAGGGAGTCTTCAAAAAGTTAGTGGAAAAGAGCCTAGAAAAAAAAAATTATGTGTGTTAAAGCAGACTCCTCTTTGAACTGCATTTCCCCACAAGCTCTTTGAAGAGCTTTCCTGATCTGTATGTGATCAAATTATAGCAGGAAGTGAGGAAAAGACCCTGGGTCCACTGACCTTCCAAAAAGGGGGACAGGTTTGTGAGGAAGTTCAAAGTGGGAACATTTTGTGGCAGCAACTGGGTGGCAGGCCCAGGACCGTGTGTCTTGTTATTCAGCAAACTTTCCATGTACCTTGATGTATTTCACAAATCTCTCAGAATGAGCTGTGCACTGGGTGCTGGTCTGAGCCCTCCTAACACTCAGTACATGCCCCATGTGTGAAATGATCCCTCGAAAGACTGCAGGGGAATCCAGGGGGCCCTGGTGTGGGTCCAAGGTGACCGAGGCCATGGGCCTCTGAATAACCAGCTCTGGTGCAGCTGAGGCCGCCTGCTGATTGCTGGTTCCTCGCCTCATTGTCTGATGTGTCATTTGGTCAGCGTAATCTGTGGCAGGTCCCAGCACCTGCTATCCATTCAGAGTCCTCAGTTTCATGGGAGGGTCTCTGTCACTTGAGTCCAGACAAAAACTGCCCCTGCGTGCACCTTGGGTGTACAGGGTTTCTGAAGCCAAGACTCGAGTGGGCTGGCCTGCTCCCCTGTAGCCGGAACCTGATCAGAATTTCACCCTGGGTCCATGCCTGCTGCCCTCTCCATGCAGCGCCTTGTGTAACTGTGTCCTGAGCCCACGGGAGAACTCCTATGAGCTGACCCGGTTGGAGGCCCTGGCACAAGCCTACCAGGTAAGATGCCCTCCACCCCGCCCACAGCCACCATCCCCCCAGCCCCAGAGCAGGCACACAGATACGCCTCAGTGGAGACACCACCTGCCCTGTGCTGCTTCTCTGGCCCCGGAGCAGGTGTCTCAGCCAGCGGCAGAATAATCAGGGATGCTGGCTAGGCTGCCCTTGGAAATTTAGCCCCATCTCCTGGCTGGTGGCCCTGGATGCCCCAGGACACCACTTTTCCCCCACCTGTACCCTGGCAGCTGAACTACCTCCCACTCCTGGCATCCCCAAGTCCCGCCCTCCTGTCTACCCCCTCAGGCAGGCTGTGTGACTTCCTGCCTTGACCCTTTGAGCAGTGTGAAGCCCTAGGCCCATGCTCAAAGCCCCGTGCCTGTGTCCCCAGAGCGGCATGCGGGAGCTGGTGGAGTCAGGCCGTTACGATACGCGGGAGGACTTCACCGTAGTGCTGCAGCCCTTGTTCCACGATGTCCGGCTTCCTGTCCTGCAGGTACGCACTGGGCCCTGTGCCAGGGTCCCACAGGACAGAAGCACCAAGTCTTTATCCTCAGCACACTCACGAGGCTGGCCAAAGATGGCCATGTGGACGCCGCAGGGGCGGGCATGAGGCAGGGGAGGAGGAGGAGGTCTGGGTCCCGCTTGCTGTGTTTCCCGATTTCAGTGCGTTCATTTGCTGTCCCACGTGAGGTCCTGCAGCTATAAGGGAGGACAGAGGGAACACCTCCTTCCACTCTGCCGTGTCCTCTGCTGGGCACTGCTGGCCTGTGGACCCAGGTGCCCATGCCAAGGGCCTGGCCTAACGAGGGAGGCTGGAAGGAGGGCAACTCTGTGCCCCCTTATTACCCCAGGGCAGAAGAGCTGGTCATGTGAAGTCACCCTGGTCGGATCCAGCTTTGCCCAGGGCCTGCCCAGGGTAGGGCACTCTGCACCCCACCAGCACTGCAAGATGTTGCTTGGGGTCCATCAGTGGCTTTTCCCAGCCCACCGATCCGACTCCCTCTGAGGCCCGGCACCCCATACCCATAGTGCTGAGGCTGTGGATAAGCAGGCCCACAAGCACCTGCAGCACTTCGTGCTTTTAAGCTGACTGGGGGGAGTTGTGGAACAGAAAGGAGAGGGGCCTGAGGTTACCCACGATCATTGACCAGCAGGAGTGCTCTACTCCTAGTGCAACCTGGGGCATTCCTGAGGAGGAGGAGGGGTGGTGTGGTCAGCCCCAGGAGCTGGCCTCTACCAGCAGGTGCCTGAGGGAGTCTGGGATCTCTTCCAGAACGGGAGCCTGGACAGGTCCTTCTTTGCACCCGACTGTATCCACCCAAATCAGAAGTTCCACTCGTGGCTCTCCAGGTCCCTCTGGCGTAACATGGTGAGATGAGCAAGTTGTCCCCAGCTCCCTTGGGCTCCAGGGGACAGCAGAACCCCAAGTCCTTGGATTGTTGAACCTGGCCCTCGGGCCTGGGTTCAGGCTGGACACTTCAGTAGAAACCCATTCACTTGAGATTGGGGTCCCAAAGAGGCTGCATGGCTTGGCCACGGCTACGCCCTCTCCTCGGTGCTGGCAAGCGTTATAAGAACCCCACTCTGCTTTAGTGTTTCCCCAGGCCAGGCTGCCACATCACCCAGTAGCCCACTGCCAGCAGCTGGTCGAGCCAGCAGAGGAGGCCAGATCCCATGACCCTGAGTTGGGGTGAGCTTTTTCCCACTGCAGCAGGCTGCCAGCAACGGCTCCTTGCTGCCAAGTTCAGCAAGTGCACCTGTCTGTCTCTTTCCTTCTCTGATCAGCTGGAGCCACTAGGAGGGAAAACAGACATCCTGGACCTGTCAGCGAACCTTGCTCTCGCCTGCCCCACTCAGGTAACTAGGGAGGGCTGGCCTTGCCCCTCTCTGAAACCAGAGCTCAGATTGGCCCTGGCATGAGACCCTTGGCTGCCACCTCCTCTGACCTCTAGACTGGGAATGGGGCAAAGCTGGAGGTGAGAGACGAACAGCTGGAGGGCATGGCGGGCAGGGGAAATGATGAGAATAGACAGGATGGATGAGTGCAGAGCAGTTGTTTCTCTGGAAGTAGGAAGAAGGGGATAGGGGGTGGGGGGGTGGTTGGCGTGAGGCAGGGGGCTCATGCAGACTGTAGGCTACAGGGCTTGGTGAGGGCCAGGCAGGCTCAGGCGCCCTGTGGAGCTGCAGCTCAGGTTTGGGAGTTTCCAACCAGGAGAGGCAAAGGGGATATCCTGGAGCTGTGTGCTGGGGGCCAGAAGACAGGCCTGGGAGAGCCAACAGGCGGGCGGGAGTGAGCAGTCCCGCTCCTTTTAAGGAGGAATATGCAAGTGGTTGTTAAACTTGATTTCAGGCTTCTGGGTGGGGGCAGGTTCACGTTTCCATTGCCTTCAGTTCTCATTTCCAGGGCCTGTCTTTTGCCTTTTTCACCAAATAAGGCCAAGGGCAGGGAGCCCTCGGTGCTGATAAAAGCAGAAGGCCCCAGGGTGGGGTCACACCACTGTCTCCTACTCTCCCAGCCTAGCTGTTATGGGGATGGGCCTGCAGCTCCCCCGTGCGTCTGCTGGGGATCCGGGAGTGGGCACCGTGCCGGGGCCCACACTTTCCACTGCTGCCCACGTTCCCCATTGCTGCCCTCCCCACCCTGGTCTGGAGCCCAGGCCTTGCATGCCATCAGCCTCACCAGGAGAGCCTCACCAGCAGGGAAGAGTGATGGGGAGGGAGGATAGCAGCATGGCTGCCTCCAGGGCAGAAGGGTCAGGTGCTGTCCAGAGGGTGCTGGCTGAATCCTGTGTGCCCAGGAGGTAAGGAGAGGAGCCAAGTGACTTGGATGGTAGGGGCATTTGGGGACCCCAAGCAGTGCTTAGCAACCAAACTATAGGTATTTCAACATTTTAAAAAATAACCCACATGGCTATAAAGTATGAAGATCAGCCACAAAAGTTCTCCTCCAAACTCACAGACGTGCAGCACACAGCCATCATTCACTTGCTCTTTCTCCCAACAGCTCCTGATTAAGCACTGGCTTGAAGCCTGGGCACTGGTCCAGACACAGCCCTGGCACTGTGGGTCTTAAGGGTGGCTTCTGCCCTTTCTGCCCCAGGGCTGACTCCCCCCACTACTCAGCAAAACTTCACACCACAGTGGGTCCAGCTTTTCCCTCCTGGGCAGAGCCCCATGGAGTCAAGCAGGCACAGAGGAGGGCAGGTCTAGCCCCCTGCACTTGGTGAACATGCAGCCCAGGAGCTGCTGCTGAGCAACCATAAGGTCTGTTTCCCAAGGGCCCATCTGTTAGCCAGCTGCTGCCACCTGCCCACAGACAGGGGTGACTGACAGATCACAGAGAAAGGAGACCCCGCCCCATCCCAACGCAGGCCCAGTCAGGCTGCTGGGCTATGCTGCCTAGCCAAGGGATGCAAGTTCACAGCGCTCCATGGATCTCAAGTGCACAAGTGACTGACAGCCACAAGTGATCTTCCACTAGTGGGGACCACAATGCCTCTTCCCTCCCAGCTGGGGCGGACGCTCTGCCCAATCCCTCCCCAACTCCAGGGCAGCTGGCTGAAGCTTCTGGAAGATCAGTTCAGCCCTTCAGCTTTTGCTCCTTTTTGACCTCTCTGAAGTTATTTGTCCAATTTAGCCTCCTGCTCCTTGGGGTTGTGGCCACCCAGCCATCCTGATTTTTTTGTTTTGTTTTGTTTTCAGCTTTTTTCCCATTTCATCTCTTTTAATGACCCCCTTTCCCTTCTCGCAGCCGTTCTCCAGCACTCGCGCCTCAGCCTGGCTCTTTCTCCCTCTGTCCTCTCCCACCCTCTGCCCTGCCACCTTTGAGGTTTCTCCATTTCCAGGATTTCCTGGTAGATTTATTTGCTCTGGATTCTTCGTTCTCTCAAGCAACGCCTTCATTTCTTCTTGTTCCAACTCCAACCCTTAAAATAGCTTTCTCCTTGGATGCCCCACATGGTGTAAGGCTTCTCAAAAGGCAGGTTGAATATGTCAGCATCGGACGGTGAGGGCTGCCCAGTGTCCGGTTCCTTGACTTTGCTTCAAGGAGGATTTTAGGGGTGAGTCAGAGCATAGGAAATAGCAAGCAGCGAGTGTTCTATGGAGAAGGTCAAGGTTACAGGATGCACACTCACCACGTGGAGCCTGCCTGGGGCGGAGCGGTCTCTCAACTGTGTGTAATGTTTAATAGTGACTGGAGGGGTACATTTGAATAAAGCCTAGGAATAGTCATGGATTTTTCTGGAAGTAGGTGGACACGTCTGAGATTGAGCGTCCACCTTTCACTTCCTATCATGGTAGAAGGTAGGTATGTCATTTTGCATGCCAATACAAGGAGCTGCAGGTCACTCTCGGACAGCCTTGGTCCCTTAAACTGGCATGGGGGTGTTTGTCTCCGGAGTGAGGAAACCCAGCTCATGTCCTATGATGCCCATGTGTCTGGGGTTTCCTGTGTCCACGCCCTGTGGCCTGTCTCATGCTGCTCAGAGAATCCGTGAAAGAGAGAGGGAAGCGGGATGAGGAGACAGGGACAGTTGCATCTTATGTATCAGGAAGAAGGGCAGAAGGCTGTTCGGTTTCTTCCTTATTCATGTTCTGGGGCTTCAATTATGACTTAAACAGTTGGACAGGGGTGACGCTGTCACCTTCCGAAGGCTCAGAGTTTTCAAATTTCATCCTACCCTGAGCCCATCACCTCATTTGAGTTGAGCAAAAAAAAAAAAAAAAAAAAAAAAAAAGGAGTTTCTGAGCCAAGCAGGTACTAGGTACTATCTTCCAGCAGTCTGTCACACTTCCCTGTTTGTCAGTGTTGTGGAGAGCAGGAAGTGTCTGGCACCACAGGGGACAGGACTCTTCCAGAGGCCACCACCTGCTGTACCCACCACTCCCATAGCTCAGCGACTCAGTCCTCCAGTCTGTGTGTGTGAAAGGTCACCTGGTCCCCCGCCCATCCTCTGCAGAAACTGAGTCCTCCTCCTCCTCCCGCCCCCACCCCGCAGCCCAGGGATCTCCGCAGGAGGGCTTTGGCATCCAACTGCTGCCATCTCTTGCTTGTAGTAACTGGCTTCTTGCACGCCTCCCTCTCTGGGTGGCATCATCAAGCTACCAGGTGGCTCTCTGTGAACAGGCTGTGCCATCAGTGTGGGTAAAGAACCAGCTCGCTGGGAATAGGGTAGGATAGCAAGCAGGCGTGGGCACGCCAAGGGGTGCTGGTACGTCTGCCTCTTTCCTACTGCCACCTCCTCACTGCCTGCCAGCCCCTGGCTCTGGGAACTGCTTCCCCTTGGGAGCTGCGGCACCCCCTTCAAGTTGGTGACTATGCCCTCTGGCTTGGTGCAGCCAGCACAGCCCTGCTCCTCCCCCAACACTCTGCTGGGGGTTTGCCTGTTCGTGGTGCAGCTGCCACGGATTCCCCACGATACTGACTCGCGCATCATGGCCCTGTCGGGGTTCTGCCTGCTAAGCAGGGCCTGGGCAGCACAAGTTCCCTCAGCTGCTTCACTTTGGGGCTGGCTTTGTGGGTGCCCCAAACCCAGCCCTGGAGAACCAGTCGGACTGGATCCAGTTCCTGTAGTGTGAGACCTGTTTGACTATAAACCTTTAAGCCACTCTCACTTCTGCAGAAGTTCAGCGGTTGATAAAATTGAAGCCTGAGCATCCTAGCTGTCTGCCTGGGGCCTGTTCTATCTCTGCCCCGGCTCACTCTCTGCCACACTCCAGTCCAGGGTTGCCTTGACTCTGACCCCAGAGCTCTGCCCTTCCCTCTCCCTCCCCCAGCACTCCCTCCCACACTCAAAGGTTCTGTGCTCAGATATGGCCCAATAGACTTGGTGAACACTACTCCCTAAAGCATCAGAATAGTCCTTGTCCACCACAACCTCCTGCGCATGTCACTCTGGGACTAGCTGCAGCCCCCACAGCCCTAAAGCCCACTCAGGGCTCCTATGGGGGGGTGAAGGGCAAGGGCAGGAAATCATGACTGCCTCGCCTTTGGGGACCACACATGTCCCCTAGATCCCAGCCATCACCATTCCCAGCTCTTGGAGGAGGCAGCCCTGCTCTTGGGTCTGGCCCCTGTGCCTACAGGCTGTGAGCCTAGCAGCTGGAGTGCCTGCAGGGGCTGCTCATCATGGGCAAGTGGGTCACCAGCAGGCTGCTCGCAGCGTGCCCTCAGTGGATTCCCTGCCAAGCCACTGTTACTGGAGTCAGTCCACTTAGTGATGCTGGTGGGCGTTCTGGCCTTTGCTGTGTCATGCAGTTGCAGACAGTGCAAAGCACACTTCCTGTCCAAGGATGTCCCCTGGGACATGGGACGAAGGACCAGGAGCTTTACACAAGAGACTGTCCTCTGCTCTATCACCTGGCTGGGTGTAGGACTGGACCATGCAGGTGGCCTGCCAGGTCAGGCTGGCCCCAACTCTTTGTTTCCTATTCACTCTCTAACCTGAAAGTTGGCCTTCCCCTGGGTCAGTCTGTGTAATGGGGCTTTGGGGGATTGCAAGGTCAGATGTCTACAGTGTCAGGCAGCACCGTGAGTGCGTGTGCTGGGTCAGGTATGAGGCCAGAGGAAGTGGTCGTGGCCAGAGCTGGAGAGAGTGTGCCCCTCCTGAGAGTGGGTGGGTCCTCCTCCCTGGGCCTCCAGTGGGCCAAGAGAAAGAAACACAAGTGAAGCATCTCCTGACGAGGCTCTGTAGTCACTTTTCAACCTCTGGACTTGATCTTTAAAAATTAACTTATTTCAAATGCAGAAAAAGAGCTTCCTTCTGTTGGTTCACTTCCCCAATGGTTGCAGTAGCTGGGGCTGTGTCAGGCTAAAACCAGGAGATTCTTGTGGGTCTCCTGCATGGGTAGCAGGGACCCAAGTTCTTGGGCCAAGTTCCACTGCTTTCTCAGGCGCATTAGCAGGGAGCTGGATCAGAAATGGAGCATCTGGGATGTGAGCCAACACCCGCAGGAAATACTGGCATCACGGACAGTGGGTTAACTTGCTACACCACAGTGTTGGTTCAGAACGAATCTTTAAAGACCTCTTTTCCAACTGCAGTTTTCCCTTCTTTGTCCCTTTTCCCAAGTTTTCCGACTAGGGCTTTTCGGCACCATGAGCACGTTTGGTGAGAAGTGTCCCAGCCCTGAGGCCCGAGTAATATTTGTGGATCCATGACTTACTCATTCTTGTTTTTACAGTTTCTCAGTCATTTGCTTTCCTCGTCTACTTCCTGCTTCCTTTTTCTATGAACTCCTCACCCAGGTTTGGATGGACATAGAATCCTGACCAGGCTTGTACAGACCCTGATTGTGCAGTAGATAGGCGAGTCTTGCTTTCACAAGAAAACACACAGGAAGGCAAAGTGAAGGGGATATTATGCCCAGTCCAATGGGGACAGAAGGAACATAACAGATATTAGACTATGCTGTGAATTGTAACAGTTCTCGGGGAAAAATGCTGAAATATGCATCCCTTGTCAGAGAAATTACAAGGGAAAGAAAACATGTGAGTCTGCGGATTAGGGATGCCGTTGCTAAGGGGGGAAACCACAGCACAGAGCCCAGACTAGAAAAATGTACGGAATCCCTTTTAATCCGCTGCCAAGCTGTTATGTAAAGCCCTGTGGTGACCGAGGGCTGTTTATACAGATCCTTTTATTTCAGTGGAGAAGATGAAGCCAGAGCGCTTACTTGCTCACTCTGATCTTTCCGAGCCATCCTCCGTGCTGCCTGCTCACCTCTGTGTGTGGTTTCTCTTCTCCCTCAGAACCAGCCCTTCCTGAGAACCTTCCAGAACAGCGACTACACGTACCCCACCAGCAAGCCTGCCATTGAGGTAACGCCCGGCACTGGGCTGTCTCACTGAAACACACCATCGCCAGCCGCCAGGGGGCGTTAGCTTCAGCGTGCCGCTCCCTTCTGACATTCCAGGCATGATGGGCACTCCCAGGCCGGTTGTATCACATTCTGTTGCTTATCTGACATCAGCCACCAGCCAGCCGGAGGAAGTGCCTGGGGGCCAGTTCCCTCTGACCTTTGCGCTGTTCAGATGGGGCAGCTTATTTTTTCCAGGCAGCTTGGGGCGTTGGGGCAGCAGTAGTTCTTGAGGTGCCATCAACTTCCAGGGACCCTTGGTCCTAGGGGCCAGGCCCAACAGGAAGCTGACACTTGTCCCTGGGCGTTCCCAGATATTGTTGAGTTCAAGTCTGTCATTCTAGCTCTGAGCCTTGACCACCCACAGCCAAGGACTGCTGCTCCAAAGTTGGCCAGCAGGGGACCATGTTAACATGGACCATGTTAAGCCTAGAAGGACAGACCTGGGCCAGATCAGGCTAAGAGACTCAGTCACCACTTTCAGCTTCACCCCCATGGTGGGTCTGGCCTAATGCCAAGAGCTTTGGTAAGCTAACCAGGGAGCTGAGATCTCTGTGGAATTCTTGGGGACCTGTGGGGTGCTAGGCTTATCCTGAGCAATGGAAACTGTGTGGCTGTAGGTCTCTAGCCACTTTGGGTTCTCTCAAGTTCATGTCAACCCAGTGGGAAGTTTGTGCTGGTTGAGCTGCTGACCAACTTGCATTCTAAGTGAGCAGAGGCTGCTGACAATGGTATGCAGAGTGTGTCTGTGCCTGCCCTCTTGGGCTATGAATCTTTGCTTCTGCTGGTGGGGGAGTTATTAAAGCCCAGGGCTAGAAGAGTGTGTATTTTAATAGCTTTCTGCCTAAATAGCAAGGTCAGCAATCAAAATGCAGAGTCCTGGGCCTCGCCCCAGACTGCAGTCTACAAGCTCTGGTGTCCCGGTTGAGGATGTAGCAGGTGGATTTCCCCTGGGACAGATGAGCATGCCTAATTGCAATCCATGTCTGTTCATTCAGAACAAGCTTGTCTCTGGCTTGCTATGTCATTTGCAGATGGATGGATGCTTTTTAAAATTGCATTTCCACCCTAGAACTTGCCTCAGCACACAGGCATATTCTGGATTTCTGATAAACTTCCAAGCAGAAAGAAGAGATCGCTCTGAGTAAACCATATTCCTCCAGATGAAGCCAGTGCTTCACTTAGCTAAGGGATGTTTTGCTGGTGCTCCCTCATGTAGGGAGCTTTCTTTTATTAAAAAAAAAATTAATTTGTATTTATTGGAATGACAGAGTTAGAGAGGGGGAAAGAGAGAGAATCTTCCATCCACTGATTCACTCTCCAACTGGCCACAATTGATCAGGCTGAACCATGGCAAAGCCAGGCACTTCATGTGGGTCTCCCACATGGGGGCAGGGTCCAAGGACTGGAGCCGCCATCTGCTGCTTTCCCAGGTGCACTGGGAGGGAGTTAGATAAGAAATGAAGCTGCTGGGACTTGAACCGGTGTCCTTGTGGGATATCAGTATTGTAGGCAGTGGCTTAGCTTACTATGCCACAGCACCAGCCCCAGAAGGGAGACAGTAACGAGACTTGACATCTCCCTTTTTGATGGACAGAGGAGGGGCCCTTCAAAGCTGGGCACCAGGAGTTGGTGGCGCTGTGGGAGCACTCAGCACGTAGATACTTAGGACTTCTAGAGATCTCCTTCTTACCAGCTTTCTAGGACTAGTCATTTTGGTATCCTCTGCTTCCCAGCTGAAAATAGACCCTATATTACAAAGAAAGGTGACTTGAAGAATGCATGCTGGCAAGCTTTGGCTTGTACTCATGTGAGGAATCAGCTCTTAAGTTCAACATGCTAAAAATCATACAAAACATAAGCTTTGCAACAGAGAAAGCTTCACATTTTCTTGAAAATGACTTAATGATTGCTCTTGTGATGTAACTAGCATATGTCAGTTAGCTTTGCTGCTACACAGTGCTGCCACTATGCTCTTGTATGAGGCATCTGAATCTGTGGTTCCTAAGAAAAATCACGTGTTATATGACTTTGTGTATTTCCTGTACCTTGGGGAAGCTGCTGGCTCCATTCAAGGGTGTGGGTAAGCTGAGGCAGGACAGGCTGAGAGAGTATGCCCTGTGTACATGCACTGTGCCTGGGGGCAGTCAGACATGCATTTCTTCCTAAGTCCTTTCTCGGCTCATTTACCACCTATAGCCTTGCCCTCGCATGGCCCCCTGTATCTCTAGCCTCCTGTGAAGCTTCTTAGCCAGTTCCTGGGTGGACACTCCTCTTCAGCACAGTGAGTGTTGGCACTGTCTTTCCTTTCATTGCTTTAGAACTGGGGCAGTGACCTGCAGTGTACAACGTGGCGTCCTTCCAAGAGTGATCCCAGCTCGGGTGAGTAAAAATGCCATCTCCTGCAGCAAGGGGCCTTGGGAAACGTCAGGTGGGAGAAACACACACACACACACATGCCAACCCTGCACATCACATACACACTGGAGCTTTGAGCATGCTTCGCTGATTCCCCATGCAATGTAGACCGAGATCCTGGGAGGCCCCCCTGCTGAGAGTCACACTTCCTGCGGCCTTGCGGTTTCATTGGTGGCTTCTTTGCTCAGTGTGGTGCTAGTCAGGGGGCAGTTGGAGCTTTCCTGGTCCACTCGGTGAGCAGCCATGATCCTGTTCCCTTCGGTGCATCAGTTGCTCCAAATGAATGCAAGAGGCGAAACTGCTAAAGCCTTATGCTGCCAGTGAGTGCCCTGGAGCTCCACGAGACTAGGGCAGTCACAGACCCTGGGAAGTTTATCCTCGAAGAAGAGGCAGATCTCTCTCGATCCCCAACCCAACCATTTGTCCTCTCCCCTAGTCCATGAACTCCACCCAGCACACATCAAAGTGGTGGCCGCCCTGGGTGACTCGCTGACGGTGAGTACTGAGACGGGAACCCTCAAGCCCAGCCATTCTGTGCAGAATCAGCTTGGGTCCCAGAAGGGCAGCTTGCACACAGCCCACACAGCCACTGTACACACCCTGCCTTCCACTTTTTCCAGTCCAGTTCAGACCAGCCGCCTCCTGAACCTGCCCCTCCAGCCCCAGGGAAAATAGTCTCCCTTCCCTACTTCTCAGGCAAGTTGTCCAAGCTTGCCTACATGGTGAAGGGCCTTATCTCCATCTCCCCAAAATCTGCCCACCAAAGGACATGCTATTTGGGGCAGAGGGAAGCCAACTCCTTGCCCTTAGCCCATTCTTACCAAATGAATTACATCCGCCAATAGCCTGACAATGGCTGGGTGCTCCGTGTTCTGCTAGTAATTCCTGGGCATGTGTGATTGATGAATCTTCCTTTGGGTTTGAACACAGAGATGGCTGTGAAAGGGCACATGCCAGGCCAATAGACAGGGGATTAGCCTGATCATGTCTATGTGGGGAAGGGGCGGGGCCAGATTTCTTAAGCTGGGGGTAGGTGAATCATTTTTTAAAGTCCATGTGTAATTTCACTTGTTCATATGTGTTACTTTTATAAATGTCAGAGACTTTTAAAAATTTTTTCTAAATTTTAATTTGAAAAGTAGAATGACAGAGATGGAGAGAGATCTTCCGTTTGTTGGTTTACTTTCCAAACAACCACAGTGAATGAGGATGGGCCAGGCCTAAATGAGGAGCCAGGATCTCCATCTGGCTTGACTACATGGGTTGCATCGGCCCAAGCCCTCGAGTCATCTTCTGCTGCTTTCCCGGCACACCAGAAGGGAGTTGGATGATAAGCAGAACAGTCAGGACTTGAACTGGCCGTGGCTTAACACCCCCTGTGCCCTGTTTGTTAAGAGAAAATTTTGCAGAAGAGATAAAACTGATGAAAGTCTTGGAGAATGAACTGGGGATTTGAGCAAATGGGAAGGAGGGGGTTCAATGTTCCAGGAAGGATAGAGTGGTGGTGACTGGGCAGACTGGCCCAAAGGCCTCACGCTTTGTGAAGTGACAGATCCACTTGGCCTAGAAGTGAAGGTGAAGATGGATGTAGATGGCCTACTGGAAGCCAGATCATGGCAAGCTTTACATGGTGCTGACAGGGTTTGGCCTTGACTCTGGGGGTCAGGGAAACTCACGGAAGGGTCAGAATTAGGAGGAGGCATGAGGAAAGACGTGGGTAGAGGATCAGGGCCTGAAACCTTCTCTTTGCTTCTATTCTCCCAGCTGGCCATAGGTGCTCGACCGAGCAACACCAGTGACCTGCCCGTGTACTGGAGGGGCCTCTCCTGGAGGTGAGGATGCTCTCGGCTCATTCTCTGCTGCTAACGTGCCCCGCAGAGAGGCCTACAATGAAGAAGGTCTCATCCACACAGTCCCAGGACTGACCCCAGGCTCCAGGGTCAGAATATCTGCTTCTGACCCATCTATGTGACAAGGCACAGAGCAGCAGGACTGGGTGATGCTAACGAGTATCCTTTCTCCTCTGCAGCATTGGTGGGGATGGGGCCTTGGAGACGCACACCACACTGCCCAGTAAGTAGCCAAGGAGAGAAGGGGCTTCCCCTTGGGGTGGGGGTAGGGGAGGTTGTCTGTAAGGGAAGAAGTCACCCGATCCTGGGATGATCTTGACTGCCCCCCACCATGCCCAGGCACCATGGGGTCTCCTGCAGCTGCTCACCTGGCCTCTTTCCACAGACATCCTGAAGAAGTTCAATCCTTCCATCCTGGGGTTTTCTACCGGAACCTTGGAGGAGACGATGGGACTCAATGTGGCAGTGCCAGGGGCCAGAGCTCAGTGAGTGGATGCCATTCAGGATGGGCAGAACTAAGAGCCGGAGGTGGAAGGGTGATATCTGGGAGCCTGATCCCTGATGGGACTTGACAGCTATTGCCCGGAGCACCATTGGCATGGGGCCCTGTGTGTGGGGCATCACTTGTGACCCTCACGACATTGAACCTGGGTGCTGTGATGAGGACAAGCAGCCTTGGTCACCCAGGAGCCAGGGTCAGATCATGGCTAAGTGTAGGGCCTTTGTCCTGATTGTGGTTGGTGCTGTTGCTGCCTCTTCAAGCAGGAGGAGGAAGAGCCATCCACCCAGCAAGGACCACAGTGGATCCTGCCTGTCAATCAGGGAGGCCTCCACCTCTCTGTGGGTATCCCCTCTTATCCTCCCTGGCCTCAGAACCCCCTCGGAGTCTCTGTATCCAGACCACTAGGTGGTTAGATGTCAGGGCCCCCTGCCACGGGCCTGGAGGCAGCTTGTTTTCCCTGGATGGTGGTTATTGACAACTATCCAGGTCATTAAAGCTGAAGCTCCTGACCCAGGGCATTGATTTTCCTGCACGGAGCTGCTGGGTGTCTGCGTGTCTGCTCCGTAGGAGGGCTGCTATGTTCAGTCACCAGGGAAACAGCTGCAGCTCCTCCACAGGCTCTGTTTACAGAGAACTTTCTCAGCAGAGGCTGTCACCTGGGGCCTGGGCTTGGTTTTCAAGTCTGAACCACAGGAAGCATTGTCAGTTCCTCAGCGTCATAAGCAGGAAGACATTATTTTTCTGCTAAGACCTGGGCTTGTGGAGCTATTGAACCAACGCCTGATTTCTATTAGGATCACTTCTCATCATCCTTATTAGTATTCAACAGGACAGACGTCGGCACCCAGGCACGGAAGCCCTCCCTGCTTCTCTGCTCCTTTTTCCCACTTCTGTTTCACTGTTGCTGAGTAGCTGAGTGTCAGCTGGAGTCAGCAGCCACAGAAGTAGCTGGGAAAAGCAGAGTGAGCCCCTAACTTGAGTAAGGCTGTAGACTTGGTCTGTGTCTCCATTCTATTGCTTTTTCCCATGGAGGACAGATATTACTTCAGGCAGAGTTAAATTCCGCAGCCCAGCAGCTAGGATGATGAGGTCTTGGGGTGCAGACCATGTGTCAAAAATCCCAGCTGTGTGAATTTGCACATGTTGCTTTGTTGCGGGATGAGAGCGAGATCACACCAGACTTGCCTAAGATGTATTAAGGAGTCTTTATGAACCAAGCTTGGTTAATAAAGAGTATACTAGAAATAGCAAATCAAAAGTCCATATGGCAATCCAACCAATCATAATTCAACCAAACCTAATCCAAAGAGGAACAAATGGTCATTATTCTTAAGTCCATCCATTAAGCTCAAGACCTATGTCCCAGCTTCCCCAACAATATAAGTTATCCTAAGAGACATGCAACGAAAAACCTGGACACACTTACAAAGCTGCAGACATTCACCTTCCCCTGGCTTCTCTGCCCACTAAAAAGCACAAAAGCAGCAAACGGTGACCCGCCCCCCCACGCACACAGAGCTGGCAAGCTGGTTGAGGAGCTAAAGTTCACAGGAGAATGCCGAGAGGCAGGCTTGGGTGGGGAAAGAGTGCAGCCTGAAGCTGGATCTTGGTGTGGGAGGGCAGACGAGAGAACAGAACAGTATCCAGTCTGAACTGTAGGACTGTCACGGAAAGACAGACAAAGCTCCACAGGATCCCGGTATCACCTAGTTCAACTTCCTGCTTTAAAAGATGCAACAAGTCAGCCCCAGCCAGTCTCAGGAGCCTATGCAGACAGTGGTTGGTAGCAGAGCCCAAGTGCAGCCCCTGCTGCCTGTGGTTGGAAAGGAAGGGTAGGGGGCGTGGGCCAGTGAGCTCATGGACTTGATCAGGGCCTGAAGGCAGAGATGAGGGAGACAATGGCCCTTCCCAGCCGCCCCTCCAACCCCCCAGAGCTAATGCAGAAATTCTCTTGATCATCCTTTGAGCCTGTTAGCAGGGCCTCGGCCACTCTGTGGTTGCCTTTTACCAGGATAACCTGCCTTCTGGTGTCCTGATGGCCCATCAGCAGCAGCAGAGAATGGGATATGACCCTGCATGTGTAAATTCACAAAAGGGCAGGGAAGGTGCATGTGTGACTGGCACACATTGCCTGTGGACATGCAAAGATTTGAAATAGCCAGCCTGAAACCAGTTACGTCTTGTGACATCTTGCACAATGGCTTGGTAATGTGCTCTTTATTGACATGATTTTTTTATATACATATAGGTCTGTAAATATATATATAAGAAGTATATATAGGAAAATATATTGTACATATATATTTCCTATAGATATAGAAGGCAGCTTTGAGTCATAATTGGTATGCAGTAAACTTGAAAGTATGCAATTTGATAAGCTAGAGCTTGTGTGTAAATGGAACCAGCGTATATCCTCTTTCTGGATGTTTGACTTTTATCCAACAAAATTATGCTTTGAGGTTCATCCATGTTGTTAGGCCTGCCAATCATTTCCTTCTTTTCATAGCTGGCTAGTATTCCACTGACACAGATACCTGTGAGGCACGGCATGGGGTGTTGTCTTACTTATGGTAGATGGGGATGGAGGATGAATTTTGCCAGGGCTCATCCCCCCGCATCCTGCTTTGTTGGAACGAATAAGAACATGGGAGATGAGGAAAGGTGGAGACGTGAGAAGCACCACAGAGAAGGAACAGAGAGGAGATAGGAGTAGGGTGGGGCTTGGAAGTCAAGGTCATAGGTATCACTCAGCCAGGAAAAGACAAAGCTGAGGGATGGTGACTCAGGGTGCTTTTGCTCAAGTAGACAAAGGGGTGTTTCTAAAACAGGCAACTATATGTGAAAAGAACAGACTCCACCAACACTGTGGGGTGTGCTAAGAGGAAATGCTGGTGGGAAGGTTGACCAGATGCCACCTCAGGCAGCTCTGCTATAAAAGATGGATCCATGCAGCTGGCTTTGAAGTCCATGACCACTCCATTACCAGGCTGGGACAGCAGGAGGACAGGAAGCCTTGCTGGGCGTTCTTCCTGGGCCTACCTGTCTCCTAAGTGGCTCTAATGTCCCTTTCTCTTTTCCCCCACTAGGGACATGCCTGCCCAAGCCCGGGATCTGGTGGAGAGAATGAGAAACAACCCTGTAAGTCCATACTCCCCCAGTAGAAAAAGCAGTGGGTCTCCTGTGGGCTACGGAGGGTATATTGCAACACCCCGCCTCCCCACCAGGACCCTCTCTGAACCACAGTGACTCCTTAAGAGCCATTGCAGCAGCCTCAAGAGGCAGGCTCTCCCCAAAGGGTCTCCATGGCCTAACAGCAGCTGTGGGGAGAGAGGGGGACAAAGAGGTGGCTGAAATCCTGGCCTTGACCTCTGGCAGCTTGCCCTCTCACCCCACAGCCGGCTTCTTGGAACCCCATTCTATAAACGGAAGCTTTTAAAAATAGCCTCCCAGTCCCATCCTTTCTCCCACATCCCCAGATGGGCACCCTGAAACTTCTTACTGTCACATTTTCTGCAGTGCTGTGCATTGGTTGGCAGGACTCCTGGTACAGTGGTGGCTGAATCAGCAGCTCCTCTGGGGGTCTCCCAGGCTGGACTGAGCTCACCTCCTCCTCTTCCAGTGCCCCCTGCCTGGAATGGGGCACCAAGGGCTTATCCTGGGACAGCCCTGGGCTCCTTGAAAGACCATTAGATGACATTTCAGGATGAGGTCCTCTGACACAGGCCCCAAGGGGATGACTGGGATGCCAAGAGGATAGAAGGCACATCGTGGCCTGACACGTGCCCCTCTCAAGATCTCTGTCCCCTCAGGAGATCAACCTGGAGAAGGATTGGAAGCTGGTCACACTCCTTGTTGGGGGCAACGACTTGTGTCATTTCTGCGAGAATCCGGTAGGCCCCTGACCCCTGTCCCATCCTTGCCTAGGCCCTTAGCCTGCCCCTGTGACTCCATCATGAGTGTCACACCTGCCTTGTTTCCCATACGTGCCAAGCGCGGCCTCATGAGAGCCAGGTAGATTGGCTGCTGGATACCAAATAACAGGTCTCAATCTCCTCAATTATTTTTAGTAGCCTTCTGGAAATTTTAAAATATTTTCCATTACTATCTTTTACTTTTCAAAGTTATAGAAAACTTTTTAAGATTTTAGAAGCAGAGTTAGAGATCTTCCATCCACTGGTTCACTCTGCAAATGGTTGTCACAACCAGGGTTGAATCTAGGCCAATGCTAGGAGCCCATAACTCTGCCTGGGTCTCCCAAGTGGGTGGCAGGTGCCTCAGTACTTGTGCCATCCTCTTCTGCATAGCAGTAGGGAGCTAGATCAGGCAGAGCAGCTGGAACTAAAACTGAAACACTCCTATACAAAGCTGCTATTGTCAATGGTGGCTCAACCCACTTCACCACAGTCAGTCCTGCTTTTTATTTTCACCGTTAGCTTTAACAGATTGAGAATACTGACAATGTTATATATTTTTTCTGTTCCTTCATAGTCTGGTTTTTGTCCAGGGAGCTAGTATACTTCCAAAATTCCTCTGTTCTGCTGTGTATCTTTTGCCCATAATGCTGTGACATACTATAATGAAAGAACCTTGGCAATCACATTACTTTTTCATTTATTAGTTCAACTGTAGCTATTTATGGAGAACTGTGAGACAATTCCATACATCTATTCAAAGTATGAAGAGCAAGTCAGCTTTGTTAGTGTGAACCATATCCTTAGATATTTAAAATTCTGATGAACCATTAATTACATAATTATGCAGAAAACAAGCACCAAGAATCTAGATGGGTCCTCTGTAAGACCATTGCTTTTGGGGGAATTGGCGATTCCACCCCGGGTGCTGCTAGCCCCATTTCTGGGGTGCAGGGAGCATTGGTGGTGGTTGATAATCAGAACCCATGCTGATCACATAGCTTACCGCCCTTCAAGAACTTGACCCATGAACCAGCCTCAGCTGGTTTTTAGACACTCGAGGATGAAAAGGGTCCAGGTTTCTAGAGGTTTGTAGAACCTCTTTTTTTTAAAGATGTATTTTATTTTTATTGGAAAGTCAGATATACAGAGAGGAAGAGATCATTCACTCCCTAAGTGAGCGCAATGGCTGGTGCTACACCAATCCGAAGCCAGGAACTCGGTCCAGGAACCTCCTCCAGGTCTCCTACATGGGTGCAGAGTCCCAAGGCTTTGGGCCGTCCTCGACTGCTTTCCCAGGCCACAAGTAGGGAGCTGGACAGGAAGTGGAGCTGCCGGGATTAGAACCGGCGCCCATACACGGGATCCTGGTGCGTTCAAGGCAAGGACTTCAGCCGCTAGGCCATGGTGCCAGGCCTGTGTAGAACCTCTTAACCCAAGCTTGGACTGGCCCTCATCTTATCTGGCTACTCATGGGGCAGGGAGCTGCCTGGCCCACCTGTCCTGGCTCACAGACACACTGCACTAAGTATGCTCAACACACACCCATGTTGTTCTGTGTTTAGTATGAGTGCTAGTTTTGCTTTCTACTACCATTTGAGGCGCCTGGACCCATGTCCAAAGATCTCTGCATCTGTAAAGAAAGGTCAAGATTCAGTCAGTAGGCCTTCACTGAGCACCTGCTGTATACCTCATACCCCATTACCCAGGATGCTGGGAACAGCTCTACCCTGCAGGCCAGGGCTGGATCACAAGAGGTACTGAAGATCCAGGAGCTCATGGCTGTGGACTTAGCAAGGGCTAACACCTGTAGGACAGAGGCCATGGTGATCTGGGCAGTGATAGTGGCCAAGAACCAACCACTAACACGATGAGGCCATCAGAGGCCCCCTTGGGGCAGGGGATTCTGTGGAAGGCAGGCTCAGGCTGCTGGCTAGCAAGTGATATGGCAAGGTTTCCTGCAGTTTAATCTGTGCCCACCAGCCACAAAGACTGGGCTTCCCTGCCCTGCCAGGTACCTGGAGCATTCCTGGGCTTAGGCTGCCCTTGACTGGTCTCTAAGGACTGAAGCGAGTGCCTTCTCTCTTCCCAGGGAGCCGGCTCAGAGGCAGAGTACATCCAGTACATTCAACAGGCCCTGGACATCCTCTACGCAGAGGTAGGAAAGCTTGGTGCCCGCGTCTGGGGCCTGTGGGTCACGTGTCTGTCAGACTGGGGGCTCTGTCGCCGGGGTTCATCCACGACAAGCTGTGCCCTGAGCAGAGACCCTGCCCCCCTTCCCACCTGCCAAAGACAACAACGCTAAGTCCCCTTGCAGCCAATCAGCCTGCACTTGCAGCAAGGCACAGTGGCTGGCCAAGCAGGGATTTCTCTGCATCTCAGCTTCCCGATCTGTCAACTTGGGCACTGAGATGATCTAGTGAGATGATACAAACCACTGCCCCACCAAGGTCTTGGTTCCCCCATTGGTAAAATTGGGGCATGGGAAATTAGATTGTGCAAGACCACCCCAACCCCGCCATTCCCAGGCTCCTTCCAACAGTGCTCAGGGCCCACGGAACTCATGCAGCCTGCCTTCGGCTCTCCACAGCTTCCAAGGACCTTTGTCAATGTCGTGGAGGTCATGGAGCTAGCCGGCCTGCACCAGGATCAAGGCGGGAAATGTGCCACACTCCTGGCAGCTCAGTAAGTGGATAGATCGTGGCCCCAGGGCAAGGACCCCTGGGGAGGACGACACTTGCAGATGCTAGAGAAGACCAGAGACAAACAGTTCAGATGCATCTGGCCTAGCTGTGGGACTTGAACCCAAACCCTCAACTTCTAGGAGATCTCTCATTGCTCTCCTTTAAAGTGAAGGTAACACTTTTCTTGGAAGGTTGAGGAAAGTTGAGATGAAATGCTCATAGGTACCTGACCCAGCTTCCACAGGAAACTGTAGCTTTCTCCTATCTTTGCAGACCAGGTGCTGATGGACAGGTCAGGAATCCCTATTGGAACCCACAATTCCTTTAAGCTCCATGAGACCCTCGCAGGAAGTTGCTACCATTGGGCTGATACTGGGGAGGGGCATTCGATGTAGGGTTGAACGGATTTGTTGGGAAGTTGACCAGTTGGTCACCCCTCTTGCTAGGGGCCAGGCACTCAGGTGGCATGGCCAGTGATTGGGCTCTGAATGGAGCCTATGGTGGTATTCCACCTCCTTGGGGTGGTACAAAGCTGGCTGATGGGTATGGCGCCCTGTGAGTGTCCAAGGCCATTAGAGACAGTTCAGAAACCCCAGGAATGAGGGAAGCAAATTCATGCCTAAAGTTAGAGCCAGCATGGTCATCACCAAAAACCAGAGGTCACAGGAAGGGAACTGGTAGCCAATGCTGACTCCTCCCCTTCTCTGGACCCTACACCCCAGGAGGCACCCACTTCCCACATGTCAGAGTCAGCCTCCTGGGAAGACTGAGCCCAGAGCTGCAGCTCACGAGTCCTTGTCTCACAGGAGCCAATGCACCTGCTTCCGATACTCTCAGAGCTCTCCAGAGATGCAAGAACTGAAGAAAATGAATTGGAACCTGCAGGTGCGCCCTATAGCCCTCCCCCTCTCTGCTCCAGACAGGAGGCCCTGAGCTCTCTGAGTGAGGAATCACAAGTCATGTGTGTGGCCAGGGTTGGCCGAGAGTACCCCTACCCCTGAGAGGCAGTTTATACTCCTAAAGTAGTTTATGCAGGAAGTCTGGGAGTTCACTGTGCCCTCCCTGGCCTCAGTTCCCAAAGAGGCAGCCAGAAGACTCCCACCCCTCCAATCTCAAGGCAGCACTTGGCTCTGTGGTGGCTCCCTGGGATGGGGTCCACCCTGCACCCTTAGATTCAAGGAGGGACGCAGGGTGGCAGAGCCTGGCCTGGCCTCCCTGCCTTCGTCTTTAAGAAGTCAGGTTTTGCTCACCATCTTTGCCTGCACCTTACTCCTGGCTCCATCCATGCCCTCACTGGGTGCTGGAGTTCTAGATGGGTCCAACATTTTGTATCTCATATCCTCCCCTGGAGCAGATGACAGATCCTTTGAGGACAAGTACATGTAGTGGATTCCTTTGACAGCCCGTGTTTTGAACATTTCATAAATCCAATGAGTCATGCACCAAGTTCAAAGGTACTTTGGGGTGCTGGTGTTGATGTCCCCATTTGCACTGGAGCCCTGGGTTCAAACTTACCACCTCATGCAGTGAGAAAAACAGGGCAGCCCTTTGGCCCGAGAGCCACCATGCAGATGGGGAACCACTGCCCCTTCAGAATCAGCTGAAGGCCTTCAAGTGCACCTGCTGGGTAAAGGTGCAGGATGAATGCATGCCTGGGTCACCTGCCACTGCCCCTTCATCAATGGGTAGACTCCACCACACTCAAACCCTGGGAGCAGAAGCAGACTGCATCTGCCCAGCCCTGCCAGGATGGTTGAACAGCTTTCTACCCCCACCCCACCCCCAGAGCGGCCTCTCCCAGCTCTCCTATACACACCAGTATGTGCAGCGTAAGGACTTCACCGTGGTCGTGCAACCTTTCCTACAGAATACTCTGGTCCCACTGACTGAGGTAAGCTAGGTGTCATGCTGGGGCTCAGGGTGGGTGGGCAAGGACTCCTCAGATCTTTGTGGAAGATGCACATTGTGAACAAAACCATATGGGTATTCACTAGGTTGGGATAGAACCTAGGAAGGCATTCCTAAGTGATTATGCTTTCAATAATTACGAGTGCTAACACAAAAGGATTAAATGTGGAAGGCTACATTTCAGTTTTTTAGAGGAATTCCAGGCTCTGATGCTTTTCCATCATCCCTGAGAATTGGAGGGTGGACAGAGAGGTTCTGGGGCAGGAGGAGGCACCCTCTGCTCAGGGTGCTGAGCCCCACTCCTTCGCTTGCAGACAGGGGACGCCGACCTCACTTTCTTCTCTGAGGACTGCTTCCACTTCTCCGAGCGCAGTCACGCTGAGATGGCCATCGCACTCTGGAACAACATGGTGAGTGGCCAAGGGCCCACACTCTAAGGCCTACCGTGATAAAGCTACCACTAACAGGGGTCCTTTCTCCACAAACTCAAGATGGCATTGCACACACATATCACATTCTATGGACCGAACTAGTGGCATGGCAGGTTAAAGCTATGGTCTAAGATGCCACTATCTCATAGAAGCATCAGGCTGAATCCAATTTTCGATCCAGCTCTTTGCTAAGGTGCCCAGGAAAGCAGAAGAGTCCACATTTTGGGGAGACTTGTTGCCCCATGAGAGGAGCAGCTGTAGTTCCAGGCTCATGGCTTCAGCATGGCCTAACCCCAGGCCATTGGAGGAGCTATCAGCAGATGGAAACTGTCTTCTCCCTCGTTTGCTCTCCTTGTCTCCCTGTTCTCCGTGAGTGCATCTGTCTCTGGCTCTAGCTACCGCCTCTGCCCTCTGTCCTGCACGCTGTCTCACACTGTCCTTCTTCCTCTGGGTATGTCTCGCTTGCTTGCCCTTTCTCTTTGTTTCTGTCTTCACCTCACTCGCTGTCTGCCCCATCTCACTTGCTCTATCTCTGACACACTGTCTCTACGTCTGTCTTGTTCACCGTCTCACTGCATCTGTCCTTTCCCTGTTTGTGTCTTTCCTCACTATTGATTCACCCAATCCCCATTTCCCATGTAGGTGGCAGGGACCCAAGTACTTGAGCCATCAGCTACTGCCTCCCAAGGTCTGCTTAAACAGGAAGCTGGAAATAGTGGAGCTGAACTTGAACCCACTCTGACAGGGAATATGGGTACTCCAACCAGCATTTTACCCACTGTGCCGCAGGTCTGTCCTGAAGTGACCTTAATCCAGTCCTCCATGAACTGCTTCATGCCCCCTCTTCCATACACATACCTTGTTCTTTCAGCAGCTGCCAAGTGCTGTGAGGGGTTAGTATTGTCAGATGAGGTGATAATAGCAGCATTGAGCCCTTGCCACATGACTCCGGGCAAATGCTTTCTCTAACCAGTTCAAAACCCACATTTGTCAGATAGTAAAAATGACCCAGCATGCAGGCACAGCACCTGCACACTACCCAGTGCTACACACGTGAGCTGCATCACCCTCCCAGCATGTCCACAGCAGGTTCTTTAAAGCAAATAGCTAGGCTGTCTCCTCTTCCAGCGCTTCATGGGACCTTGTGACACAAACATAAAGCCTACATGCACCACCCCCACAACCATGTGTCTCAACACGCGTGGGTCCCTGGCTCTGGTTTTGCAGAGCTTGGCCTGATGCTCCACACTGCCTCTTACACACAGTGGAGGAGTGCATTCTGATGCAATGTCTGCTTTTGCTCTAGGCTTAACAGGATAACCCAATCCCAATGCAACCTGCAGCTTCCCCTGCTTCTCCCTGGGCTGCTCAGTGATTCCCACTCCTGCTGCAGACCTGGGCTGTCGACCATCCACATAGCCTGGCAGCACCAGGTTTACCCCCGGGCCTTTGCCCTCTTGCAGCTTTCTGGGCTCTCCTCCTGCTGGCACCATGCATCTGCCCCTTCCTGAAGTTTCCCACTGGTTCGTGATAACATCCTAGAGTTGCCTCCCCCAACGACCCCCACATCACCAGCAGTCATGTCTCAAATCACACCAGGGTAATTCTTGTAGCTGGTTCTGCTCCTAGTGTGATGTTGCATTGAGGGTCACTTGTCTTCTGCTCTCTTTTAACCCCCTCCTCTCTCCACCAACAAGAGTAGCTCCCAATCTCTCCACCCACCTCCCACCCAAGACTCCAGGTGAAGCCATGATTCCCAGAAGCACCAGGCCCCGATTCTCAGCCTGGCATCAGGCTGCAGCTTTCCCACTTCTGGGGGTAGCCCAGTGCCTGCGGGAATGAACAATGTTCTGGTCCTTTCTTCCCAACACCACTTTGGCTTTTCATAGTCACCAGAACCAAAGGCGAGGGAAGTGGGAGGGATGGAAATGGGAAAATAAAGGAGAGCACAGCCAGGGTGACCGCCTGCCCCTGGCTTCCCAGCCATCTACAACACCAAGTGTCTTACCCTATTCTGATTGGGTGAATTCCTGATACAGTCTAGTGTTTTCATCCAAAATCACTTCCAACACAAGGCTGCATATAGCCTCGCCCTCACATTCTCTACTTGCTGGAGCTTTGCCCCTAATGTGACATAAAATCAACAATAGTGTGTTGGTATGAGAGGTCATACCAACAGCCAGAATGTTCTGTCCCTGAGATTCTGAGGCATGAAGCAATGTGCCCAGCATTTTGCAGCCAGTCAGTGGCACCACAGGAATGAGAGGCCGTGATGTCCTCTCCCTACTGTCCTGGTCACACCGCCACCTTGATAAACACATAAGTGGTGAGTTCACGTCTCGTACCCAGGGCCCCGTGACCTCACATCTGCAGGCTCTGGCGCATGTGCCCAGGGCACCCTCCTGGTGCAATACACACTATTTCTTGCCTCTTTCTGTAGAGGCCAGGCCATAAGTCCCAGTGGCTGTGTTTCCTTCCTCTTCGGCCTTTTGCCTTCTTAATCAGAGTTCTGCCTTCTCTGAGGCTTGGGCCTCACTGCTGTTGCCTCCCTCTTCTGCTGATGGCAATTAGTTCCTACAATCACCTTGGAAAACCCTGGCAGCTGTGGGTATTTCAAAAAGCTCATGTGAAATCGAATTAAAAATTTATTTTGCACAACATTCTGAAATCTATAGTTTTAAAAACTTACTTCCTTTTCAATGAACTTTTTGAAGACCCTTACCCCTAATCATCTTGATACATTTTCTGTTATTGAGCAATTTTACTCATAGCTCTATTTCTACCAGAAAAGCATGCACAAACCTAGTAAAAACCATGTAAGAATGATTTTAGCATCCTTCAGTAATAGCCCCCAAATAGAAACTACATTATACAACAGAATGAATAAACTGATTTGCTCATTCAGTAGAATGCCTTGCTCAATAAGAATAAATTAGTTTCAACATCAAGCAACACTGAGCATGCTGGTTTCTTATTGGAGGTGGATACTACCATAAGATGTGGAAAGGGGGCTTCTCAGTAGCGGTATCCCATTTCTCAGTATGGATACCACTGTGTATTCCCTGTCAAGAGTCATCAGCTATTTGCTTGTGACTCATCCTTGTTCCAGTGTTAGTCCCCAGGGAAGTTTATCTGAAAGGCCAGTGTTTAGCTTGCTTGCTAAGCTGCTGCTCCAACCACCCACATCCCGTATTGGAGTGCCCACATTCAAATCCCAACCCCACTCCTGATCCTAGCTTCCTGCTAACACAAACTCCAAGGGCAGCAGTGATGATTCCAGAGGTCACGTGGGAGACATTCAGTATAATTCATTCATCCATGTACTAGGACTATTCCAAGGACTCTGAGTCCCTCAGGAAAAAGCATCCCTACTTTTGTGGAATGTGAGACAGATAGCAAAACAAGTAGACAAAGTCAGCTAGGTACTTCCATTCAGGAACAAGGGGAGCAGAGTGATGACCTCCCTGAAGCAGTGACTTGTGACTCAAGCACTGAATGTCAAGAAGTTTCCAAGCAGGCAGAGGTCTGCGGCCAGAATGTTCCAGACAGAGGAAATAGTACCCACATGGGCCCAGAGTCAAGAATGAGCTCGAAACATCTGAGAGAAGTCAAAGTCAGGGTGGCAAGGTCAAAGAGGTGGCAGAGGGCCAGGGCTCAGGAGAAGTCTCAGCTGTGCCAAGGTGAGCCATGCAGCCTGCTGCTGGCAGATAGCCACGTTCAGGATGGGCTTGTGATCAGCTGATAGATGAGGAGGAAAGAGAATATTCTCTTGGTTTGGGGTCTAGGAAACTGGGTGGATGGTGGGACTGGTAGAGAAATCCTCCTGGAAGAGAAAAATCCAGAGGACTTTTTGGACATGGGAACTGCCTTCCAGGCATGCACAGAGATGTCAAGTGAGCTGTTAGGAGTGCCGAGCTCAGAAAAGATGTCAGGCTGGAGAGCAGGAAAAAGATAAGGAGTCGGGTGAGTGAAGTAACTGTGGATGTCTCAGCCATGGGCCCAAGAGCCCCTGGTAGACATGTAGGTATGACAGCTTAGAAAAATGTCATGGAGAAGCCATGACAGGGGACAGCAGCCACCACAGGGTGTGATTACACAGTGGCCATGATGCTATTGACCAGAGCATTGAGTCAATGGACTATTGGCCATCACTATGAGCAGCACAAAGGATAGCAGGTGGGCAAGTGCAGCCAGTGATCCTGGGCAAGTGTTTGAGGAGGCTACAGCAAGGACAGGCAGCATAACAGAGGGGATGTGGGTCAAGGAAGAGAGAGAGCAGCAGGTGTGTGCTAAAGGGAAGGAGCCTGCCAGAAGAACTTGAACTCAACCCCTGGGTTTGAGACCTTCCCCCTGGGCCACTTAGTTCCTGCAGCTGGGCCAAGAATCAACCTTCAGCATCTGTTCTGCCCCCAGGGAGTTCTGTTCCCATCAGCTGGCATTTCCTCTGCCCCAACCAGCTGGAAATAACTCAGGTGTAAACCGCCCATGTGTGCTACATCTAAAGCTGTTGTTTTATCTGGCACTCGCCACAACCAGATGTGGGTTTTACACCAGACCCCGAGCTTGGGTGTGTTCAGTGACCTGCCCAGCATTACCCAGTCCTTGCAGGCAGATCTAAATCCCAGCGATCTGCCAGTGTTGGGCAGTGCCATCCCTGTGGCAGCCCTTCTAGGACCAAGGCCACCCTTCCTAGGAAACGGTATACAAGCCTGTGTGCACACAGTGTGAGCACAGCCAGGGTAGTCATTAGCTCAGGTTTTGTACTTTCCTTACTTGCAGCCCCTGATGGCTGCCTGGAAGCCGGATGTTCAGGATGGTATCTGTTTACTAGTGCAAAGAGCTGGGGTCCATCTCGGCTCTGCATGCAGTCAGAGGCAGGCAAGTGGCTAAAGATTCTGCAGCTTCCAGTTCATTCTCCAATGGTTTTGCCATGGAAAGTATCTGGCAGAACCTCAGTGAGCCACGAGTCCAGCAACTTGTTCTATCTGTGTGAAAAGCAACTAAACTAGCCTTGATGAGAAAGCTCCCATTTCTGAAAGTTGTCAAGCCAAGTGTGGCGACAACATCACAGCAACCCATGTGTTTTCAAAGTTTCCCTGAAGCTGGCTATCCCCATGCACCTGCAAAAGTGAGTAGATAAAATCACCAGTTTATAAATAGGAAGACACAGGGGTGATGTGGCAGTGTATCAGGCTAATCCTGTGCCTGCGGCAACAGCATCTGTTATGGGCACCAGTTTGGGTCCTGGCTGCTCCACTTCTAATCCAGCTCTCTGCTGTGGCCTGGGAAAGCAGTAGAGGATGCCCCAAAGTCTTGGGATCCAGCACCCAATGGGAGACCCAGAGGAAGCTCCTGGTTCCCAAATTTAAACTGACCCAGCTTTGACTATTGAGGTCATTTGGGGAGTAATTGTCGATTGAAGCTTTCTCTCTCTTTTTAAAAAATATCTTACCTTAAAGATTGATGCCCCAGCATCTACTATCACAGCCACCCAGGAGGGGAGCCCAGTGGCAGAGGCTCAAGCTCCAGCCTTTTAGCTGTGGTCCTGGGGCTGGTCAGTGTGTCCTCTGCAGACCTGGGGCACAGGCTCCGTCCTGGCCTGCTCTGACCCTAGGCGAGTCCCAGCCTGGGGTTGGGAGGTCTCTCTGCCATGGATTCAGCCTTCCCAAGGGATGACTCCCAGCTTTGTTGAAATAAGTGTGCCCCTTTCCCCTCTGCAGCTGGAACCAGTGGGCCACAAGACGACCTCTAGCAACTTCACCTACAGCAGAACCAAACTCAAGTGTCCATCTCCTGTGAGTAGCTTCCCCGTCTGTCCTACCACTTGCAGGCCCAACGTAGGCCCCTGGGGACCTCAGCACTTGAATTTCCCCTCATATCTCACCACTCCTCACAGCCACCACCGTGTGCCAGGATGTGGGTGGGTATAGGGAGAAGCCCACAGCTCTACCACAGGTGTGAGTGGCTCAGAGAGGCAGACCAGCAGGTGCTGCTTGGGGTTCCAAGCCACCCATCACTTCTGACAGAGATCTGAAGAGGACTCTGGGAGCAGGGAGGTAGGGAGAGTTCAGACACAGGATCTGTTCCCAGAACCCATGGACCCTCAGAGCACTCTAGGACCCCAGCTCACCTCTTGGACCTTCCCCTCCTCTTTCTGCATGCATCCCAAACTCACTACCATATACCTCTCACTCATCAGACCCTCTGGAAAATGAGCCCAGTCCGGTCAAGGCCTGGTTGTCCTTGGCCAGAGCCCAGGAGGAAGCCTGACCTCTCTTGTTGTTCGCTCCATGTTTCTGGCAACTGGAGTTACCTCCCAGGCAGGCCCCGTGACTGCCCACATCCGTGCTTTGATTTCTGCCACCTGCTCCTCCCCCATCTTGGCCAGTGAAAACACTTCCCTCCCTCCAGGGCCAGGATCCCACTGTCCTCACTTCCCTGTATCACATCAGACACACCTCTGGGTTCTCTCACAAGACACAGAGGCATCCTCTTATGGGACATGATTGCATCTCTACCGCTCTCCTCTCCCTCCTGGGCAATGAGAAGCTCTTGTGGGTTACTTCAGGCTCTTGCCATAGTTCCTGACCTAGCAGGCTGTGAAACTGGGAGTGGTTGTCCAATAATGACCTGGAGCAAACTGGTGGAGCCTTGGCCAGCTTCCATTGATTAACTACCAGCTCCCATCTCTCAAAGCCAGGAAAGGTGGGGTGTTGGTGGGAAATCCAAAGAGGCCATAGCTGGGAGTTGTTGGCTGCTTGGGACACCCATCAGAGGGTTTGGGTGCAGAGTAAGAGTGAAGGGGCTATACCAACAGGGGAGAGCTGGGGGACTGGGCAAGGGTCAGTGTTGTTCCCACAGATTGGAGGAATCACAAGGTCTTAGGTGGGCAGACGGATGTTTATGCAGGCCCTGATCCTCTTCCCCTTCTCTCCAGGAGAGCCCGTACCTCTACACCCTTCGGAATAGCCAGCTGCTCCCCGACCAGGCTGAAGCAGCCCCCACGGTGCTCTACTGGGCTGTGCCAGTAGCAGCAGGAGCTGGCCTACTCATTGGCATCCTTGCAATGGTGGTGTGGACAGCTGTGCGGAAGCAGCGGAACCCCTCAGTGGTCATGGCCACAGGCTTATAGGCCCAAGCCACACTTCAACCTGGCTCCTCTACCTCAGCCACCTGCAGCCGGAACCTGCAGTTGGAATCTGTTTCAACACCTGAGACACAGCAGCCAAAGGAACAGGCAGGACTTCCTGGGGCCCGGCCTTCTTCCAGATCAATGCTCCTGGGATTGGCCAGATTAAATAAAGCTAAAACATGTTTTATCTTCAGGTGAGCCTGCCTGTGACACTGACCTATGGCTGCATGTGCAGGTGTATATGTGTTTGTAGGGGTAGAGGAGTGAATGGGGGCCAGCCTTACTGGAGCATATCCTTCACGTAGTGGCTGGAGTTGTGCAACTGGCTGGCCTGTCTTCAGTCCAAGCTGCCATCCAGCTGCTTGGTGCCTTCTGTGAACCCTGGACAATGAAGGGCACTGTGGTGCCTCGTGAGCTGGGCATGTCACAGCCTGACTGGGAGGACACACTCCTTTCAGAAATGAGAAGCTCCACAATAGCGTGGAATGAAGTAGGTGAATGTGGGCCCTGGTAGGTAAGTGTGTCCCATGGTTTTAGACCACAGGGGTCCCTGGGAGAAACAGCTCCTGGAAGAGAAGGTTGACCTGTTGTTTAGCAATAACTGGGACATAAGCACATTCTGTATCCTCAACGTGATTTTCTCAAGGTGCTAAAATCTTGCAGAGTGCCCCTGTTTCTGTATCACTGGCTTGAAGGAGAAACCTAGAGGAATCCTGAAAACACAGGGTGCCCCTCCTTGGGGGCTTCATAGGAGTGGTGGACGCAAAGCTGCATTCTTACAGACCCAGAGTCTCAGGCAGGGGTCACGCAAAGGTTTGAAGATGGAAGTGTTGGTGACAACACTGTGAAGGCAGTACCTCCCACTGGGGTGGGTTTTGTCTCAGCAGCCAAGAGCAGTGCAGGAGGCAGACATTATCCTCTGCACTTCAGGGTCTCTCCCACTGCAGTACCAGTACTGCAGTGAGAGAGTACTGCAGTGAGAGGACAAAGAACTTGAGTTACAAAATCCCAGCTGAAGAGGCCCGAAGAGGCATGTGGAGAAATGGATTATAACTCATGGATGAAGAAGACTGCCCACCCCCTCCTCATCCTCAAACCAAGAGAAGAGACCCCAGAGGACCCAGTGTTCCTGTGGGATTCAAGTCCTTTTTCTGTCTCATGAGAACAGAATGTCTTCCTTGAGTTCCTCCTCTAGACTTAAAAACGTCATGACTAAGTCACACATTCCAGCTCACGCTCCTGGCTTAAGGCAATGTGACAACAAGGATAACCCACATTGTCCCAGAGTTCTAAACCTGCAGCTTCTCATTCTTCCCATTGCTCTTGTTGCAAATGGGATTGGGTGGGGATGGGGTTAGACTTTACCAGAGTGATCCAGGCTAAAAGGTTAACCAAGTGGTCCCAGGCCAGTTAATCTAAGACCACTAAGCAGAAACAAAGGGAAATCCTCTTTGGAAGGACAGGACCATGAACCAAGCCCCCAAATTTCCAATAAATGCTAGAATATCACTAGTTGAAAACATGAAAAAGTGACTGCCTGAAACCAGTGGTACTATTTAGGGTAAGCATCCCCAGTCTGAAACCTCAAATAGGAAGGTGTTTTGAGTGCTGATATGAGCCCCAAGTGCAAAGATGGATACCTGACCACCCATGAAGGATTTAGTCAAGACACAGGTGCACTAGAAGATCAAAGGCACTTCAGAAATCTCAAAAGATTGATTACATCAAAAGATAAGCTTACTTAGGTGCAAAGAGTATAAAAAGCCATGCATAGCCTTTTCAGAATTCCCCATTTCTGAAGATCCCTTGTGACATAGGACACAAGGTTAGGTTTACAAGGTCGATATGAGACAAACAGACCTATGTTTAAGACTCAGGTTTCATCTCCAGGATATCTTACTATGCAGATGCAAGCATTCTGAAACACTGTGCTCTCAAGCTTTTGTAATAAGAGCTACTCAACCTATCTGCCCTAGGTAGACACTATGTGTTTTTTTTTTTTCTTTTAGAAGAAAGTTCAGCCTATTTAGGGTGGTGCCCACAGCCATTCTGTGAATGAGTCCACCAAGGCCCGAGAATGTTCCATTCCACATAAAGACTTTCATATTCCAAAAACAGATCATGGGTCTGGTGTGATAGTTCTTTGGCTAATACTTCATACCTTTTAAGTGCCAGAATCCCATACAGGCACAGTTTGTGTCCTGGCTGCTCCACTTCCCATCCAGCTCCCTGATGAGATGGGCCTGAGAAAGTAGAAAATGGCCCAAAGCCTTGGGCCCCTGCATCCACATGGAAGACCCAGAAGAAGCTCCTAGTTCCTGGCTTCAGATCCGCTCAACTCTGGCTGTTGTGGCCATTTGGGGAGTAAACCAGTGGATAGAAGATATTTCTGTTTCTCCTTCTCTGTAAATCTACTTTTCCAATAAAAATCTAAAAAATTAAAATGTTATAGTCCTTTTGAAAATAAAGCATTAAAAAAAGATGAGAATTAATTCAGCTTGATCCATACCTACAGAAAGGATATATAACTTTAGTTAATCTCTGAAAGACGGACAGACATTTGGTTAGATATCGAAAAGAACTGACCAATGAGGTGAATGCCTATGCTAGGTGGTGGTAACAACAACAACAAAGTGAAAAACTGAGGATGGATGGACCATAAGGTCAAATTAGGGCCACATTATGGTAAAAGCAAGGAATCAATAGTGACTCCATGGTTATGATTCGGATCTTGGGCTACTTTTGACGTGGGAATATAAATCTTAGTGGGAAAAGGTTAGTATAGTGGCTGGCAGAATGGCATAGCAAGCTAATCGTCCCCCTGCGGCACTGGCATCTCATATAGGCACTGGTACAAGTGCCAGCTATTTGACTTCCAATCCAACCGTCTGCTAATGGCCTGGAAAAGCAGAATATGGTCCAAGTACTTGGGCTCTTACACTCAAGTCCAAAACCCAGAACAAGCTTTAGACTTCAGCAGTAGCTTCAGCTGCTGCAGCCACTTGGGAACAGGAATTGCAATACTTAGACAATGTAGATTAAGACAAAAATTAAGAAGCAATAGCAAAGATCACTATCAAAAGGCAGATCTAACCCCTCACCCTCAAAAAGTCAAAGCAGTGTAGCTATCCAGCACTAAACCAAATAGACCTGAGTGGGCATTTATAGAACACCCCCATCCAACAGCTGCAGGAGATGTATTCTTTCATCAGTGCATGAAATGTTTTTTCTCTGAGAGAGATCATGCATTAGGCCACAAAACAAATCTCAGTGCAAACAAAAAATTGAAATAGTTTGTATCTCTTCTAACCACAATGGAATAAAACCAAAAAAACCAAAAAGCTATACAAATAGATGGAGGCTGAACAACACACTACTGAATGAACAATGGGCCAAAGAAATCAGAAGGAAAATTTAAAAATTTCTTAAAATTAACAAAAATGGACATGTCAACATGCCAAAACATATGGGATATAGCAAAATTAATACTAGAAGGGAAGTTGATTACAATAAGCACCTATATTAAAAAACAGGAAAATATTAAACAACCTAAGAATACATCTCCAAGGTCTACAAAACAAGAACAAATCCAACTTAAAGTTATTAGAGAGGAAGAATTAATAAAAGATCAGAGCACAAATAAGTGAAACATAAACCTTAAACATACATACAAGATCAATGAAGAGTTAGTTGTTTGGAAAGACAGTAGTTCCAAGACAGCTGAATAGGGTAAGTACATGCTGATTTTGACTGGGAATGGTTAAGCGAGGGAGGCAAGATGGAGTGTGATCCCAGGCAACAGGTGCAATAAACTCAACTGCATAGAAACGGCAGAGGCAGTAAAGGCAGCGTAAAGGCAGAGACGACTGGATGACTTGGCAGTGGGCAGAGATGCGAGTTCTCCAGCCAAGAGAGGTGGGAGAGGCAGCAGCTGAAGTGGCTGGCAACATTTCCCCACTCAGCTCTCGGCCCTCCCCATGTTCAGACACAAGGACAGGAGTAAGGTCCCTGCTGGTTAGGTCCGGGCAGAGGTAGAGAATATGCCCCATTGCCCTTGCCCCTGCAGAGTGGCTAAATTGGCTGACAGTGGCCACCATCATGGCAGGGTTCCATCTCCAACATCAGAGACTCCATACTGGGACTGCCAAGTGCCCCCAAGACTACAAACTGGGCACCCACCTGGCGTGGTGTGAATGCACACCTGGCTGTCCATGGGGTATCACTTAACCTTGTAGCACTAATGTGTTTTGCTGAATATGCCGGAAAATATGTCCCTGTTACCCACTGACTTAGCATCTTGCAGGTTTTGTCACAAAAAGAAACAAAGAAGGAATGGAAGGAAGGACAACAAGGTAGGAAAGGAAGGAAGGAAAGAAAAAATAAACTAGGTTCATGTTACCAACTGACCCTAGCATCTCACTGGTTCCATTAAAAAAATAGGTTCATGTCCCCACAGACTTAGAGACTAGATCTGTGAACGAGCAGGCACAGGTACACTCATCAGAAACTGAGAGTCCCACCCACTGGCCTGAGGAGTAAGCAGCCAAGATGAGAACTCACAGGTAGGTGGTGCGGCAACAGCCTCGTGGGCTGAGAGGAGCCTCAGGACCCTGTGACTGTGGCACTTTCGTGCCTCTAGAGTTGTGTGTAGTGAATGCTGTGTCTCAGGACACAGAGCTGCATACATCTCTTGCATGGCACTTGTGCTCTTGTGGATGGAAAGTACAGCTACCATGTCAGAAGCATACACGGATCGCCTTGAAAGAGCCAAGGAGGAATCGTGTTTATACTGGCAGTCCTAATCACTTCCTTCCCTTTGTCAAAAAAAGAGGAGATCCACCATGTCCAACCTGGGGATCACTCTACACTCACCCCACATTGAGCATTGATCAGAGTACACTGTCCACTTCCAGCATACACACACCGATCCTATTAAAAGAACTGAGGCACAGTTCAGGGACAAAAATCACCAGAGGAGAAAACCCACACGTTTTTATTTAAATGTCTAAGAGTAAACTGAGATACATGAGCAACATAAACAAGTAAGAAAAT